TTTTTTTTTTTTTCAAAAAAAAAAAAAAAAAAAATTATATATTTTTTTGTTGCTATCAATCTTTACTGGGATGTCCGTATTCTTCCTATGCTTTTTTTTTTTTTCAAAAAAAAAAAAAAAAAAATTTTTTTTTTTTTTAAAAAAAAAAAAAAAAAAATTATCATCATTCAATATTTGTCAGCATAACTTGGAAGATGAAACTGATCCTTCAATCTATCAAATTAAAAGAAAGGAAATAGGAAGATTTTTGCTTTTTCATATATGGCAGTAGGACCTACAGAGCACTAGAAAAAAGTGAAATTTGTCTGCCATAGGGAAAACTTTGATTGTGGAAGCTAAGAACTTTCTCTCTTAGTCTTACTTTGTATATCAGCCTCTCGTCGTCTAATTTTAATAATATTATCATTTCCAATATTTATTTGTACCGTTTCAAAAGATGAATAGAATCAAGATTTTATTTTATGTCGACTTTTAATTTGTCAAGAGGAAATGAAATGATGTGGACTTTTATTGCTATTTCAAAAGATGACTGAACTAATTAATTAATGGAGTTCGATGGAAATTGCATTTGCACGAACCTATTAGTATTTCTACTTTATCAATGATTAAAAGAAAGTGAAACAAATATTTAATCATCGTTTAACGCTTTAATGAAAGATTAATCATTTTCAGTGGGAAGCATTTATGTTAAACGTCATTTTCAAAATGTTGATTTTATGATTTGATCATGCAGTTATTAAACAGTGTGTACTTCACTTCAACAACTCGATAAAATATTTTCTATAATAACACCGTGAATAGTGCATAGGAGAGCTATATCTAATGCGCGATATGAAATGGGTTCAACATCTAATTATAAAACCTTTAAAAAAAAGTAAGATGAATCGAAATATAACTGTTATACTTAAACTAAACCATCTTAGGTAAATCTTGTAATTCATTAATGATACGAATATGATAGATTACCTTATAATTCTTTTTTTATTATAAATAATTAAATTTTGATTTGATTTTAGTTGCAATCATTTTAAAATAGTGTCCCAACTCCTTAATCATATTTATTTGGTTCTTAAAAACAATATTAAACGGGCTAATAGCTTTTAATTAATTGACCGATCTATGATCTTAAGATAAAAAAATAATTATATGCTTCCAAAAATTTGAAATGCGGTTCATTGACTAATTGGAGGGTTAGAGATTGAGAAAAGGGAAAGTTAACAGATACAGAATGTCCTTTAAGGAAAAAGATATTTTTTGTCTGCCTAAAATTGTATTAACGGCGGGTCGTTTATCTATTCTCCGATGTATATTTCTTTTGTTTGGACGGGATGGATTTCTTAGCTATTAACACATACCACAAAAGTTAATGGATATTAATTAAGGAAGTTAAGCTTTCTTTCTTTTTTTGTTTGTCGCATCCATTTATTATTTTCAAATTAAGTACTTAATTAGTTAAAACACTTGATTGTTTTAAGTAAAAGGGATATATTTTTATTATTAGTTTTTATAACATATAGTAATATTTTTACAATATTACTATTAAAATAATAGAAATAAATTATTTTTTACTCGAATTTTATTTGAAGGGAATCTTTATTTATCAATATCGGTTAATTGAAATGATTAATAATCTCAATCTTAAAAGTTCGATTCATGGTACTGAAAAGATAAAAAATATTTACCCTATACCGTTTGGATACCTAAAAAATTTTGGAAACAAACATCTATTTCTAAGTTCTGAATATGAATAAAAATGTCGACAAAATTTATTTTTAAGTAGAAAATAGAAATTTTGATAGCCCTTCGTCACCTACCAACCATGGACGTCCATGGACCCTCCACAGCAATTTTTTTCTTCTTTAATTTAAAAGAAAACAATTTCTACTAACATATAAAAAATTTCTTTAAGATACGACACAGACCTGCTGTAGGGTCATCTGATGAACCTATAGAAATCTGCCGACCTCAAGATTTATTATTAATAAGGTACATAAATTTGCATGATCAATAATAGAGAGACGTGGCATGGACCGTCCGATTAACCATGATCACATCAAATGTAGTGAAAAGTTTGACTAAAAATATGCACGAGTGTGTTGCAGTGAAAAGGCCGGGCGGTGCGTTAGAATATAAGAGGGAAAAAAAGACATATAGGGGTCCTCCTCGGATTTGCGGCGTCCATAGAATCTGCAATTGACAATATGTAATAATAATGTTATTTTCTGGTGGGTTGGTCGCAACTCGCACGTGGGTGTTAATAAACCACACGCATAGTGCGTTTAGCGAAATCCACAAATTAATTGAATATGTTTATGTTTATGTAAGAGTTTCATGAATTAACACGTTTTATTAAAATTATTAATGTATATATAATAAATGGAGCAATATCGCCACTTCATAATTATAATATTTTTATAAAAAAGTGTCTTTTATTTCTGTCTCATATTTATTTATTTATTAAAAAATAACAATTTACATTGATTTGTCGGGTTTTAATTTGTGTGAGACAGGGAAAAGAAAAGGAGGAGATTTGTGACATTTCATATTTGAAATGGGAACAGTGGAAGAAACATGTGATCCTCAGGAGCCTTTCTTGGAAAGGGAAATTATGTTTTTCTTGCACAGACTATATGTTTATTCATTTTTCATTTTTTTTTTCTCTTTTTTTTGTTTTTTGTTTCTACTTTTTAAAGAATTTCATGCAATAATGAACAAATCATGCATGTCCTTGAACATGTTTTGCCCTTTTAAGGCTCATGATCAGTGAGGTGGATAATTTTTTGCCAAAGGACATCCATGGATTCTAATTACTATGGCACGTGAGAAAAATCAAGCAAAAGAAGTAATTAATCACAAATAATGGTGATGATAATTGAATTATTAGCAAAGAATCGAATAATTAGTTGTAAATTAAAAATTAATTGGATTAGCAGTTCCATAATCACAAATTCTTGTAATAAAACAGACAAGGATTGTTGATTCCATGTGAAGTGAGTGTTAAGCCCATGTTTATAATCTCGGTTAGAGCGATGAACATCAAATTGCACATGGCATCATTCTTCAATTTCATATCATTTCTCTGTCAAGAACTCGCTACACAGGCTTATTGTATTTTGTATTTATTTTATCCTATTTTACATAGATATATTTGTCTTTTTTGGCTAGTTTTTGGACATAAGCACATACACAAGGACAAGTATAATTTTTTTTTTTTACTACTATTTTATATTTTTTAGTACGAGAATAATCTTATTTCGAGATTTGTGACTGGCCGCTTAAAAGAGCTTTTTCATGAATCAAACTCTTGATATGTATGGGTTGGTTTAAATTAATGATGGCTAGTGAAATTTGACCTACCCAAGTGAGCAATTAATTTTTTTTTTTTTTTTTTTAGGTTCAGTTAAAGTTTCAAAGCCCAGCCTCTGATTCCAAGAGTTTCTTCCAAAGCCCAAATTTGGTTGGGCTTTACAACCCAACTTTGGAAGTTTGGGTTTTAAGACAGCCTGATCCAGTCCAATTCATGTAGGCCATTTCTACCGGATTAAAATATGTAATCATCCAATGACCATATACAATTAGCAGAGCAGCAAAGAAAACAGTAATTTAGCCAAAAAAAAAAAAGAGAGGGAAGAATCTAATATTTTCACATAGTTAAATTTGGATACTGTAAAAAAAATATCAAAAAAAAAAAAAAAAAAAAAAAAGAAAATCAATATTCAACATATTAAATTTGGATACTGGTAAAAAAATTCAAAAAATAAAAAAAAAAAAAAAACCAATAGCTAAGAACTTTGGAATAACGGAACTGGTTAATGTAAAAATAAAAACTTCATAGAGAAAAAAAAAAAAAAAAAAAAAAACCAAATAGCTAAGAACTTTGAATAACTGGAACTGTATGTAAAAATAAAAACTCTAGGAAAGCCACAAAATTAGGAGAAGAATCCATAAAGATAGTTTAAATCTTACATATTTCCATGCAGACAAATAACAAACGAATAATGAGCCCAGGGGTTTGTATGGAACTGCAAATCCAAAACCTAATCTGGGCCTGATTGGTTTTGGTCATTAGAAATTTCTTTACTCTTTTACAGGCCCATTGATGTCTCCCTCTTTCTCTCTCTTTTATAAATCTTGTTTATATTGGGCCTGTTGGCCCATTGGGAGCTCTAATTCTTGTTATTGGCAATCAAGTGGTGTTTGTCCAATGAATATTTTATAAAACAGAATGGTAAGTGTAGTTTTAGAATCTGTGTTTTTCTAATGTTGATTTTTGGCTGCCACTGCCAGTGTGCGACAGATATGATAAATTAAGGCTGAGTTGAATTTCAGATAGAGGCTACTTTAAATGCTAGATCATATTCTTTGGTAAAGACTAAGGACACTCCACCTTCCAATTTATGAATTCTTACTTACTAATTAAAAGCTGCCAAGTGTCAATTATTAGATGCTGTTTCAATTATTTAAACATTTTACATTATATTCTTTAATAATAATCTATATAAAGCTCAAACTATATCTATTATGATGAGATGAGATAGAAAGAGTATAATACTATTAATTTTAATCTAATTAACTTCTCAACTAACAAAGTGAAAATGCGGTACATGAATGCATTAGAACGTTGAACCAGGTTTGAATCTTTCTCTTTCTTTAGTGCTCAAAGAAAAAAATAAAATAAAAATGATCGAGATTCTTTTAAATATAAAAAAAAAATTAAGAGACAATTATCTAATTATTGTATTATATTAATTTAAAAAATGGAAGAGGTGTAGCTTTTAAGCCTTTTGCCCGTTGTCGGGTTGTACTTTGGCCTGACCAAGAAGCCAAAAAATTCAATCGAACACAGGCTTCTGTTTGACATTTTCCTTCTAAGATACTTCGGTTTTGAGCAAGTCTTCTTATTAATTAATCTACTCATTTTCAGATTCAGATTCATGTTCACATTCCCAGCCAAATGTCAGCTCAACTCACCCGCCGCCAATAATACTTGTAATTAAAACAAAAGGTTGATATTGAATATTTAAATTTAAATGGTTTCAAATTAATTTATTTTTGCTTATTTAAGATATATAAAAGAATTCCATACAAATGGGTTCTTCTTTCTCCATTATTACTCCGTTTTGTTTATGTTTAACTTTGCTGAATATTTCTTTCACGAGCGAAGCCTGAGTCTCAGACCAGACCACCGCGTCATCTTTCATTCTGAAATCCAATAATTCACTCCTTTACTTTTTCTGTATTATTCTCTTTTCTTCTTTCTCTGTTGATACTGTAAGAGAAATTCTATACCTTTTTCTTTATAATCATGGCTACCTTAAAAACCAAGCAAGAATAACACAAACCAATCCATTTTCGCTTTCTCTCTCTGTCGTAAACTAAAGAAAAGGACCACCACCAAAACCCACTCTAACACCCACAAAAAGTCTTCTTCTTTAGCCCACCTTCTTTCCTTTATCTACCTACTTAGCATAATATGTCTCACATCTTCAGGGACAAATCTTTAGGCAATTCCAGTAGACACGCTCAAAACGGCGCCGTTGCAGTGACCATGGCTGTTTACCCTATTCAAGACCTTCAATCTCCTTTCTCTGATGCAGCTCCCAACTTGTCCGATTCGGAGCTCCGAGAATCCGCCTATGAAATTCTAATTGGGGCTTGCCGGACCTCCGGGACTAGGCCGTTGACTTACATCTCACAGTCGGAAAGAACTTCGGATAAAGCTTCGGCTCCTTCGACGGCGGCGGCGCCGTCGCTTCAGCGGTCGTTGACGTCAACGGCAGCAAGTAAGGTGAAGAAGGCGCTAGGGCTGAGGTCGGGTCCCACGAAGAGGAGAACCGGTGGTGCTGGTGACTCGGTGAATGGAGGGAGGGAGAAGAAGACGGTGACGATTGGAGAGTTGGTTAGAGTGCAAATGAGAGTATCGGAGCAGACTGATTCGAGGATTAGGCGAGCGATGTTGAGGGTTGCTGCTGGTCAGGTTAGTGTCGGCCTTTGAATTTAGTATACGCCTGTTCGATTGCTAAGAATAAGAAAGTTAAAGCAGGTGAAGGAAACTGATTTCTTAAATTTTGTTTCAATGAAAGAAAAGAAAATTAATTTGAAGGAGAAAGTTAAAAGTGAGAACTTTGTTTCGATAATTTTTTTGATCTTTCTTGGAGATGCTGATTTGAATTATCTTCCAGTTTGAGTAAGTATGAGATTGTAGGGAATAGTATGATTACTGGAATCATTTGTTTTTGTATTTTTATTTTTTATTTTTAAATGTCCAATCATTTCCAAGTGTTGAGGTCCCCGGATCCCATTACCTTGCTAGCATTTCTCTCCCTTGTGAATAGAGAGAATTGTGGTTCCAGTTGATTTTGAACGTGATAGGGAAAGAACCGTGGATGTAATTTTAGTTCAATTAAAAATCAGTTGAGATTTTTTTTAAGTTCTGTTGGGATATGCATTTGTTGATTTTTATGAATTGTGTGTAAAAGTTTAAGCTTTTAATTCATTGCGGTTTGCTCAATATGATCTTCTAAATGAGCAGGATTAATTATTGAGCTGCTGTTTTTATGCACTTGTATCAGCTTGGAAAACGCATAGAGTCAATGGTTCTTCCTCTGGAGCTGTTGCAGCAGCTCAAGTCTTCAGATTTTCCCAATCAACAAGAATATGAAGCTTGGCAGAAGAGAAATTTGAAGCTTCTAGAAGCTGGACTGCTTTTGCATCCTAACATGCCACTTGATAAGTCTGATACTGCTCCAAGGCGACTCCAACAGGGTATTCATACAGCATTAGATAAACCGATTGAAACTGGAAAGAACAATGAATCAATGCAATTTCTCCGAAACCTAGTTATGTCTCTTGCCTGCAGATCATTTGATGGGTCTGTTTCTGAAAGATGCCATTGGGCTGATGGGTTGCCATTGAATTTGAGACTCTATCAAATGCTCTTAAATGCTTGTTTTGATATTAATGACGAATCAATTGTTATTGAAGAAATTGATGAAGTTTTAGAACTCATAAAGAAGACTTGGCCAGTCCTTGGGATGAACCAGATGTTGCATAACCTCTGTTTTTTGTGGGTTTTATTTGACCACTATGTTGCAACTGGCCAAGTTGAGGATGACCTATTGTTTGCTACCAATAATCTGTTGATGGAAGTTGAAAAGGATGCCAAGACAACTAAGGATTCAGATTATTCCAAGATTTTGAGTTCCATATTGAGTTCAATATTGGGTTGGGCAGAGAAAAGGCTTCTTGCTTATCGTAATAGTTTTCATAGTGATAATATTGAATCACTGCAAAGTGTTGCTGCTGTGGCTGTTGTGTCTGCAAAAATACTGGTCGAAGATATCTCTTATGAGTATCATAGGAGAAGGAAAGAAGGTGGGGATGTAGCCCATAATAGAATTGACACTTACATAAGGTCATCGTTGCGTGCTGCTTTTTTTCAGGTAAGTTCTTATTGTTTTCATCACGATTTCCTTAACAGTAGTGATTTAACTTTATCAATGCACATTTTATCTCCAGTATTCCGTGTCTTCCAGTTAACATTCTATCTCAATGGTTAGACACTCACCTTAAGGATTTTGCTTTTCTGAATAGAACAGACTGACATTTGATGGAGATACAAAGCCTTCACTTCTGAGTTGTCCTCTTGGGGACTCTGCCTTTTTCATTAATTGTTTGTCTATTTGATTTATTCTATTTCCACTGTTAATCAATTCATGCATTTATACTATTTCCATGGTTAATCAATTCACCTAAATACACTAGCTTGCTGGTTTTGCTATCATATATTATGATTTAAGGGTTTTGTTTTTCCTTCTGAGTCAGAAAATGGAGAAGTTTAAATCAAGCAAGCATCGTAGACAACAGCAAAATTCCCTTCCTGTCTTGTCCCTCCTTGCTCAAGACATTAGTGAACTGGCTTTTAGCGAGAAGGCAATGTTCAGTCCAATATTTAAGAGATGGCACCCTCTTGCAGCAGGAGTAGCAGTAGCCACCCTCCATTCTTGCTATGGAAATGAGCTGAAGAAATTTTTTTCAGGCGTTAGTGAATTGACACCTGATGCAATTCAGGTGCTGAGTGCTGCTGACAAATTGGAGAAAGATCTTGTGCAGATTGCAGTTGAGGATGCAGTGGACAGTGAAGATGGTGGAAAGTCAATAATTCAAGAGATGCCTCCTTATGAGGCTGAAACTTTGATTGCCAATCTTGTGAAATCTTGGATGAGAACAAGAGTTGACATGCTGAAGGAATGGGTAGATAGGAATCTGCAACAAGAGGTATTGTGGCACTTCCTCTTCAGTATATAGATATGAATTCATAGGATAGGGTAATAGCAGCTGTTTACCCCAAGTTTATTTTGCAGCAAAGTATTATCTAAAAGAATGAACTCAGGAATAAGTGTAACTACACGGGAAGCTAAAAATAAATTCTGGTCAGGATATATACTAAGCCCTCAGATCTTATGTGAAAATTTATAGGATTCAAATTGATAAATAGAGGAATACCAGTAACTTAAAACTCTGTTTCTGATTGGCAAATTTGAAACATTTCATTTTTCCATGACCTGATCTTCCAGTTCTTTATTTGTAGGTATGGAATTCACAGGCAAACAAAGAGCGAATTGCTCCTTCTGCTGTTGAAGTTCTACGAATTTTTGATGAAACTTTAGAGGCATTCTTCCTGTTGCCAATACTTATGCATCAAAGCTTGCTTCCTGACTTGGTAACTGGGCTTGACAGATGTCTCCAAAATTACATCTTGAAGACAAAATCTGGTTGTGGTATGGAATTCATTACCTGCAGAATTGTATACCGACATTTAAATTGCAAAGCTCCTATAATACAAAAAATATATATTCCTTTATGTTCTGCAGGGACCCGAAGTACTTTCCTTCCTACTATGCCTGCATTGACCAGGTGTACTGCAGGATCCAAATTCCATGTGTTCAAAAAGAAGGAGAAGTCACATGTAACCCAGAGAAGGAAATCTCAGGTCGGATCTACAAATGGGGATGCCTCCTATGGGATACCCCAGCTATGTGTACGTATTAATACTTTGCAGCACATTCGCATGCAACTAGAAGTCTTGGGAAAGAGAACAGTCATTCAACTGAGGAATTCTAAATCAATTCAAGAGGATGGTCTTGCTAATGGGATGGGGGTGAAGTTTGAGCTTTCAGCAGCTGCTTGTGTGGAAGGAATTCAACAACTCTGTGAGGCAACAGCGTATAAGGTGGTCTTCGATGACCTAAGTCATGTTCTTTGGGATGGCCTGTATGTTGGAGACGTTTCGTCTTCTAGGATTGAGCCTTTTCTTCAGGAACTTGAGCAGTATTTGGAAATTATCTCATCTACAGTGCATGACAGGGTCAGAACAAGAGTTATCACTGATGTGATGAAGGCATCCTTTGATGGATTTTTATTGGTTTTACTTGCTGGTGGCCCTTCCCGTGCTTTCACTCTGCAGGATTCTGAAATGATTGAAGATGATTTTAAATTTCTCACAGATTTGTTCTGGTCTAACGGAGATGGATTGCCAACTGAGTTAATAAATAAGTTTTCTACCACAGTTAAGGCTGTGCTTCCTTTATTTCATACCGACACTGAGAGTATAGTTGAACGATTTAAGAGCCTTACACTAGAGAGTTATGGTTCTTCTGCTAAATCCAGGCTTCCATTGCCTCCAACTTCAGGCCAGTGGGGCCCTACCGAACCAAACACACTATTGAGAGTTTTGTGTTATCGGAATGATGAAACAGCTGCGAAGTTCCTGAAGAGGACTTACAACTTACCCAAGAAGCTGTAACAACCTTGCATATGTGGGATGATGAGGTGTTACAGTTCTCAGGTGAAGAACTGCAATGAAAATAATTGTGGCATTGCCAGTATATATTATATCAAAATGAGATCAAAAGCTCCAACAACATGGTTTTGCTGTATATCGTGATAGAGACAGTACACTTTTGCGGATAGAATACTCTCATGTATAGTGTATTTATTGGTTTGATTCTTTGAGTTTGAAGCTTTAACTGAGCAGTTATAGTCTTGCTGGAGAACTTCACAGGACTGCTCCTGTTCCTTTTATGTAGAGGGCTAACAACATTTGGAAATTTATACATCTCAAGGAAAGAGTGCAGGCATCTTTCTATTAATTATTTGGTGCTCAAAAGGAACGATTCCTCCATTGGAATTGCATAATGAGAAGCATTTGATGGATTTGGTGGGCTGTTTGGCTCTTACTCTTTGTTTTTCCAAAAAAAAAGTCTTATATTCTTATTCCATAAGTCTTCAGTTGCTGAGACCGACTACAGAGATCAAAGATAAAGATTTGGTAGTTTAATTGTGATAAACTTGATAGCTGTGAATGAGTTTGTGGATTGACTGATTGAGCAACATTTGCATCACAATCGTTGTATAAATATAATGCTGTAATTTTGCATTGGTTCCTGATGCCTGTGTATGGCCAATTGCATATTGGATGGTTTTCTGATAATGGCAGCAACTTCAGCCCATATAGTATCTGATGCATGAACATGAATAGGATCCCTTGTGAAAGGATTTGGACCTGATAAGAAAATCATATCTGTAACTCTACTTGGACAACTTACAAAAGAAAAAGTAGGACATGTCCAATACGCCAATGAGGGGTTGTAGAGAATCTAATTCTGTATTGCTCAGTAACAATTCTAACGTATTAATCCAAAATTGATTAGTGTTTGTTACAACACAAGTACTTGGAGAAAATACAAGATCATTTTTAAGACTGCAAAATCTTTGATCGATAAATTGCATCTCACTGTGAAAATGATCAACTATGCCTTCTTGATCCCTCTCCAAATGCTCTCGCATTTAAATTGTATATGAAATACAAACGTCTAAAATCATTAACCTGTAAAAAAGTTCATCTAGTGCCATGGATTCCTCTTATTAGTCCCACTTCTTGAGCTTCCCTTCTGCAACAAGAGTAAATGCAGCCAAAGTAAGTCATTAAAATATTTCATGAGGAATGTAGTGGTAAAACCAAACAAACATCGACCGTCCATACGTACCGATTTTGACTTTTTGGTCTTTCCTCGGATCCTGTTCTTCGGAGGTTTCAATTTGTATATGCGAACCATCCAATGATGAGTTGTGAATACCTAATTTCAACAAAACCCCACCTACTCAGACACGTACTAGCCATTTCCCCAAAATTAAAAAAAAAAAAAAGCATTTTATTTATTTTAATAGGCAAGAACCCAAAGGTTTTTAGAAGTCAGGTAAGAGGGACCTAAAAGAAAGGCACTCAGGGCATGCATTATTTGATTTTTAGGGCACTGCAACTTTGCAACTCCCAAATTCTGGGAGGTGCGACTATTATTAGCCTACGTTATGCAAAACCTGCCAACATGTAATGAACATAAAGATTATCTGACCTCCTCAAAATGTGTAAGTTTGAAATATTTCTTCCCAATTTCTGTTCGCCTGACTCTATCAAAGCCTTTACCATCAGTTTCCACAAACCTGTAGGGAGGAAATTGCAGCATAAAACAACTGTTCAATACTCGAACCAACCATTCACTTCACATTTAATAGGCTACAAAAATCACACCTGTAATATGAGAGCTTGTACATGAGACAATTTAACATAGTTGGTGTAGCCTGATTATCTATTCGATACTGGCCATCCCTCTATGGACAAAAAAAGGCACCAAGTATTTAAGATAGACCAATAAGTAAGCTGAAGCATCTAATCTTGGCCAGAAGACATATATAATGAATTGAATGATTTATATGGACAATATCAATCCAGTATGAGACTTATTGACAAGAATCCAGAAGAATGGAACTTCAATCAAATAAAGCTAAAAATGAGAGTTTACCAGGTAATCAGGCTCTTTAATATGAGGGAATACACCCCCTCCAATACGAACCATCCACAGGAACTTATTTATATCATCACTAGGGTAGCCAACAAGACCTGATGAGTTAAGAAATTCATCAGAACCTTCTTGTATTTCCCCCACCTTTTCTATGGGTAGAAGAAAAATGGGAGGGATGAGGATAGAGGTTTATTTGAGCAAAATGATAATGGAAACAAACCTCCAAAGACAACTAGAACATATTTTACGTCCAAGGAGTTGAAGATTTCCCAGGCTGCCTTTTCAGGAGAAGACATAGCAGTGCCAACAGTTGCAATATGCGTGTTATTCCAGGTATTATTGTCAACAATAACAGTTCGGTTAGCCATAGCAGTCGTTTGATAACCATAGTCCCACCATGATGCAACCTGAAAGAACCAAAGTCCAATCAATCATGTTGCCAGGTTTAAATAACTGACAACAACAAGTTCAAGTATAGACTAGTAAATAATATCACACTACAGAAAGAGAAAGACCATACAATACATTTGATGAAAATAATGATAAAAATTTTCAGTATCCGGTTTTTAACAAAGATCAATGTCATAATTCCAATACCATCAATGCCACGGTTTTTAACAGATATCAACACATGAATACTGTCATTTTAATCTAGTGGGTATGACAAGGGAAAAAATGGAAGAAACTCACTTTATCATCCACCTCAGTATTGTGGCTTAACCATGCATAGGCTTCTCTAAAATCATCAAAAACATGTAAGCCACCATCTTGTGAATAAGATGTTAAAACAATAGAGGGAGCTGAATAAGCTTCTGCTGCTGCCCAGACACAATGAACCTACAAGGTCAAATGTCAGTTATAATCAAAAGACATCTTTTTATTCATAATGAACTGAAAATATTTAACTATATCACAGATTCCAGAATGTAGGCTGGCATTTTGAAATCTCAGAATATAATGGTATGAGAGATACGGGGGACAGGGCCCACATACCACATAGAAGGCACCAAGCAACACAAGCAACAGAATAGCAAAGATAGATGCCTCCAAAGGTAACACAAGAAGCTTTTTTTCAATTTTGGATTTAACCGCTGGCTTATCCACAATCTCTTTCTCCTTCTTTTTGTTCTTTTTTGAAGGCCGTTGTTCCTTTGCTGTGTCTTCAGTTTTCTCAGTCTTTGCTGCATCATTTTGTGTTATAACAGTACTGGAACTAGCATCTCCTGACTTAACAGTCAAAATCATAAATAGAGCTCAGTTCTAAACTGATAAATAGTTGAAGTAACAAAAACCAACAATGTGAAGAAAAAAATACATGCTTACATCAATTTGGGAACTGCTTGATGATCCGGGGAGCTGAAACTTGATTGATCGGGTGAAAACACTAAAAGCTTCAGAAAGGGCAATTCCAGACATGATGCATGCAGCTGGGGCAAGTACAAGCATCAGACGCACCTATAATATGATCAAAATTCAAGATCACCCAAGGAGGCTCCAAGGAGTAGAAATACACAGTCATATTAGAGAAGCCAAGATTTTCCTTACCATGACTCCAGAAAAATATACAGATGTGACGATGTAAAGGACAACAAAGGAGCTTGCATCAGATAAAGGAAGAAAGCATGACTGCCAACAAATAAAGACAATGATGAAACTAGCTGTAAATGCAAGGTTATGTTTGAAAAGGCAAACCCATGTTGAAAACATAACTTACAATAATCCCGGCAGGAACTAGGAAAGCCAAAACATTGATATCCATGAAGTAAGATGGCCATGTAGGGGGTTGATGTTCGCTAACACTGGCAATAATTGGTATATACTTGCTTGCATAGGTTCTGTCACAATGAAATGAACAACAGAATGTGAGTTGCATAAGATTGCAAGTAAAACAGATGGCCCCCAACCCCCCCCCCCCCCCAACAGAATGTGAGTTGCATAAGATTGCAAAGTAAACAGATGGCCCCCAACCCCCCCCCCCCATCCCAACCCCAACAGAAACGGAGGGGAAAAGGGGAAATAATAGAGCGAGAAAGAAAGAGAAGAAGAAAGATATGAGCAATGACTGATGAAGGTCGGACTTGGTTGTAAGAAACTCAGTAACTACTCCTTTTATAAATTGGCCCCAACACTTTAAAAATGACTAAATAGAAGGACATGCCATAAATTGAGAAATCAAGCTACTTTACGGGTCAAGCAACTTAACTTCCTTCCCCCCCCCCCCCAATCCCAACCCCACAGAAACAGGAGGGGAAAAGGGGAAAATAGAGCGAGAAAGAGAGAAGAAGAAAGATATGAGCAATGACTGATGAGGTCGGACTGGTTGTAAGAAACTCAAGTTATACTCCTTTTATAATTGGCCCCAACACTTAAAATGACTATAGAAGGACATGCATAAATGATGAATCAAGCTACTTACGGGTCAAGCAAACTTAAACTTCTTCCACTCCATCCCTTTGTTGGACTAGAAGCTACCAATGCTATTAGAACTGCCATCACTGCACAACAGACTGCCCTGAAAAATACATAATGCCCAAGGATGGATGGATATCATTTTATGTTTTATGACAGAATGGCTTACGACGTTAAAAAAAGGAAAAAAAGAAAAGAACAGTAGTAATATTCATCATACTCTATATTAGCTCAGAATTTATATTATAATTACTTGAAAGTTAACATAGTAAAGAAAAAAGATGCTGAAAGGATTCTTACAGGCCAACAGATACAACAAGGGTAACAGCTACTTTAAACATTTTTGGAGAGAGAGTCCTTTTGATATAATACACAAAAGCCACCACATGGATTATAATGAAAACCTGCAGAAATACAATTAATAACAAGAGAAGGCCTGAGATAAAGAGAAGTAAAATTATGATCAAATACACAAGGTTGAAAGTATAGGGTAAAGGAATCTTTCTGGCAACCAAAGAAACTGAAAAGTCAAAAGTACGGCGTCAGTCAGAGTATCCTATGTACTAATCATTAGTAAGACTTCCAAGATTAACTCATATCCCATTCTCTTAGAAAGGGCGCTGCAGCTCCCCATATAAATGCCATTAATAGCTTTAAAGAACCTTGTAAACATGACATAGTACACTGAAAGACAAGCCATAGAAGTTGCTTATCTTGAAGAGGGCACGATATGGCTAAAACAATAAAACCAAAAATAATCCAAGCTGCTTGTCAGCTATTAAAACTCAACTTCAAAAAAGCTTGCTTGAGGTCATTCATTAAGGTTAATAATGAATTAAGTCAAACTCACTTACTAAATCATGTTTACAAATCATCAAAGCTTAAAATGAGTGCAATTCAATTTTTTCAAAATTCAAGAGCCAACTCATATGTTGACATATAACTTATTAGTAGCTTGAGTTGGAATTTAAATTTTATGTTTGATTCCATATGGAGTCCACAAATGCCAAAGCTTAGGTAAGCTAAATTTATTTTGACTCCTATTGCCCACTAACATCATTGGTTAGAGCCTTTCTTACCTTTTCTTGTCAATGATTCCAATATCTAAGGAAAAAATGAAGACTGATATAGTTTATAATTATATGAAGCGCCAAACAGTAGAGTGAATTATGTTTTAAAGATGGAAGACAGAGGGAGCTCACCAAAAAAGAAGCAAAATGTTCTGATGTCATGACTGCATTAAAACCAACAACAGGCACCAAAGCAGCCAGTAAAGTTCCTAAGACCACCTGCATTAAAAAGTCACACTTTCAACAAAAGCCAACTAAATATCATTTGTTTGGAGATGATAATGCAAACCTTCATATCTAACTAAAGAAACTTTTATTTGACAGTGACACTAGATGGCTGGCAGAGATTATAAAAATAATAATTGCACATTCTTGAAAGAACTCCCAAAGCTACTAGCCTGAGTGTCAAAAAGAACACACTTTTATCCATGAGACCTAAGCATGGTAACTCGTTGTCTCATCCTATTTAATAGAGATGATATTCTACATCCATTTTGCAACATTAGTAAAACAATAAGGATGCTGAAACCTACTCCATCCAGTGCCAGAATGCACCAGAATGCAAAATGATATTTTACTGATATAATTAATGTAAACTGAGAAATAATAAATCAGTCCTCCCCTTGAAAGTTCAACATCAGCAGCGCGATAATATATATGCCAGATACAATAACACAAAGTGAGGCCCAGAACAAGATCCACATCCAATCAAAACTGTCATTCTTATTTTCCCAGTTCTTTTATGGTCACAGGACAACCTATGTTTTGGGCTACTTCTCACTCATTCTCTAAAGAAATAGCAACACAACATGAATATTTCAAATTTCAATAATCATAACAGAACATTCATTATGTTTTTTATTTTCAACGTGAATATGATCAGAACTGTATGAGTACCATAGATACTTACAAGAGGAGCATATGCAATATACAGTCGAGAAGAGTACCGACCAGTCACAATGCACAAAAGGACATGCATTGGAATAAGATTAATTATAAAGGTGTAACCTCCCCACGAGCAAACCTAAAAGACAATATTTAGAAAATAATAACAATAAAAATGATAATTCATTATAAAGCCAAACTACATTAGCAGGACACCTACCATGTAGAAGTATGCTAAGGCATTCAAAGTGGCATAAAAGAGGGACCCTGTATTCAACGTCTGTACATAGTAGAAAATTAAAGTAAGCAAAGAATCAAAGATGGTAAAATATTTTCAAGAAATTCATAAGGTACTAAAACCATTAACCAGTACATTAGGATACATCTTATTGTGAGCATTTTTAAAAAGAATGCGTTAAGAGTTTCTAACTTTTACTAGCATCTTACCTTTATATAAAGATAAAAAGTGAAGATTAGAGCAAATATAGCTACAGCTTCATTATCATAGCTGCCAGCTACTGATCGAGATATATATGATGGAACCTGCAACAAAAGCAAGCATTTAACTTCAGGCATCAGTACAGCATACTCAAATGGCTGGAGGAGCTCATCTAATACAAAAGACCATTCCATCCATGCAAATTTGTACTATTTATCTAAACTTTTCTTTAAGACAAAAACATGGGGTAACTGCTCAACTTTTGCATATGAAACGGCAAACTGGGTGGAGCTTTCTGTATCAGGCTGCTTATTGCAGTTCACAACAAGAATCCAGCTCAGTTAGATGTTCTAAACTAGGTCCTTAGTCCCACTAGCCCAATGAAGAACAAGAATCCAGCTCTTGACATGATAACAGTTATATGCATTCCTTCAAATTTTCTAACAAATTTGCCACAGAATATGTAGCTTGCCTATATAGAGTTAGTGGTGTATTAGAACCATCGACTTCCACATCTACTGCATTTATTACGAATGATTATCAAACACCCAGATTCAATGAACAAAAATGAAAACTGAATTATGTATGACAAATATTGAAGACAGTGATCTACTGTATATAGCTTAATAGTGAAGACAATATTAACCAGGTTCACTAGAATAGGTCCCTTCTCCAGTAAAACAAGTCCTATAGGCTCATCAACCCTCCATCTGGCCAACTAACAAAGGAGGTTCTTCAAATTTGAAAACATCATTGAACTCCAATTATGAAAAATAGCATTTCTCTAGAGGACATAGTATAGCTGTACTTTAAGGAATAAATAATATAAACGATTCTGTTTCAGTTTATTGCCAACCTCTTCTAAGTTCTAATCGCACTCCATTGAAACAATAATAAAGGATCCAGCCCTCCCAGTCTAACAAAGATAGGGACTACCCAGGTCATAAACTACCACAAATGTTATAGAATTGCATCATTCGAATTCTTTAACAATAAATTGGTTCCTTTCTAACTAGTGGTCTGCAAGGAAAAAATTGCAATAAATGCAATGTGCATTGTATTCTTCTCCTCAACCATTCTAATGGTCAATACTAACTAAATGCGCACAAAGACATTGGCGTCTTCCATGAATTTTTCGTATACCCTTATTCTGTTCTAATACTTGACTAATTAACAGAATCGACAAGATAAATTATCCCAGGTTGACACTAGTTGATAATTCTCAACCGGCAACTACAGACTCAAATTCCATTTATTTAAGTTCAAATAAAATATAAAAATTATAAAAAAAAAATGCACTTTCTGATTTGATTTATTTGCAGGCTGACAATAATATAATGTAGCTTTTTCAATACAGCTACATTGAAAGATTTAAACGTATAAAGTTTCGAATACCCATTGTCTGATTTACCATGGCCAAAAGAGCTGCTGCTGTCAGTCCAGCGCCAGCACCTTTAACTTCCTATCAAGAAGCAATTGCACTACCATCAGCCTATCCGACTTAATTATCATTCAATAAGACGAGAGATCAATTACAGCATATACAAACCTTGGTCAAAAGGTAAGTGGCCCAAGAAGCAAATGCAGAGAAAATCGGTGCAGTGAATACACAAACAGTCTCGACAGATAAAGGAATATTCAATGAATTTAATATCCTGATGTAGGACAGTAACGAGTCAAAAAGTTAGCCAACACAACATTAATCACTACCATATGCCACTTTAAATGTTTTGATCGGTTGGACATCTTTTGTGATTAACTCCAAACATACTCACCACCAAAGTGTTCCTGCTGTCAAGGTCAAACCAGGGTAAACAGTTCCACCAATCACACGACCAAGAGGATACCTGAGTGAAATATAATGAAAGTGGTCAATTTAGAGAATCACACCAAAAACTAACGAATAGGATAAGAAACCAATAGCACTTCTATGAGAATTTATCAACCAGAAAAGTAGCAATTACCAGGTTCGATCATCAAACCAATTCCAAAAGTCATAAATCCCCTTTTTTGTTAGAAACTGAAATCACGAAACAAATAACCTGTCAACTTTTATATATCATCCTTAAATATGATGCGAAACCAACACTGAAATTAGAATATAAATTCAATTTACTTTGTCTTGGCACAACAGTAACAGTACGAGAAATTAAACCTGAGTGACTCTGTAATTGAAATAAGGATCAAACTCGTGAATAACACTCTCATACTTTATGACCTGAAAATCAATCAACAAGCTTGTGAGACTAAACAGCCAATAATGCAGGCGAGCCAATTTCATTACTAAAGCAAATTCAGTCACTAACGAAAATAAGCCACTGAAGATGCTTTAAATTCTCCAACAAACTTAAAATTGGAGGGAAAATTTTTCAACCGAACTAACTCTATGAGTAATTCAATTCAGCCCTTTCATTTCAAACCAAAAAATAAAAATATCACTTCAATTGCGTTTGCTTTTTATCTATTCCCTCAGCAAGGGAAACATAAATGACGAACTTTTATCTCTTTAAATAATCTAAACTTAAAAGCTTAGAAAAAAAAAATTGAGCTACCTTGCATTGAAATGCTCTATCGAGTCTATTGTTGATTTACGAGTAAAACTGAAGAATGCATCAATCATGTCGTTTTACTTCATTTCCGAAATAGATAAACAGGAATTGTGGAATGTGAGTTATACTATTAGGATCGGATCTATAGGATTCAGAAACTTACAGAGAACAGACGGATCGAGAAAGCGAGAACTCCGATCAATATAAGAATAAAGAACGAGAAAACATTGCCAAAGGCGTGTCGCAAGGTCGTTGGCCCTTTGGCGCTCTCTAGGACCGCCATTGATGGAAGAAGAGATAGAGCGTATTTGCGCTCTGTGTCGTGAAGGGTTTTTTGTAGGTCGTCGACAGAAATAGAAGACTTTGGAGTGAGAGGGGAGTGTGAGAGAGGACTATGGCAGCATTGCAAGCAGCTGATTTGCGGGAACTACGAAAATGTCCTTTTGCGATAAATGACGAAAATGATCTCAGGTGCTTCCGCTTATTGCCAATCGTGTCCCTTCTGTATGTACGTGGCAAGATGTTGTTGAAAACAAGGTGGATAGGTCGAGACATACGTGTCTTTTCCACGTGGCGATATTTTATTTGTTGTTTTGTTTGTCTCTCGAGTGTTGCTGATTTTGCGAGCTCAGTCCTCATGGTTTCTAAACTCTCTGCCTGTACTAGGAAGGAGTTGACAGGATGGTCATACATTGGATTTGGGATTATGCAAAATTTATATCCGGTTGGCAAAAATTTTTATATGTCCATGTCTGTATCCATTCTGTATGTATCTATGTTGTATCCATTCTGCTCATATTCAAATCCGGTTGGAGACAATATAATCCACTTTTTATGTTTAACCTAAAAAAATAGAATAATAATTTAATAAAAACTCATATTATTTATTATATTTGAAAACACAAAAATCTTAATAATAATTTCAAATATTATATGCTATGTATACGAGACTTTAGAAATTGTTAAGCGCAAAAAAAAAAAAATCAAGCTATTGGTCTTAATGTTGAACTCATATTCTTTTGTTTGATATAGAAATTAAAAAAAAAAAAACAAAAATAATAAGGTGATTTGAGATAATGATTTAAAAATAAATAGAAAATAAAAAAGTAGGAGCAAAATAAAACAACTACACTCCATGCATATAATTACAATCAACAATTTATAAATATAATTAAAAGATAAAATTACCTTTCACGAATCGGATTCAAATTATACTATATTTATATATGATCCACATTCATATCAGATTTTATTTTGAAATCTATACGAGATTCATCATTAAATTGATAGGACCATGTTGGATATCCGATGAACAGAGTCTTTTAGTCATCCATACGAGTTGATTTAGTTGATGTTATTTATACTGTTTATAAGGGAAGGAGTTGGGTTATTTTAGGAATAGGATTAGGAACATGTATGTTAATGGTACTTTAAATTAAAAATAAAATTTCATTTCATATATAATAAATAAGAAACTAAATAATAGATCAATGATTGTTTCCCCTGAAAATTCATTTTTCAACCAATGATTCCATGTTGATTCATTCTAAAACACAAAAGAAAAGCAATCTTAATTTAATTTATGTATGAAATTGACTCTTGTTATGATGTATATAAGTAGCATATGATATATATTTTTTTTCCATTTTTATATTATGCTTTTCCTTCGTGAAATTTGTGGGTTTGTAGTTTGAAACATTTGGAAGAAAAATTACTTGTCTGTCCACATTACATACATATCATTATTCAAAGTAATGCAATTTTATATTTAAAATCTCATATATTATGCATATGCTTATTGATAAATAAATATTTAAATTCAATTAAAAAACGAGTTATTAAAAACTTATCAACTCTATTATTAAAATTATCAAGTACATAACTATCATCGATTTTTTTAATTTGTATCATACTCTCTTTTAAGTTTTTGTATTAAAATAATACGGGATAAAATAAAATTGGAGAAATGCGAAAATAAAATAAAAGTAGAGAAATAGTCAATTATGCTGAATATAAAGATAATATTTTTGAGAAAAAATAATTCAATAATAATCATAAGTATCTCAAAAATGAAAAATATAATATCAAATTTATGGTGCATAGAGTTGGTTCCATTTGACATTTTAAAAATAACAACGTTACAATAAAGTTTGATAATTTTGCACTTATCATGTTTTAGATAGACATTTTATAAAATTTATTTTTGAATTCACACTCAAATTTAGATTTTAATGCCTGAAAAAACCTAAATAATAACTATATTATTTAAAAAAAAGGAGGGAAAAATATTATATTTTAAAAATTTCACTCAAATTCATAAAATTGTTTTCACAATTGAATCAAAGACGAAATTTACCTTATAATCAAACGTTTCATAGGGAAATTCAAACATTAAAGTGTAAGATGGAAATAATAACACCATTAAAATTATAGTTAGTACAATTTAAGAGCGCTTTTTAATTATTTTGAACCGAATAATCAATCAAAGTATTTCTAAGAACAAACCGAGGGAGAAACAGACGATGGATTTTAAAATTTGGAATATCAATACAACTCCAAGTCACGTGACGCATTATTCGAAACAAAAGGTAACACGTGCCGTCCTTATTTTGAACCGAATAAACCCCGGAAAACCAAAAGAAAATCCCTCTTTGCTTGCTTCCTCTTCCCCCTCTCTCTCTGAATCGAAGCCATGGAAGCGATACTGGTAGACTGTGTAAACAACAGTCTCCGCAATTTCATGTATCGAAACGCCATTTTCATGTGCGAGCGTCTATGTGCCGAGTTCCCATCCGAGGTACTGATTCCCTCAAAATCCAATTTCTTCTCTTTTTGCTTTTTGTTGAAAGGATTTCATGAGCGTTCTGTTTGGTTACTTAGGAACAGCAGGAAAATAGACTGGATTTTGTTTTGTTGTGTTAAAACAGTAAGTAGATGTGTATTTCTACCTACTGTGCTTCTTATTCCAACTGTTCCTGGCAACCAAAAGGAACATAGTTATTAACCGACGAGATCGGTCTCTGGTGTAGTTTAATAATTTCTAGCTTTTTACGCTTCTATTTACTTTTTGCAATTTTATCATTTCTTTTTCATCTGTAGCTTGAGAATCGTGGTTAACTTGTTTTATGTTCCTTTCTCTAGAATATATCAGAATCAGAAACTATTACAAGGGCGACAAATACTTATTTATAGTTAAGCGTACTAGCACGAATAATCTTCTTAATCGCTAGAAATGACAAAATTTCAAGTGTATCAGCATTATAAGGACTAAAGGAATTGGGACCTGGAACTCTTTAAGTGGCTATATTTTTTTTTTTTTTTTTAAATTTGGGGGAGAAAAGGGAGCTTTACTTATATAGCTGGGGCTTCCAGAAGCACTACGAGTTTGACTTTTTCATTAGTTTGTTTGTCTATTGACATTTCATTAATGCACCCATCTTGTGTTTCATGTCAAATAAATTTGACGGGACCAGCACTTTTTAAGTAGTTCTGAAATTTTGGGTGTTTTTTCTACTTTTTGGTATTACTTAATAACTAAATTTTCCTTTGTGCAGGCAAATTTACAATTGTTAGCTGGCTGCTATTTGCAAAATAATCAAGCGTACTCCGCATATCATATTCTGAAAGGTAATATACTGGAAGTTTCCATGTTACCCTTCGTCAACTTGTTTTTGACTTATGATGGTCTTGGTTAACTTATTATTTAATGGTTAACTTTTCCTTTTTGAATTTGTTATTTCTTTGTTGCCACTGGTTCCAGAAAGTGTTGCTTATGAGGCTTCTATATGCTTCTTTGTTTGTTATTGTTTGAAGGCACACAAATGGCTCAATCCCGCTACTTGTTTGCTATATCATGCTTTCAGATGGATCTTCTAAATGAAGCTGAAGCAGCATTATGTCCTGCTAACGAGCCTAGTGCAGAGGTATATATGGGATTCTTCATACAGAAAATGCTTTGCTACCATTTGAAAAATACATTTTCTCTCAAAAGGAATTAAAAAAATCTTCATTATCATATTCAAATTGTGTCTATAAAAAACTTATTCACAGTTTAAGATAGAAAAAATTACCTTGTTTCTCTTCATTTATTTCAAAGCAAGTCTATGACATGAATCTAAGGTCTTGATATATTTGAAGTCCTACTTTTTATTATTGATATATTCCAGGTTTTAGTTTGTTCTTATAGTATCCAGGATGGCAATCACTTTATGTTTTCCTGTCTTATCCCTACAGGTTCCAAATAGTGCAGCTGGACATTACCTTCTTGGACTTATTCACAGGTTGCTCACTGCTTTATATAGTGAGGGTTATAACTTTCATAACTCTTTTGCATTTTACATCATGGACTTTAAGTGCTGAGAAACACCCATATTGGGTTATCCTTGTAATCAACGAAGTTGTTCTTTTTCTGGAGGTGGCTTAAACCTCCACTTTAAAAATGTATGCTTATATTCATAATTTTAACTTGATAAAACAAAAGGATAAGTAAGATAATGATATCCTTTTTTCACCTCATCATAATATTTCTGCTGCTTGCATAGCATAAGCATGAGATGTTGATGGAAGTGGTAGAATGATTTTGCCTTTTCTAAATTTTTATTGATTGTTTGATGTCTTTTGTTAATACATTCTGCAAAACCCTTTAATGTTCTAAAGTTTTATTCATAACTATCTTTAACACACTCCTGAAAAGAAATGTTAAGGGCATGGTGCCATAATTGAATTTCTGAACCACCATTACTATTGAAATACTGATCTTTATTTGGTGGGCTTAGGTACACTGATAGAAGGAAAAGTGCCATTCACCACTTCAAGCAGGCTTTGGCTATAGATCCTTTACTTTGGGCTGCATATGAAGAGCTGTGCATTTTAGGTATGGTCAATGTATGCCCACGTGACTCTCTTTTCTTCTCTTTGCGCTGCTGTATTTACAGCATTGCTTCTCAAGTCGAAAGAAGTCTTTCTAGCTGAGAAATATAGTTTCATTTTCTTAGTGCATATGCGCTTGCTTTCATATGCCACTTAACTTAAGTAAAAGCTATCCCTCTTTGAATTTTGTAGGTGCTGCTGAAGAGGCAATTGCATTTTTTGGTGAAGCAGCTGCTCTTTGTATTCAAAAGCAGTTCATAAACCATGCATCGGCTTCCCAAAACATGCATATGTCCAATGAGGATCGTAATTTACTCTCCATTAGAAACTTTGCCTCCGAAGATGTTAGTCCTAGGCAGTTGAAGCACACACAAGGGAATAACCTAAGGGATATTGCTGGAGCTGCAACTATCAATCAACCTCCTAACGGTGGCCCTCCAAACTTGCCATTTTATAATACTCCTTCGCCAATGGCCACTCAGGTATGACAGTGTGAATTATCAATTATGTAAAGTTATTGGTTGATGGGAAGGTTACAGTAATTCCCTTTTCCTTTCCTGACTTTGCACTGAAGCAAGTTATTGTGATAGTTGTCATTTTATAGCAATCTCCAACTTGCTTGTAATTTTTTATCAAAAAATATGTTATCTGGGTAACGGTATATGGGATTTTTATTGCTGATTTAAGGTGGTGTCCTGAAGTTATCTATTTTCTTTGTGTTTATGTGCATAAGTTGTCCTCAATTGTGCTTTTATATGGACAATGCTTTCCAGTTCGTATAAAAAAAATCTGCCAAATTCTCTCTACTGAAGTTAGTTCTTTAATTTGCTTGGTATTTGTTTTGCTTCCTCTGTAGTATATCTCTGACAATGTATCATATTATTCTTCCTTTCTGCTTTTCGACTTCTGTGTAGGCGTTGAGTGTGGTATAGGCTTTGGGTTCAGATCTTACTATTTGCTTTTTCTAACTTTTCCCTGTGGCTCAACCACTCACATTCCAGCTTCATTTTCTCTGCCTAACATGCATGGTTTCTCTGGCTTAGGTTGGAATCTGCTTTGCTATCTTGTATATATCTGTTCATCTCCTATGTTAGATTTGTTTCCTGATCTGAATAACAGATATTATATTTTCTTATGAAGCGAGTCTTATGCTAACTCTTTTCTCTGCCTGCCTATTCTTGCTCCTTGTTTTCCCAGGTAAAATGTGGGATTACTTTTACAGTTTTTTTAGAGCATTCTCCTGCTCTGTATGCATGCACCTATTCTTTCTTGTGTACTTCACTTGTTATTGCATGTTGCAACTCCATTTCATTTCTTTGTTTTCTTTGTTTCATAGCAATGATAGTAATCTTTTTCACTTACTTGTCATAAACTTTTTTCCCTGCCTACAAGGTTTGTATTGACCATGTAGAACGGTATGTGTGTTTCCTAGTTCACAGTTTAACCATTCATCTGAGATCTTCTACTTTTATGCAGTTGTCAGCTGTTGCCCCACCACCTTTGTGTAGAAATTTGCTGCCAAATGGTCCAAATCCTATCGCACTTGGTGCTGATAACTCCCCAAAGTCAATTGTCAACTCTAATATTCAAGCCCCTCGAAGAAAATTTGTTGATGAAGGGAAATTACGGAAGGTTAAGAACTGGATCACTCAGCCGCCTTTCCAACTCCCCACCCAATATATCTTCTAATCATGAAATTTTGTTCTTTTTGTCTATGCTTTACCTAATTGTTGAAATTCATTGGCATTAGAACTGCCTTTCCTTGTCTATGGTAACCTTGAGACTGCTTTCCTTGTGGACTGCCATTATTAAGCTTCGGTTTGCTAGCTTGGTTGTGTCATGTAACTTTGTAAAACTTGTGATTAATATATGTATTTGTTCTATGTTAAATTGACCTACTTCTCTCTCTCGCAATATTTTTACATAAGTTTCTTTGACTTGTTTTCAGATCTCTGGGAGGTTATTTTCTGATTCTGGCCCTCGACGAAGTACAAGACTAGCTGCAGAAGCAGGGGCCAACTCAAATACAACTGCTCCATTGGTGGCAGGGAATGGAATTAGCAACTCATCTAAATATCTTGGTGGTTCTAAATTGAGCTCTATGGCACTACGATCTGTGACAGTTCGTAAAGGACAATCATGGGGCAATGAAAATTGTGATGAAGGTGATGATTCGTCTTTCATTTCACTAAATTTTGGGATTTATGCTTCTCCGTTGAAATTGAAGTGCTTGCTGAAATGGGTTTCTTTCAATATTGAAGTCATGTTAGCAGCAGTTAAAGTCATCTTTAGTTCACATTTTATAATTGCACAAGACTTTACCAAGTTCAACAGATGTGGTTTTTCTTTGATATTTCATGCCCATAAGTTACAGGATTACTTCTAAGCAATCAGGCTATATATTAACTTAGAAGTGGAGTTATTGCCTATTGGCTGACTCTTTAAGTATGAGTGGGAATGCTTTGCATTCGTACTACATATCTTATTGTATTTGTTCAATGCACCTAATTTCAGAAAATTTTCTTGTTTTTTTTTCACCCATCATTTTTTTTCTTCCATAATTTATGTTTCCTGCCTGTAGCTTCTTAGTTACCATTTACCAAGTCTCTGAAAAACTGCAATTATCATTGTTCTTCTTAAGGAATACGCAATGAGACTTTTGATGATTCACAATCAAATATTACAACACATTCTACTTCATCACCCTCTGGTGATAGTAGGCGTCTTGAATCTGAAGGAACATCTATACCAGTTGGTGGAGTTCTCATGAGTGCCTCAAGGGTCTTAACTGGGGCATCAGAATTATTAGGACTCTTGAGAACTCTTGGGGAAGGCTATAGACTTTCCTGCTTGTACAGGTGCCAGGTATTAAATATTGGTTGCTGAGAAAAACTTACATTAGTACTCTTGTTTCCTGACTATGTAATGATTGTTCAAGCTGCTCCTCGGTATGACAGGATGCACTGGATGTCTATATGAAACTGCCCCACAAGCATTATAATACTGGCTGGGTACTTTCCCAGGTAATATCAATGCCCTATGTATTTTGTGCCTCTCCAGCTGATAATTCACGAGTCACACTGGTAGACACACACAACCTCCCCTGTTCTGGTGTTGGCAGCCTCATTCTCTTTATTGAGGTTGCAGGAAGAAATAAAGCAAGTCTTCTTGCATGAAGAAAACTATTGGAAATTTTGAAATTTCAAAATAGAGATGAAAAGGTTCCTTTCCATTTCCTTAGGAATTTGGGAACTGCAGTTGAAATTCACATCAAATTTCTGCTTTAGTGAATTATCTATGTTTTTACACCTTGCAATATTAATCCTCGATTTATTTAAAACTTGTTGTATAGCCTTTTCAAAATTTGATTCAATTTGCTGATAAATGCAGGTTGGAAAAGCATATTTTGAATTAGTTGATTATTTAGAAGCTGAGAGGGCTTTCAATCTTGCTCGTCGAGCATCACCATATAGTTTAGAAGGATCGGATATATATTCTACTGTTCTTTATGTGAGTTTTGTTTATCCTCATTTCTCAGGCAGTTATGTTAATTTAACTTTGTTATTGCAATTCTATCAGTGTCTCAGTCAGGAGAAGGTAAGAATTAAGAAAGTCATTCTGTAAACTGAAATCGGTTCATCATTGTAACTCCTTTTTGCCTTAACTATTGCGTGCAAAATATTAACACAGGCATGTTTTACCTTTTTGCTTAATACGTGCTTCCTCTTGATTTCGCCTCATGTACCACTACAGCCATGCTTGCCTTCAATGAAGTAAAGCAATGCCTTGTGTGGTCTCAACTACCCTCTGAAAATCCTGAAAAATCCAGATGATATTGAATTTTCCCCTAGTTTTTTTACTCTCTTTGAATTGTTTTCTTAAGTTGTCATGCTTGATGCTTCCGCTACTGCTATTTCTTACTCGTAACCTTGCTTCATCAGAATTTTGTTCTTATCTTTGTTGCAGCATTTGAAGGAGGACATGAAGTTAAGTTACTTGGCCCAAGAATTGATATCAACTGATCGTTTGGCTCCTCAGTCTTGGTAGTGTTATCATGCTTTTGCTAATAATATTGTGCATCATCACACTTGCTATTGTTAACCCCTACTAACCATCAGATATCTCCTGATTGAGGTTATGCCCTTGATCATTCTACTTGTTGGCATTTACAAAGCACAGCTCAACTAAGCCTTGTTTTGTAGTTTTAGTTGTGCTAGAAAGCAGTAAAGTTGTGAATCTTTAATATTTTCCTTCCCTCTGATTATATTGCTCTTTCCCTCTGAAAAATCAATTTTTAATAATGCCATTCTTTTTACTTTGTTTAATATTCTGTATTCAGGCTCTTAAATCTTAAGATCTTGTTACACCAATCTCAGGTTGGTGTGTTTTGAATATATTGACAGGGTTGAACACCAAGCCTACACATTTCCCTTTTATGCAGTTCTATTCAGCATCTTGAGTTGTTCCCATAATCACTGTCCTCACCTTTTTTTTTCCTGGATGGACGTGCAGGTGTGCCATGGGAAACTGCTATAGTTTGCAAAAAGACCATGAAACTGCACTGAAAAACTTTCAGCGGGCTGTGCAGCTTAATTCAAGATTTGCCTATGCCCATACTCTTTGTGGTCATGAGTATGTCACTTGATTCCCCTTTCACTCCCCAAAAAATGGGATTTAAGTATTTAACTGTTATAAGAATATTTTTTTAAGGCTAGACTTTTCTGTATTTTAAACATGTATTTTTTTTTTCCGGCAATAAATTTCTGTCGCAGAAATGTAGCTTTGGAGGATTTTGAGAATGGAATTAAAAGTTACCAGAGTGCCTTACGGATTGATTCCAGACATTATAACTCCTGGTACGGTCTTGGGATGATTTATCTTCGACAAGAGAAGTTTGAGTTTTCGGAGCATCATTTCCGAGTCGCTTTCGAAATAAATCCACGTTCATCTGTTATAATGTCATATCTTGGGACGGCTTTACATGCTTTAAAGGTCAAGTATTGATTGATATTTGGGATACATAACTGTCAATCATCTATAGCTGTCTGAAATTCTTTTTATATTATGCAACAGAAAAATGAGGAAGCTTTGGACATGATGGAGAGGGCAATTTTAGCCGATAAGAAAAACCCGCTTCCCATGTATCAAAAGGCTAATATACTTGTGAGCTTGGAATATTTTGATGAAGCTCTTGAAGTTCTAGAAGAGCTGAAAGAGTATGCCCCTAGAGAAAGCAGTGTATATGCTTTGATGGGTAAAATCTATAAGAGGCGTAACATGCATCAGAAGGCAATGCTTCATTTTGGTCTTGCTTTGGATTTGAAACCATCTGCAACAGATGTTGCTACAATTAAGGTGACTGGTGTATTTTACTAAATTCTTCATGGAATTGAATATCATATGTGAAAGAAAATGGGCTCTAAGGAAATGTTTTGGTATTATTTGTCATACATTTGTTAAGGTTCCACTTATTTTCTTGCTTTTCTCTCTCTCTCCCTCTCTGGCTTCATTTGAATATGCAATGGTTTCTTCTTTTGCTTCTTCTCTACTGGTGCAGAGTTATACTCTGGTCAACACTCATGCTTATATTTTAACAGGCTGCTATTGAAAAGCTGCATGTACCAGATGAAATAGAAGACAGCTTGTAGATGTTCAAGTTTTGGCAATACAAAAACCGAGAACCTGACACAAAATATATGGCTCAGAACTTACTGGCTCAGGAGATCCCAAGCCTGTGCTTTCGATGAGTGGCAAATAAATTGCTTCATCCTTGATGCATTTGCTGTTCGGGATGTCCCTTACATCCAACAGGCCTTGTACATCTTCTCATAGGTGATTAACTTGCACTGACAGAAAACTAGCTAATGAAGGCTGTGGAGACTGGAAACTGCAACACTTGTACGATAGATGTACCATCATGTCAAGAGGAAATGGTAGGTATGATTCATTTGTAGCTGTTCATATTTGTATTTTATTGTCTGTTCTCTTCAAATTAATGATTACCTCACGGATTCTGGCTCACAGCCAGATTTTTTGAACCTCGATCAAATCCTTGGGATACTGTAATTGTACTGAGGTAGAGATGTAAGGAATTTTTGTGCTTATTCCACTCATAATCAAAATCTCTGAGTTTGATAGAGTTTTGTCTATGCTTTGAACAAGTAGCTCCGGAATCTATCATCATACTGAAAATTATTTTTTTGACCATATGATTCTGAGTTTGGATATTACAGTATATAGTTGAAAATAAATTTGTTATTTGCATGATATGAATCGAGTGTACTAGTGTACAGAAATTATTCAGCACATACAGAAATGGAAGTTCTACACTTGGAGAGAGAATCTATTCCTTGTTTTGAACTTGGAGAGCATCTTCCACACTCTTTACGAAGCTTTTCACAGCACAATCATAAATTGAAAACACATTATCAAAGCTGGATCCTTCAATTGGCTTCAAAGCAAACGACCATGTTACTTCGCACCCACTTTGCTGTTGACTTTCAAAAGGCAGCAATTTAATTGTTGCCATATGTGAATTGAACCCTAAATTGTTTTCCATAAGCTTATAGCTGAGACACTTTCCAATAGGATCAATAGAAAGCAACTTCTCATGTGCCCAGTTCTCTACTGAGCCATCACCGGAGCTCGAAGCTTTGGAACAGTACCTGATGCAGCCAGGCTGACCGGAGGTGCCTTCAATTCCATAACAGGTATCTATTATTGCAGGAATATATCTGTGGAAATTGAAGAAGTCCTCTAGAAGAGGCCATATCTGGTCAGCATTGTAACCTGAGACTATGCCGCTAACTGTCCCTTCCCATCTTTGTGCAGTATCATTAGCCATGTTTGATTCAAGTGCCTCTTTCTATCTACGCCAAGAACATATATAATAGCTTTCTACCCTTATAGGGGGGTTGGATCAACCGTCCAATTTTGTCTCCATATGGTGAGCATATTGTAGAAAACCGAATTGAGATTCTACCGATGGTAGTTTGTGGACATAATGATAATGGACGGTGTAAAATTTTAACAAAAAATATTTTAATTATTGCTCGGTACGTCATTTTTTATGTGAAAGCCAAAACCCTTATCATATATACCGAAAGATTTTTCTGTCATATATTTAAAGATAAAGTTTAATCGTAAATAAATTAGTTTAGGCATAAATACATTAACGATAATGTCGGGAATTACAGATGCGATTTGTAACAGAGAAACCGAGAAGGAAGTAAAGAATTGGAAGACGAAGGAGCAGAGAGAAGCTTCTAGGCATTATTTGTCACATACCTTTTCTTCAAAATTGAATTCTTCTATGAAATGGTAGTTTGTGATATGATGGAGGGCAGAAGTAAATCTTTTTTTTTTTTAAAATATATTGATTTATTTATTTGATTTCATATTTAGAACTCGTTATTAGAAAGTGGTTTCTTGATTCGGTCCATTTTACAAAATCTATCCATTTCGAGAGTGACCGTTGCCAAATCTCATCTCAAAAATGTAAAATAATTATTAACAAATCCAATTTTTCAATTTTTTTTTTTTTTTTTTTTTTTCTCAAAAATGTTAAAAATAATATATTAACAAATCCAATTTTTTCAATTTTTTTTTTTTTTTTTTTTTGGTTAATTTCATTTTTGATCTTTAAATTGTTGTCAATTTGAAAAAACTGAATTTTTTTTTTTTTTTTTTTTTGGGAATTTCATTTTGATCTTTAAATTGTTGTCAATTGAAAAACTCGTCCACTCTAATATTTGATGAATTAAAGATAAAATTTCCGGCATAAAGATTCGTCAAAGGGTCTTTCTACAAATATATTTCTGCTTGGCTCTGCACATTCTTTTTGTATGGTTTCGATTTGGGTGCACGTGTTTATAATTCATTTGAAAATTTTTTTTATCTACAACCAGTGTACGGAGATTGTTCGTACATCAAATCCATCAAAGGCAGTGATATTTCCGTACAGTTATAACGGAGAAAAATTTTATTTGGACAAAATTGCCCTTTCCTTTGATTCCTCTAGGGAGTTGGTTATTTTTGTTGTGCATCATCTTTGTTGTTTGAGGATGCTTGAACAGAGTTTTTCCAGGTGACTCACCTCCATCATCTACCGAATTTGAAAGGACGCCATCTTTTTTACTGCAACACTTGCTATTGTTGTCTTTTCTGGTTGTTTGGCTTTCTTTTTTTTTCTCAGTTTATTAATTTTGTCTCGATTTTAAAGGGTTTTAATCTCATAGCCACCAAAATTCAAATAGAAAAATACTAATCAAACATTAATATATATGTTCTTTACAGTTCACTAAGCATTCCATTTTCTAAAACTACAAAAGAGATCCTAGAAATACCACCACCCGAATAACAACAACAACAACAACAATAATAATAATAATAATAATAATAATAACTGCTGTGTTAAAAACCATGATAAGTACGGATCCCTCAAGCATGGACAGCATCTGCCATTCTCTTGGCCATAACTTGCAAACCAGATCCAATAAAAAAATCCAAATCTTCAAGTCTCCAACCTTGTACAGGCTCAACTTCATATTTCCACTCTATTTCACAACCACCTTCTTTTGGATACACTTTTACAGTTGAAACATACCCATTAAACCCTACGTTCCCATCTACAATACTATAACTAAAAACCATTTCTTTTCGATCAATAGATAACAGTTTCTGCTTTGTCCAATTCATTACCTTATCATCATTATTAACTGGTGTTTTAAAACCAGCACAGTAACGGACACATCCTGGTTCACCAGATATGCCTTCAATAGGAATACAAGTGGCGAGAGTTGGAAACCACTTGTTTAAGCCAAAGAAATCTTCTAAAAATGGCCAAATTTGCTCTGCCTTGGCGCCTTTGATCTCTGCACAAGCCTTTCCTTCCCACTTGGCCATTGATTTCTTATCCTTTAAGCTCTAGTTTTGCTTAATAATTATATGTTCAAAGAGAGAGGTCACAGTTATTTTATAGAGATAATTACGTACATAGCTAGAAATATAAGCATTATTCCCTTCAGAATAACGTCCAAATTTGAGAGCAATAGATCATGGGCCTGGATTACGTGGAATGGATTTGATTTTCTGTTCAAATTGGGCCAAGCTACGGCCCAGTTTTCTCTAATCATGCAAATCATTTTCAAATACCAATAAATAATTAATAACCTAGCTATCATACTATGAGTATTAATTTAATGGAATTCAAGTCATTTTCAAAATTTCAAAGCAGATACACTAGAGCAAAAAGTATAATTATAATTATAGATAAGAATAAATATTCAAAATAATTATGAGATTATAAGTTGAACTCACCGTCACAAACCAAAGAAAACAATTAATTTGCTTTCCTTTTGTCAAATTTTTAATTTATAAATGATTAAACATCTTTGAAATGGTTCAAAATAAATTTTAATAATTTAAAATTCTAATTTTGTGGTAGAAATTTCGAGTTTTTACCCGTAATCTTTAAATAAACGATCGATCATATGACATCCCGACCCGGCAAAGCGATCCGAGGATGGCAGGCTGGCCAGGGTAGTGAAATGTGGGACACAAGAATGAATCGAATCATATATCGAAAGGAGAAAAACTAATCATTAGAGGAACCTTTTGGTGGAGTGGCTGGAGAGTTGGTTAGTGAAACCTATATCAGAAATCGAATCACTCACAATAATAATACAGAAAGGAGAAAACTAAATCATGTAGAGGAACTCCTTTTTGGATGGAGTTGTGCTGGAGAGTTGAAGAACTCCAGGGTTTTAAGCGTGCTCGCTTAACAGAATCTCAAAATTGGTGTGACCTCCTGGGAAGTTTTCCATTTCACTTTGCGGGACAAAACCATGCGGAGTTTTCCATTTCACTTGCGGGACAAAACCATGCGGGGTAAGGCGTCTGTGGATTACACCAAAGCGGACAATTCCTCTGGTGATTAGAGTCGGGACGTGACAGATCATATTTGTTGAAGTCGTTATATACCTTTATTATGAACAACAACGAAATCATAATTATTAATTTAAAAATTGTGCAGCTGCATATATAAATTTCATTAAATGGAGATAAGATTGTTTGTGCAAGTAGCTTAACGCTATTTGGAAATTATAAGAGGTAGCCATAAAAGCAACAGTGCCCACCATGAAAAAGAAAAATAAAGCTCGGAATTGGCAAAGTCTTGAAGAGTATTAAGTCCAGCAACTATATTTATTAATCACAACAATAAGTTACGTTTGCTAAAGAGAAGACTCACAAAAACAAAGAAAACGACATTGAGTGTTGCAGCTTTAAGTCTATTGTCCTTTAAACGGACCACCAATAATTTAGGATTCAAATATCTCTAATAATAATTCTCAAAAGTCTTTTTGCTCTTCAATTATTCCGAGAGAAATCATCAAATATTAGTTCTTCCCTAATTTTAGTTACTGTCAGGAATTATTTATTCGGACTAAATCAATCAAAAATAAATTATTTTTTTTTATTAATTAATGAGTACTGTTTTTATCTTCTCAACCTTAGGATCCTCTAATGTCCTCGTCCTACAAATAGTTCAGACATGGCCCAATGTAAAGGCATTATGTTTGGAGAGAAACAAGCTTGTTCTATATAAAAGCTAACAAAAACCTAAAAAAGTGATTCCATTTTGATTTTATTAAAAGCAGTAAACACATATAGTGCTCCATTGATGTTGATGGGTTTGCTTTCTCGTTTTGGCTTTATATACTTTGATTAATTATATACAAAAGGTACTATATAATTATTATACAAAAGGTACTATTATATATATATATATATATATTATATAATATTATACTATATTATATAATAAATTAAATTTGTGCTGGTGTAAATTTCAACTTTTGAATTTAATTAATCTAATCATAGAATATGGCTAATAACAATGATTTGTATGTGTATTTTTTTTTTAATATAAATTATATAATATCACTTTTTAAAATGCAAAGGGGAAAGGAAAATTTCCTAGTTCTTTAATTAATTTAATTAAATTAAATTGTGCTGGTGTAAATCAACTTTTGAATTAATAATCTTAATTTCATAGATATGTAATAAATGATTTTGTATGTGATTTTTTTAATATAAATTATAATAATTCACTTTAAAATGCAAAGGGGGAAAGGAAATTTCCTAGTTTTAATTTAATTTAATTCAGGAAATTATTACTCATGACTCTTGCTTTATCGAGAAGAACGAACAAAAGCTGACCTTGGTCTTCTCCTTTTTTCATTTGACCAAGCCAGGGCAAGGGTAATTTTCCATGCAATTCCTTCCGATTTAAGTAAATTTATTATGTGTAGTTAAACTTGTTTTTCACTGTAATAACGCGGAGAAGTGGACTGTGGACTGTTCTTAAAATTTGACTTTCATATAAAGAATGGCAGCTTCTTGTCTATTTCTATATGGCTAATAATTACTTTGATGAATGATTAACATCAGTTGATTAGTTAATTATTTTTTCAGGAGGAGGGTCGGCTGCCTTTAGTCGTTCTTTTCAATTAGTGCCCCCATGTTTCATGCTAGTAAAGGACTTCCATTTCAATTTCATCAAATTAATTAATTAATTACTAACATCTCGTACCAATCCAATGAAACTTTACTTTATTGCAACAATAAAAATATTTAGACTCGGACTTTATCGAGTAAAATTAATTGTTTGTCTGTTATTATTTATTTTAATAACTTTTATATTAGTGTTTTATCGAATGTTAAAGAAAATGATGTTTTTATAATATGTTATTTCAATTATTAAATACTAATATAAACGTTATGTCATTAATATCATTAATAATAAAAATAATACTTTAATCTAATGAGAACATTAAACGCTATTTATAAGCAATAAATTAATTGATTGGATCTGATATATGGACTAATTTTTCTACAAACACTCTCTTTTCAATCTAACGAGTTCCACCATATTTAGTGTTTGTTTTATTTATTTATTTATTCCTGATAATGACACGCAATAATAATTTATAGCAAACGGTACTAAGTTACGAATCACACTTACTTTAGTAAGTAACGCTATTAAGTTATGACAGGCGGGGGGAGTCGGTCCACGTGTCTTGATTAGGATTCCATATGCTTTTCAGCTCAATGGCCCGCCCAAAAAAAAAACAAAAGTTAAATGTTTAAAAAAAAAAGAAAAAGAAAAATAATTAGGTCGTAATCGTAACTTCTAGAAGCTATATAACGTTCAATAATTTTATTATATATTTGTTAATTAGAGAATAGAGTCATTTTGGTTCATACGGTTCTTGTGGACTGCGGGTACACAGTCCAGGCTGCAACAGGTTGGCTAGTCCTTTCGTTTTCAAAAATAATTAAGCTGAGAGAGAAGGTGAGAAAGAGGAAAAGGCACTCCTAAAATTCATTTCATTGGCCACACTGTTAATCAATCATTTAGGAAGCAAATTCGCCTTCTTAATTGATATTTATTATTCTAATTTTAAATACTTTTAGTACAGAGATATTTTATAATGTAACCAAAAAAACAAAAATTCTAATGTTGTATTTCAGATATCAATTGCTCTTTTATAATATAAAACAGGAAAAAAAATATTTTTTGGTTTATACGTGTTTCTCCGGTGAGAGATCATGTTCAAGCAAAAAATTACACAATAACAGCGATTTTAAAATTTTGAAATCCGATTTTACAGATGAAATTCACCCGTAAATGTTAATCAATTTCCTCCAACTGTCGGTGAAAATGTTTTAATTTTTACAGGCTATTACCTCTTCCTCTTTAGTTTTCTTGCTATTGACTTGGTATATACGGCAGGCGGAATCTCACTATCATACACTTTTAAAATGGATGGCCAAGATGTGGTCACACAAAGGTGCATACCACCGTGTACGGCTGTAGATTCGTCTCAACCTCAAATTGGATGCCACGTGTCTAGAGTTGGTACTGCTATTCATTCCTGTCGACCTTGTTGGGCTGTCAAATATTTGACAGGTGGAAAACACAACACTCACGCGCCTCTTATTCAGCGTAACTGCACATGCTTATCAAGCTCGTCATCTCAGCCTCTCAGGCATCGTGTACCTCATTATAAAAAAATATTAAAAGAAAAAGATCAAAAACTATTTTTCTTTCTGTACAAATCCAAATTTTTCAGTTCACGCTGAATATTTTTATATTCCAATACATAATATTAATTCAACTTAAGACAACCAAATGAAACTTTGGTCCGACAAAGCCTAATCAAGTTGAATCAATTTAAGCAACAACCAACAGCCTAATGCTACAAATTCAAAGATTTCACCAACACTAATTGCAAATGTTACTTTTTCTGTTTTTTTTTTCTATTATTTAAAAAAAAAAAAAGACTTTGGCTTTTGCTGTAGGCAGAGAGTTGCCATGTTGTCACATATCGCCAAGGGTCCAGATGTTATTTTCCTTTCCTAATCAAGCGGAAGTAATATATGGACGGTACGGATTTTCTCTATTTTTTAAAAAATGTTAATTAATAAGAATAAATTACAAAGTCAAAATAAAACTGTTAAATGATTTATTTTTTATTCGAAAATTAAATGGTATAGAAAATTATAGTTCTATCTTAAGGAAAAAACAACACGTTATTTAGAACTTCTGTATGGAAGACAATGCTAATAGAAGTATGTGTGATTAACAAAGGATGCACCATATTATACTAATCTAATTAAAATAAGTTATCGTGATTCTCTTAGCATTAACCAGGTCAAATTAATTCGTATATATGAACATATTATTTAATTAAATACGTTGGGTCCAAGTACACGGTTGTACATAATATAAAATTTAGAAATTAATTATTAAAAAAACAATGTCATGATATTAGTTTTTGTTTTTTACAATTCAATAATGATTTAAGCACAATAATAATATTAGATTAATATCTTTAAAAAAATTATAAATATTATAATATATTAACTTATCGGTTGCTTTAAATCTAATTTTATTTGTGTCGTTTCAAATTTGTAAGAAGAGATTTTTTTTTCCGTTTATAAAGATTAAGCAATAAATTCTTATCTAAAGTTTTGAATTATTTTTGTCAAATCACGGCCGTTGATCGTTAATAACTTACTACACTAGTATTAACTTTATTCTATAAATATCCATCTACAATCATTGAGTAATAGTTAAATCAATCTAATTCAATCAATTACGGACCTTCTAGCGATCTCTCCAGGAATATTTTAATGTCCAACAAACAAAAATATCAAAAACTAAAATGAATTTCCGACCACTATTTTTCTGATTGATGGAAAGAAATGTCGATCTGCAGCGCGTGGAAAGTACGTACAGTGAGTCCACTTAACCTTTATTTATTAGAGAGGCACACACGCACTCTTGTTTAAAGCACACAACTTGATTGGCCATTGAGCTTGCTTTTTGTTCCCAATAATTAATATTAGCTTACCTCTCTTTCTTTATTGGTGGGCAATTGCATTAGTTTAATTATTTTATTTTTAGTTGATTAATTAATAGTAATTTTCTTGCCCTTTAAATACCTCTCTCATCTCCCTTACATGCAAACCAAAACTTCCTTCTCTCTAAACATTCACTCTCACTCTCTCTCTCTCTCTCTCTCTCTCTTAAAGAAGCAAACAAGAAAAAGAAAATCTCTATCAAGAAAAAGAAAACAAGAAAAAAAAAAAAAACTCTAATGGAGATGGAGGCAAGCACCACAGAAGTAGGCAAGAAACTATGGCATATAGTACGTGTAGTATTTTTCATGCTAAGAAAAGGAATATCAAAGAGCAGAATAATGCTGGACCTCCATTTGATGCTTAAACGAGGTAATAAGATAGCAGGAAAAGCCATAGGCAATCTCATCTACCATCACAACAACTCTTCTTTCAGTTGCCGTTCTAATGATGCTCTTAACTTCATATCTCCACGTGAATATGAATTCAGTTGCAGTAATAGCCCTGCTTTTTACCCTTTTAGCACTCACAAACGCAAAAACCACCACTTCCATTTGGCCAAGTCTTACAAATACGACGACGCAACAACCGTCGCGGCGGTGCAGAAGGTGTTAGGAATGTTTAACAACGAGGTTGCACCCGAGGCGGCTTCGCCTATGGTGTTGCCAGGCTTTGGTAAGAGTCCGATGGTTAGACAGTTGAGAATAACTGACTCACCTTTTCCGATAAAGGACGACGGTGACAGTCAGGTGGATAAAGCCGCGGAGGAGTTCATTAAAAAGTTTTATAAGGATTTGAAGTTGCAAAGAACTAGTTCTGCTTTCGAGTCACCGTACCATGGAATGTGGGTTAGATGATGATCAGTATTGGGTCATGACTGTCCTCCTACAATTTCTGGTTTAAGCTTGCATGTAATGCAATCCTCAAAGGCAAGTTGATCGAGCAAGATTTAATTATAATTAACTAGCTATATTTGTCAGATTATTACATATAAGATCACGTGATTAACATGTTAATTACTGTATGTATATGGATCACGTGACATATTTTTTATGACAAATATAGCTGGTTAATTAATTAATTACATGAGAGATGATGATTAAGTGAAGGTGTAAGACTTGTGCTTTTTTTTTTTTTTTTTTTTTTTTTGTATAATGGATCACGTGGACATATTTTTTTATTGGACAAAATATAGCTGGTTTAATTAATTAATTACATGAGCAGATGTATGATTAATGTGAAGGATTGAAGACTTGTGCTTTTTTTTTTTTTTTTTTCCAAAAAGGTTATTTTTTTTTTTTTTTTTTTTTTTTTCAAAGGTTATCACTTTGTTTCCACATTGTGAATCTCCAGTTCTGCTCTTTCTCGTGTTAAAACTTGATTAATTTGTATTCTGCAAATTAAAAGCGTATGACAAAAATTCTAATCAATACGACAAAGAAAAGAAATGAATAGTTTACATGTATGTTGTATTCTCTTCTTTTAATGAAAAAAAGCTGCTGGTACCTACTTCTTCCTCGTTGCATTGTAAAGACTAAAGATGGCCACTTCACTATTTCAGAATCTTTAATGCCCCCTAATGGCCAAACTGATTCGATTTGATTTGTCGTTTCATGCTTTTTTCCCCCCTATATTGGATTTTAGGAACTTCATGCTATCAATTATGCTCAAAAAGTTCGAGTTTGAGTAAGAAAATTTATATTATGATTAATAAAACTATTTTTGCTACACCTTATTACATTTAAATATAAGAGCAGTATAATTACATTTATCTTAATTATTATGTGTGAATTACAGAAAAATACGAAAGTAAAAATTTCCTGAATATGAAAAAGGACGTTGGCTTGGCGGTGCATATATGGAATTTAGCTGGTCGTGCACAGGAGTAGGTGTGACAACCTTTTTCCATTTATTTATTTGTCATTTACAAACTACGATTATATACAAAACTACGATTATATATATATATATAATATAAAATAAAATAAAAAAAACCCTTTTGCCCTCACGCTGACCAGCTCCCCAAAAATCTTGTGATTTTACAGTCATCAAATTAATTATTCTGCTTTGCGGACCATAATTGTAGGTACCTGTTCAAATTTAGAGTTTTTTCCTCTTGCAATATTTCCCGTTTCGATTATTAAGCTAAAACGTTGAAATTAATTAATCCCAATGCTTTAAATTTTGTAATTACATTAAAATCTTTTTTTTTATTTTACTTTAATTGCATGGCATTTAAGTTAATCTATTTGTATATTGGTTAGAAAACGATTTGAACTTTAATCTAGTTTTAATTTTCGTATTTAAATAATTGATGTTAGTATTAATTGCAGGCCAGTTATGGAAGCGTAAAAAGAATAGTAAAGGACCATTAAAATGAGCATATCTGCATTTAAAATATTATTAAATTAATATATACCCTTTTGCCCTCTACTGCTGGATTCCAGCTCCCCAAAAATCTTGTTGATTTTACAGTCATCAATTAATTATTTCTGCTTTGCCGATTTCCATACTTGTTTAGGTACCTGTTCAAATTAGAGTTTTTCCTCTTGCAATATTTTTCCCGTTTCATTATTTAAGGGCTAAACGTGAAATAATTAATGCCCAATGCCCTTTTAAAATTTTGTAATTTACATTAAAAATTTCTTTTTTTTTTTACTTAATTGCATGCATTTAAGTAATTATTTTATATTGGTAGAAAACGATTTGAACTTAAATCTAGTTTTAATTCGTATTTAAATAATTGATGTTAGTATTAATTGCAGGCCATATGAAAGCGAAAAGAATAGTAAAGACCATTAAAATGTTTTTGGCAATTTCTGCATTTAAAATATTATTAATTAAAATGTTTTTGGCAATTTCTGCATTTAAAATATTATTATTCAGAACCCGTCAATGGCACGCCCAACTCGTTGAGAGTCAATAATGCATGAAAGTGCAACAACTTAATTTATTATCATCAACATCAATATTTCTTCCTTGATTGATCATCTGATAAATATCTTGGAATATCATCGACCGACTGATGAATATTATTAATTAGTGTTATTGCCTATTTTCTAGTTCAGAACAATTAATATAATATACAATTCATGCATTTATAAGGAAAAAGCTCATTTTTTAGCCATTATAATACTTAAAATAGAAGGATTTTTCTATCAAGGATCCTTTGCTTCCACTAATTAAAAAGAAAATTTATTTAAATTCAATTGATAACTAGTAAATAGAAATAATAATATTTATAAATAATAGTGAGTGTAAAGAGAAACTTTTTTTTTTTTCTTTTTGGCTTCTTTAAATTAAATATTGCTAATATTGGTCAAGAGAGACCAGCAATTGTCGGCTATAAATCTTAAGGACAGAATAAAGAGAAAAATCAAAAATAAAAAAGGAGTTTCTTTAATTTATTCAATTTGTTCTTGTTTAAAATCAAAATAGGAAGACAAAAAAGGAACAATTTGGAGAAAATGACCCCTAATAAGAATAGGCGACAGAAGTACCCTACAATTAAAGGACTATCATGTCTCTCTCAACCACACAGGAAAGGACCCTCTCTTCCCTCGTTAGAGGAATAAGGACTTGATCGATGCATCTCTAGCTGCAAAAACCCTATCATTCATTAATGATTATAATAATAAAATTAGATTTAAAGTAATTAATCAGTCATGAAATCTTTTTGATTGGTTGAAATCAGATTGCTAAGATTTTGCATCCACTGATAATTAAGTGGATAACCAATAAATTATCCATAGTTTGAGATTAGTGGGATCATAGAATCTTAATTTGAGAACTTTAGAGGGCAAAAGAGAAAATACAGTAAAGGCCATTTCCCTCTTTAAAACTTTGATAAAATGATTGAATTTTGATGTGGGTGGGGCAATTTCCCCAACTTGTTAGCTAGTGGTTCACGTTTGTGTCTATCTACTCCACCAAGGCTGTGGACGTGGATCCAAATCCAATTCCTCTTCTTTTTATCTCACTATTACTATGGATAAATTTTGCAATTCTTCATTTCTAATTGCATTATTAGGCAAAAAGGGTATTAATGGGTTTCCTTTTTTAATAATTTAAATATTTTTTATAAATTCCTTCCTACACTCAGGTATTGTCGTCTAATTAGCAATTCAAAAATTGTATGCTAATATAGTCGAGCTATGCACAAATACAAGTGTTTAAAGCTGAGTGGATATAATCAAATTCGATATATAGAGTTAGAAAAACTTTTGGCTTCCCCTCCACTTCTCGAGCCCATCTTTTCCTTTATTGGGTTGATTGAAAAAGCGGAGAACGTAACAAACGAGTTGTCGTTTGAAACTTTTTGACGCAGAGTTAGCAGCAGTCGTTTCCTCCAACCGAGTTGCTATGCTAGACGATTCCTGATTCATTGTTGTTTGGATCTGCTTGGCCCATCAACATGGGCCACAAGCCCTTTTGTTATACGAATGAGTTGAACAAAATTACTAGAATCTCGTCAGCACCAAAACACAACCCAGTTTCTTCAATTTCACTGCTACTGCTGATGGTGTACGACTAGCCAACTTCTCTCCTATCATTTGTTCTTATTACAAGTTAAAAATTATCAAAACGCATCCATTACATTTCTTCAAAATCCACTCAATTTACATTAATTCTCTCAAACTTTGTCCAAATCTCTAAATTACGACGCCCATTAGTGCATGGAAGCTCCACTGGTCCAAATTTAGGGCTTAATTCATTGGAGATCCTTTTGATCGATGGCTTCCTGGCTCAAAGCCGCAGAAGGTTTCGATCTTATAACCTCTATTTCCGTTGAATTTCTTGTTTCTTCAATTTTATTTCAATAAGCATTTCTTTTTCTAGTGGTGCAAGAATTTGATCCGCTATGGTTTTGATATTGAAATGTAATAGTGCTGTGGTTTCAAACTTTGAATATTAGATGTGATTCGATTACTCCTGATTGGCATTTTGTTTTGTTTACTATTTTCTTTATTGTCTGATACTGCTTTGCATAGAGTGACTTGTAGTTCAATATTTGCAATGTTGCTTGGTCTTTGACTCTTTGAGCTACATTTGAATGCTCAGGTGTTTCTGCTTTCTTATTGAGGAAAAATTCATGATAATTTATAGGTTCTCAGTTTTTCGATCTTGAACTAATATACATCGATTACCTAGTGATTACTTGAAAGAGGCGAGCTTGAATTTGAATTTTTGGTCTATAACTTTATTATTTGAAGAATGATACCATTTCATCACTGGAATGAATCTGATACTTCTACTATTCTTCTGTAATTATATGTTTGGCATTTAATTCTTTTATCAATGTCCAAATCGCAAAGTGATGTGTCTTGCCAATTTAACTTATAGAAGTGATTGTAATTTATTAGAATATGGGTCATAATAATTTTTCCCTTTTATCCTTTAAATTTATGATGTATAAAGTTCATTTCTGTACTGGTCAGATTTGTTTGAAGTTGTAGATCGACGGGCAAAGTTGGTTGTTAGTGAATTGGCAGATGAGCATTCTGATTTTCAAGCATCAGGTATGATTCTTACATTGCCCATCCATCTCTTAGATTTTTTGTAATATTAAGTATTGTTCTGATATCTTGATGGTTACATGATTTTGATCCTATTAACTGGTTTTCAAAATTTAAGCTTCTAATGGCCAAGGATCTCAATCCAAGAGGACAGAGACCAAGACGAAGGTATTTGACAGTATAACTTTACCCCCACAGTGGCACTCTTGTATTTCGAAGAAATATATTGATGCTATGCAAAAATCCATTGGACAATTTAACTGACAAATGGGCTGTTTGCAGGCTAAAAAGAGGCGCTCTGCAAACCAATCCAACAAAACAACTGATGCTGCAGGGGACTTGACTAGTAAACAAATTTCACAATCAGGTGTGGCATCTGATAAAGATAGAGAGATTCTTTCAGTTGAAAATGATGCTACCCCCTCTAGCAAGTCCATTCCCCAAACAATCACTGACCAGCAAACTGACAAGGATGCATCCAGCATTATATCATCTGACAGATTAGCAAGTGAAGTTGTTCAAAATGATTCTGATCGTGCAGAAGTTACTGTAACTCCTGCTGCTGCAGATGCTGCCACTTCAGCTTCAAATGGTGAGCTTCTCAATGAGAAGGTTTCTGATGTTCCTATGCCTATGGAACATCCTCCCTCCCTGTCACCTGCTAAAGAAATAGAGGTTCTCAATGAGGACCATCAACACCATCCAGTTGATGCCGGCCAAGATGTCAAATTAAGGGATGCTGACGTTCCTTCAAAGATTGACCAAGAGAGATCTCCATCAGAAATTACTGATCCTCCTATTAATGGTGAAACTCTAGTAAAAGATGGTGATGTTAAGACAGAACCTCCTGTAAATCAACAGAACCAACCACAGCTTAAAGCTGATACTTCACCGAGGAAAATACAGGACCAACTTGAGGAGGTAAATTCTTTAGTTTTGTGAGAACATCTATTCATTACATTGTTCATGAAATTTTGGTACTGTCATGTGCTTGTTCTCTAGCTTTTCTGATTAGTTCCCTTAGTTGTTCTGTAGGCTCAGGGACTGCTTAAGACTGCAATTTCTACTGGTCAGTCAAAAGAGGCCCGGTTAGCACGGGTAAGTTTCATCATTCTTACTAGACTTTGGCTGGGATTAATTATCTAACTATCTCTTGGTTATCCATTTATTTATTTAATTTAAAATCATCATATAGTGGTGTTCCTTCCTTAAAAGGCACTGTGAGGTATGCTTAGAATGATTTTAACTCCTAACCTGCTGCCTGAAATGGCTTGTTGACTAAACAAAGTGTTGTAACCTATCCTAGTAATTTGGTTTATGCATCTCTTCCTGCAATGCAATGAAACACGAGATCTGTCCAAAGAAGTTGGTGTGGTAGAGCCAACAGTCCTTTCCTCTTCCATGTAGTTTCCTACCTGTCAGGTTCCTTTTTGGGTACCTTCATGACTTTTCTGCTATCAATATTCAGGTTTGTGCTGGACTTTCAAACCGCCTTCAGGAATACAAATCTGAAAATGCACAGCTGGAGGAACTTCTCATTGCAGAGGTGACATGAGAAACTTTTTTCTGTTATTGGTCCTGATGTCGAAAATTTTAAAATTTTGTGCTATACTGATGCAATGCTATTCAAGAAATTTCGCTTACTATTTGAAATACTACCTTAACAGAGAGAGCTGAGTAAATCGTATGAGGCTCGCATAAAGCAGCTACAACAAGATTTGTCTATATCCAAGAGTGAAGTGACAAGAGTGGAATCAAATATGGCTGATGCTTTGGCTGCAAAAAATTCAGAAATTGAGGCCCTCGTCAATTCTATGGATGCACTCAAAAAACAGGCTGCTTTATCTGAAGGAAATCTTGCTTCATTGCAGGTTCGCTCTTCTTTCATTGTTCAGGACAATGATGCAAGTGTTTTTCTTCACTGCTTTAATAATTTCTTTTGTTCTATATATCATAATGATTTTCTTCATTAAAACCACACTCTCTGCACCTTCTAGAGTAGCTTTAAATAAAAGACTTAACTGTGTTTAATGGGAAAGGAAATTGAACTACAATCTACATCTCTCAAGCCCTTCCACTTAGCTGCTTATTTTGTTGTCTGAATAACAGGAATATTACTAGGTAACTTGTTTATTATCCTTATTATGTTAGTGATAATCTTGTCGTAGCTGGTTGGTTCTTTGTAACACCTGTTGGTTAATTTTCAGGCCAACATGGAATCTATTATGAGAAACAGAGAACTGACGGAGACAAGGATGATGCAGGTAAACTGGTTGGTTATTCCTTGTGTTAAATTCTGCTATTCTTATTCTCAGTATGTCCTTATAAATGCTATTTTATATTGTGATTCTTGGATTATGAAATATATACTTCTTATCAGGCACTTAGGGAGGAGTTGGCCTCTGCAGAGCGAAGAGCAGAAGAAGAACGTACATCACATAATGCCACCAAAATGGTTTGCTGCGGATCAACTCAAACATCTAAATATTCATTTATTTCCTGTTGTCTTGTGCTCTGATAATCTCCATTTGGTAAAATAGGCAGCTATGGAAAGAGAAGTGGAATTGGAACATAGAGCTGTTGAGGCATCCACAGCCCTTGCTAGGACCCAGGTAATGAAGTGGCAACCAAAGTAGGTGATTCACTGCTAAAGTAACATCACTTTATCTGAATTAGCATGTAATATGAGGAATCATCATGCATGTGGCTTATAAATATTTTTGAGTTGTATTTGATAGTTTATAAACTCCCAGAGTTTTCCTTGATTATCGATACATTTGAGTTGTCTGTAATTAAGTACTAAAGTAAGTTGTTACTTATTCAGAGAAAAAAATATGTTGTCTTGAATTCAGAATTTAATGATAATTAGTTATATCGATAAATCTGGGGCATATCAATGTTTGTTTGCCTTAAATTATATTGTTCAATGTTGTTATTTCCTTCCTTTTTTAGAGAATTGCAGATGAGAGAACAGCAAAGGCAGCAGAACTTGAGCAGAAAGTGGCACTTCTTGAGGTAAATAGAGACAGTATCACTATGATTTTCTTTTTGGAATAAAAAAATGAGTTTAAAATTACTGATATTTACACTCTTGGTAATCAGGTTGAATGTGCATCATTAAACCAAGAGCTGCAAGATATGGAAGCTCGTGCTCGTCGTGGACAGAAGAAGTCTCCTGAAGAGGCAAATCAAGTGATTCAGGTACCATTACAAATCTGAGTTACTTGCTGTTAGAACTAGATATTTGTGCATACATTAGACTGTGATGTTTATCCATTTAATTTAGGTGATAGGTTTGATATATGAATATATGTGTTGCATTATGTGAATATTTGTGCTGTGTTTGTAACGTTTATGCTTTCATTAGATCTTGTGTGGATTTGCTCTCTGTTATCTGTCAGAGCTCTCTCAACTTCGAGATAATAATTACATGAAAAGATGTGGTGATAATTCTTTCCTGTAATACTACACCTGTTCGTAATTACACCCCATTGTTATCCATCACAATGTACATATACTGACTTGAGATTATAAAATGATAAGATGCAGGCATGGCAGGAAGAAGCAGAGCGCGCACGTCAAGGTCAGAGAGATGCTGAGAGCAAGCTTTCTTCCATGGAGGCAAGATTTTTTGGCACCTTTGCTATAACCATTGTCATTATCTTCATTTGTGCCATGCAGGATGTGCCAGAATGATTATATTCTAATTTCATAGAAATTTTGAAGGATGAACTTGTCTTCTTACTTTTCGTTCAGTGCTGTTGGTAGTATATTTATATGGCAATCCATTTGTTCGATTGCAGGCTGAAGTGCAAAAAATGAGGGTGGAAATGGCTGCTATGAAGAGAGATGCTGAGCACTATTCACGTCAGGTAACTGTTGTTGTTTTTAGATCAGGGCATTCGACCCTCTCTCTGTGTGAATTGGAAGAGGCATGAACATGAATGTCGTTGAACCTTCTATTGGTTTGCTAATATGTCCTCGAGAACCTTGTTGACATTTTATGCCATTTTATAAATAAATATGCAATATGATTACATTGCACTTAGGATGTACTCCACCTGCATCTTATTGGCTGTAGCTACCTTTTACAGGAGCACATGGAATTGGAGAAGCGCTACCGTGAACTAACTGATCTATTGGTAATATGAATGTGGACTAATCTACAGTTTCACAGTTCGCTTTCAATAATTTGTTCTGGCTTCTACAATTTTAATTATCACCCATGATGCAGTACTACAAGCAAACACAGTTAGAAGCCATGGCCAGTGAAAAAGCTGCAGCAGAGTTTCAGTTGGAGAAGGAGCTGAAGCGTCTACAAGAAGCACAGGTCTGTTTTTGGGTAATTAATGGCTTGATAAGTAGCATTGACTTGTACTCTTGATTTCATTATTTGTGTAGCTTATAACTGAAAATGACTCTTTTTTGCACTTTAAACAGGTTGAGGCAGAAAGAAGTAGAGTTCCCCGTCGCACATCTTCGTCTTGGGAGGAGGATGCCGAAATGAAGGCACTTGAGTGCGTTGCTTCTGCCCTAAATAGACAATTCTCACATGATTCTCCCCATGCTTTTGGCATTTTATTGATGAGTCAATCAGTACAAGTCATGTTACTTAGCAATGGATTTCAATTTAGCTTCTCTTGTTCACTAAAGCTTTATTTAAATACATTCAAACTTTCTTATAATGCCACAATTGCAGGCCTCTTCCCTTGCATCACCGACATATGGCAGCAGCAACCATCCAGTTGCAGAAGGCAGCAAAGCTATTGGATTCAGGGGCTGCCAGAGCCACAAGATTTTTGTGGCGGTATCCTACAGCTCGACTTATCTTGCTTTTCTATCTGGTAAGAGCTATTTTTCAATGTTTTAAGCGTCTGACTAAAAAGGGATATGGAAGCCGATAATTTGAATGATGACCATGAGAAACCAAATGCAGGTATTTGTACACCTCTTCTTGATGTATTTATTGCATCGCCTTCAGGTATAAATTTTTGGCTGTAGTTCACGATTTTTTTTTTTTTTTTTTTTTTTTTTAAGGCCCAGCAAAGTATTGGATTTCAGGGCTTGCCAGAGCCACAGATTTTTGTTGCCGGTATTCCTTACAGCTCGACTTATCTTGCTTTTTCTATCTGGTAAAGAGCTATTTTTCAATGCTTTTTAGCGTCTGACTTAAAAGGGTATGGAAAGCCGGATAATTTGAATGTATGACCATGAGAAACCATAATTGCAGGTATTTGACAACCTTTCTTGGATGTATTTATTATGCATCGCGCTCAGGTTATAAATTTTGGCTGTAGTTGCACGATTTTTTTTTTTCTTTTTTTTTTCTGTGGTGGTTTTCAAGTTCTGCAGAGCGTTGTGAAGAATCTTTATTTTACTATAACTCTTCCATCTTAGCACCCGGTGCTGATTTTTGAAGGAACACTCGATTAATTTTTCTGCGACGCAGAAGTTTGCTTTTTTTTTTTTTTTTTTTTTTTTTTTGGGTTATCTTTTCAAGTTCTGCAGAGAGTTGAAAATTTTATTTTTGTGATATGAAGGAACAAGCTGATAATTTTTCTGCGAGAGAAGTTGCAGAGTCTATGGGTCTCTCCAATCAAATTTTACAATGATTGTGGAAGCAGCTCTGAAGAGATGTCTATGTTCTAAGAGCAAATTATGGCTTGTGAATATCCAGCTAGTCAAATGATAATACCCCAAAGAAATGAAAACTGTTACTCATAGCCTCTTATACGTATCATTTAAGGAGAAATGGTTGATCCCAGAGAAGCCACTTGAGGATGGAAGTCAAGACACAAGTTGAAATGTGCTTACAAATACTCTTTTATTTCCATAGTCAATTTGGCTTGCCTTTTGTTTTGGTTTTACTAGAATGATGATTCATAAATGGGATTGGGAGTCACCACATTGTAGATTCAGCATCTTTTCATGAATAACATATTCTTTTATTTGTAATGGGGACGTGAAAGATGCTACGAAATGATTTTTCGACCAGTTTGCTTATTTGTAGCTTCGGTTATTTAAACGACAATGACAAATAAATCGAACGACAAGAACAGCAGATTGCAGGATTTCGGATTAAATCAATTTGGGCTTGCTAACATATGGGCCTGCTTTTGTGGAGGTAAGTTGGCTTTTTTATATAGCATACTGCAATGATTTGGGATGTGGCCACTGAAGCTGACGTGTCTCCGTCCACGTCATTATAAGACACGTTTACAATTGGTAGGTGCCATGATCTGTGACGTGTCACGAGTAAACTCTATATGCCAAATTTTCGTGTATAAAAAATAAAGAAATATAAGTATATTAATTTAAAAAAAGTTTTAAAAAATATAATTATAATAATATTACTTAATTACCATAAAAATTACAATAATTCAATAAAAAACAAAATATATGCCGAATGGGAATATTATGTCATATCAAAAAATAGTTTCTTCCAAAAAAAATATATAAAAAATAGTTAGGTAAGAAAAGGACGAAAGAAAATGATAAAAATGGAGAGATTGGGGTTATTTTACCTTTTCCAGTAGTTTTATTTTTAACTCAAACAGGAATTCAAAATATAAAATATAAATAAAATAAATACCATTGAGAAAGTTCAACGCCTCTATCCATAATCCGTTTACCTCTGCCAATCCTCTCCCTACTTGCCGGTGCAGAGAAAAAAAAAAAAAAAAAAACAATGCCTGCCGGTGAGCTCCAGTATCCATCTTTGCCACAGCCAACGGCGAGTGACACTTGCACCACCGACGTGGAAGACGAGGCCTGGGTGTGGGCCCAGATCAAAGCCGAGGCACGTCGCGACGCCGAGTCGGAGCCTGCGTTGGCTAGCTATCTCTACTCAACGATTCTCTCTCACTCCTCATTGGAGCGCTCCCTCGCCTTTCACTTAGGCAACAAGCTTTGCTCCTCAACCCTTCTCTCCACACTCCTTTACGATCTCTTCCTCAATACTTTCTCTTCAGATCCTTCCCTTCGCACTGCTGCCGTCGCCGATCTTCGCGCCGCCCGCTTCCGTGACCCTGCTTGTGTTTCCTTCTCGCACTGCCTTCTCAATTATAAAGGGTTCTTGGCTTGCCAGGTATCTATAATTTGAAACTGTCCTGTAAATTTAAATTGAGAATCTTTAATCTGTGGAAAAATCTCCATTTGCTTTATTTATCTTCAATACTTCGAATGTAGTTATGAACTTTATGCTTGGATTGAAATTACTTGTTTACCGTGGTTGTCTGTTCTACACTTATTTTTTCTCCTATGAAATAGGCTCATCGAGTTGCTCACAAGCTGTGGAGTCAGTCCCGTAGGCCGCTTGCTCTAGCCTTACACTCACGAGTCTCTGATGTATTTGCCGTTGATATACATCCAGCAGCAAAGATTGGGAAGGGAATACTGTTTGATCACGCAACTGGTGTGGTGATTGGTGAGACGGCCGTAGTTGGAAACAATGTGTCAATTTTGCACCATGTTACCCTTGGAGGAACAGGGAAGGCATCTGGGGATAGACATCCCAAAATTGGAGATGGAGTGTTGATTGGAGCAGGTGCCACCATTTTAGGAAATGTCAAGATTGGTGAAGGAGCTAAGATTGGAGCAGGTTCAGTTGTATTGATTGATGTGCCTGCTCGGACCACAGCCGTTGGAAATCCGGCAAGGTTGGTGGGAGGAAAGGAAAAGCCTTCCAAGAATGAGGAATGTCCAGGAGAATCTATGGATCACACATCTTTTATATCAGAGTGGTCAGATTATATTATTTAATTACCTGATTTGCTTTAATATTTGAGATATCTTTATACATTGCTATGTATTTGCCTAAGTCTCCAGTGGATGCAGTGTTCCCCGGCTGAGTGTTTAGTGTGCTCTCCTTGCTGGAGGATGAGGCATACCAGTGGTGGGACACTGTAGTTCATGTCCATAGGAGGAGTTGTGATTTCTTCTTGATTGAGCTCCTGTAAGATAACTCGATCAAGGAGAAATCCCAAGTCCTCGTATGGACGTCAACTGACCGGGATACAGTGTCCCACCACTGATATGCCTCTTCTTTCAGCAAGCAGGAGACACACACTAAATATTCAGCCGGGGAACACTGCTTTTTACGTTGTTATGCCTGTTTGTATTTAGTTATGAGAATACTCGCCAGCAACTAATTTATGACTTACTAATACGTTTTTTTTCTTGAGATACTTCTTACCAATTAATAAACTCTCTTTTAAGAGTTCAGAAAAGGATTTGATTTGGAGTACTGCTGGAATTTGATTCCTTTTCCTTTCTTATTAATGTTATATTACTTCCATGTTTGTGGCGCTTCAATTGTCTATTAGATGTTCGGTTTCATAATAATAAACTCTTTCTTCTTTCTTTCCAAGAACATACACATTGGATATCTCTTCCATTATTAATCATTCTTTTCCTTATCCATTCATATGGTGTGCGAGTAACTATTTAGCACATTGCAGCGTTCCTTTCTACTAATTGAAGATCTAGCAATGATAGTGGATGGGTAGTTTTTTTGATGGCCCGGCTTAACTGATACGTTTGTGGTTGAATGCATAAAACATGCTCCCATCCATCATTCTGAGCTGCTAGATTATCATCCATCATTCTGAGCTGCTAGATTATCATTACCAAGTTATTATTGAAACCTTTCTCCGTGTTGATTGGGTCTATAGTCTCAAATTTGTTGCCTGCATGAAATTGCCGATGATATCAGTTTGAAACCGGGCCTTTGTTGAGTTACAATTGGAGATGCTGAGTAAAAGCTATTATCAATTTATAGAAAGGTATACCTATACATGCAGTTTTATGGGGAATCAGATACAATTTTACCGTGATAATCGGTGGGAAAAGTGTGCTTGTTACATTGACGAATGATGATTGACAGGTCAATTTTGCAGTTGAAAGTGCTTCCATGAGTGACAATAGAAAGCTTTGAGGATTGATGTCCTCCAATCATGAATTTTGATATAGGCTGAATTTCTCTTGTGACAAACTTCAGTGGCTGCAGATATTGTAACATGTTACAATTCCATCCGGAGACAGGGATATGGTTTTGCACATGCATTAAGTGGTTGTTTGGATCGATAAAATGTATATATTTTGTGACACCCATGGAATATACTCCATGGATTGCGAAGGGTATTTTTGGTATAAAATAAGCGGTTTCAAATGTTGGAATTATACTAGAATTGAAATAATGGTAGAATTTATCAAATCTATGAATTTTTGTAATTCATTTTTTCTCAACTGAAAGGAGATAAATTCATGAAATGTTTAAATTTCATCAATTCAAACTCTCACTGTGTTTATCTAGATGAAAAGTAACTAAAGTTTATTTTGTAGTTAAAGGTGTAGCTTGAAATAAATTTAGATTAATTTGGAATTTCTTATAGAATTAAGCAATGTTTTAAAAAGACCATCGAGTTAATAAAATAAACAATTTTGCGTGTAGTGAAGGAGAGGGAAAACTATAAAATTTATTATTATTTTTTTTTCAGAATAAAATTTATTCCTTTTAGATTATTGTTATTACTTATGTTATAAAACAATTTTGATAAACGTGCAACTGAAAATAATTTATCAGAATGAATAGGTAAAAATAAAAAATAAGAAAAAGCTTGAGAGTTGAGAGATATTTTCCTTCCTTCCGTAACAAAAACACCTTTTCACTACTTAGTTAACTTACCACACAGGCCATTGAACAGATTCGTTAAACGGTCCCCTTGCAGAGTTGGAGTTTCTACTCTTAACAGAGAGAGAGCTACAGCTCACATCAATGGCTTCTGTGGTATTGCTTCAACACCCAGTGAACCGAACGATGTTCTTCCCCAATTACAAATTTCTATTCTCCAATCAGAGCTCATTCCCTCCTCATCTCTCTTATACCCTTCAAATCTCTAAATTCAGACCGGTTTGCTCCTACACGGCCCATAACTCTTCCTCCAAAATTTATCGCCGCAAGATACAAAAGAATTCTCAAAAAGAACGGAATGATCAAAATGACAATAACCCATCACGTAGAAACTCCACAGCGTTACTTCCTACTGTTGATTTGATAAATTTGTGTCACGAGGGTAAGGTCGAGCAAGTATTAGAATATTTGGGTCAGGGAGCTTCTGCTGATTATGTTGCTTTCGGTGCTATATTTGATTCATGTGGAAATTTGAAGTCTCTTGATCTGTGTAAAAGGGCGCATGGGTTCTTGAAATTGTCAACGTTTGCTAATGATATTGAAATGAACAATAAATTAATTGATGTGTATGGAAAATGTGGGAGTATGAGAGATGCACGCCGTGTGTTCGATAAAATGCGGGAGAGAAACATGGGTTCTTGGCATTTGTTGATAAATGGATATGCAGCGAATGGACAGGGCGATAGAGGGCTTTTGTTGTATGAAGATATGAAGAAGTCAGGATTACAGCCCAATGAAGAGACTTTTTTCGCTGTATTTGCGGCGTGTTCTAGTGTTGGAGCAGTGGAAGAAAGCTTATTACACTTGCAAGAAATGAGGACTGAGTATGGCATCATTCCTGGGATCGAACATTATCTTGGAGTAATTGATGTTCTTGGGAATGCTGGTCATTTGTGGGAAGCTCAGGAGTTCATTGAGAGAATGCCATTGGAGCCTACGGCAGAGATTTGGAGAGCTCTTCGGAATTTTGCACAAATTCATGGAGATATTGAACTTGAAGATCACGCGGAGGAGTTGTTAATTGCGCTTGATCCTTCTCAGGCCAATGCTAACAAAACCACTCTTCCTCCGAGGAAGATGCATTCTGCTACTAATATGCTGGAGCAGAAGAATAGGCTTGCTGAGTATAGGTGTACACAACCCTACAGGGGAGAAGGGTACGAGAAGTTCAAAGGGTTAAATGGTCAGTTGAGAGAAGCAGGATACGTTCCAGACACGAGATACGTGCTTCATGACATTGATGAGGAGGCAAAAGAGCAGGCCTTGATGTATCACAGTGAGCGCTTGGCAATTGCTTACGGTTTGATCAGCACTCCGGCAAGGCAAACTCTTAGGATCATGAAGAATCTCCGTATCTGTGGTGATTGTCACAATGCAATAAAAATTATGTCGAAGATTGTTGGGAGGGAGCTCATTGTCAGGGATAACAAGCGATTTCATCATTTTAAGGACGGAAAATGCTCTTGTGGGGATTACTGGTGAGCATTTTGAATCTGTAAGCACTATATGCAGCAATAGTTTATCATCTTTGCATTGATGAAACAAGCTATCCAATCTATTCTTCACAAGCTAAAAGGTGAGAGGTATATCACTATACATTAGGTTCTCCATGCAAAAAGCATTCCTGCAACGTAGGAAAGTGAAAATTCTTTTACTGGTGTTAAAATTTCTTTATGTACAATGTATATGAAACCTACCTAGAGGTATATACTCCATATTTATGGGGTAAAAAAATTATAACAGAACAACAAATGTTGCCAATTTGGAAGAATTGAAAGAAGATCTCTACTGATGTTGTGAGAATGATAAGTGGAGTTAAGGATTAACAATTAAATTTATCAAGATTGGAGGGATGGTTGACTATTTCTTTCATCAGTCACAACTTCTCTTACGTCTCGAGATGGAACTCTGAGGTATGATTTCATGAGGTCATAAACTGTAAAACCAATTGCCACCGATGGTACAACCTGAAAGGATACATGCCAGACTATTATAGTTAAATAATAATAATAATAATAATAATTGGACCATAAAAATGAAAAAAAGGCAGGGTTTGAACCTTTAAGTAGTTGATGCTCAGCCCAGAGAATAACTGCTTCCACCCTTGCTTTTGGGTGATCATAACAATGGTTTCCATTGTTCCTTTCAGTTCTGCAGTTTTTGACACTGTAAGCCTTTGAACCTGTTAAGATGATCTTCTCGTGATTTTGCCGGTTTCAACAACTATTCAAAATTCAGTTGACTTGTCACTAGAAGAAAAGTTACCTGCATTTGCCTTCTTACAACATCAAGAGGATATGTGAAGGTCTGACCCAACAGACCAGCAACAGATCCACATACCAATTTCACTGTAATATCGTTCTTGTGATCTTCAGGAACATGGCGTTTCATCTCTTCGTAGAAGTAAAATTTCAAACCAGCATAAGGGAAGATTCCATAAAGTGAAGGAGCTGACAATGTTTTTTCGTTATTAATTGTAAGAACCTCAAAAAAAAAAAAAAAAAAAAAAAAAAAAAAAAAAAAAAAAATGTAAAACAGTCATAGAAGAGGCAATAACGTAAAATTATTACGCACAACTGTTGCAGCACATACCCCACACACGATAGAGACTCTTAAAAAAAAAAAAAAAAAAAAAAAAATGTAAAACAGTCATAGAGAGGCAATAACAGTAAAACTTATTACAACAACGTTGCAGCACATACCCACACCACGATAGAGACCTCTAAACCCAGATTCTTTGAAAGTCTTCAAGAAACAATCATAGATTCCTCTGTATAATTGTTCAGAGCTAACTACACCGTGAATCTTCATTTTTGACGGATTGACTACCTGCACTATCAGATGTAGTACATGTAAATATAAAAGATCAACCAAGTCCAGCTCTTCAAACTTATGCCTAGGAAAGAGGAGGAAAAATACTACAGGAGCTCACTGGTACAAGCAAAACCCTTTTGAAATGCTGTCCAGTCTCAGTATTTCTGCTGAGAGTTTGGCACATTGCAAGGGACCCTTCCAATATGTCATCAAATGGTTAAAATATTTCAATTATTTACCTGGTAAGCTAATTTAGTTCGAACCAAATCAAGAGGATAAGTAAAAAGAACAGCTGTTCCTCCAGCAAATGATCCAGCCACAAGATCAAGTCCAGGTCCCCTTCCAATATTAGGGAAAGTATTTATGATCCATCTGCGATACTGCTCGTAAGTCATATAATGCAAGGCCGCATAGGGAACAATTCGAGCAACACTAGCTCCATTCCCTCTGCAGAAAAAATCCAGAACACAAACGATTAAATAACCAAAATGAAAACAAAGATCTTCACAGAAAAAAGAAATCAATGACTTGGTGATCCACCTATAGAAACCCATAACCCCTTCTGTCTTTGCAATCTTTTTAATGGATCCAAAGAGTCCTATGGCCTTGAATTCATCTCTTCTTGTCTGAAAAAGACAAAAATAAAGTAGCTTCTCTTTCAGCCTTTAGGGAATCTAATGATCCTAAACAGCATAAACCTTTACTTAGAAATTAAAAAAAGTCTAGAAGAGTTTCCAACCCTGAGATAACCCCACATTCAAGATAAGCATCATATAACACAATTGTACTTCATTTGGACCAACATGAGATTTATTTACTCGGTTAAATGATCACATGCTTTCGCACGAAAAATTTATGATATTCCCTACGAAAAATCTTATTAGCTAAAAGTTTTCCAGAATGCATTTTGATACGAAAGTATTACTTTAGTCAAATCATATTCACCAAAATGAAAAGCAAGAAAAGAAATACAATGCCATAACTATGCAAAATATATGATATGAGAAAGAAAAATATGAAACATTCTTCAGCCTTGAGATGGTGGTAGCAACTCTGTTAATTTTGGGCTCATAATTACACCATTTATAATTAATCACGCCCCCAAGTAACACCCCAATTGGTTGGTTGATTTGACTAAACATCAAAGCTTTGCATCAATGTTCATTCAAATGATAAAGACAACTATAGCAAAAACAATATTTAAATGTATAAAACTAAAATGAAAAATTAAAGCAAAAGGAAAGGATCAAGTCCATACACAGAAAACCATAATATAGAAATGCAATCCAACCGCAGTTTAGATCAACAATATCCGAGTGATTTTCAGCTGAAACAATAACTAACATGCAAATCATTTTTCATTGGTCAAGAGAAGACCTACTGAGCTTTATTTCCAGGCATTTCGCATCGTAGATCTCCATCAAATACATTATTATCTTTACAATTTTAACAAATAAATGCATTGACACTTCACCCACCATATATACACACAATTAAATTGATATTCTAATATATCTTGTTAGGAAGATCACCCAATATTGACCATTTTCAATAAATTGGGTTTCCAATCTAATTCTTTTCTTACAATTGGAAACCTTTTTCTGCTTAACCTTCTAATCTTTTATTGGACTTGTTCATGGTAACTCCAAAAACTCCCATCAAGAAAGCATCAATCATCCACTAGAGACCATCAATCAGCAAGTTTCTCAGCTAATGTAATCAAAGTTGAAATCCGTTCAAAGCAAGTTAATCATCAATTGAAAATCCAATTCTCTCATGAAAACACCCATTAAGAAAGAAACATAATCACAATCAAGAAAATTAAGAAAGAAGATGAGCAACATTATTAAATCTCTAAAATGGGCAAAATTAATCGTAATCTGTAAACCAAGAATCGAACTTTACCTGAAACAGAATCTTGACACGTTCAAGGGGAGCAACAGCAGTCTTTGCAAGGCCACCAGCAACACCCCCAGCAACCAACTCCTTTGCATACAAAGGCATGGCTTCTATTGTCTCATTCAAGAAAATATCCATCTCTCTTTCCTCTCTCTTCTTTGCCATTATTCCACAAAGAGAGAAAGAAAGATGGAACCTTTAAGTTTTATTTATGTAGCAAAAGATCTAATAGCCAGCAATGATTGACTGATTTGAAGGAGAAGTCGGGAAAGGTCTGCAAGAGGAAAGAAAGAAGAAGAAACGTTTTTCTTGCACGGTAAAAAACAGTGCTTAGATTTTTATATGTTCGTTCTGCTGGACAAATAATATGCGGGAGAAATCCACACGCATGGAATTCAAGATTCCTAACTCCTGGAAGAATAAGCAAATATAATTGGTCCCTCTCGTCACTTCTTTCGAAAGGTGTACCCTTTCTTTCCATTTTATTACAAAAACGAATACTATCTTTTATGGAAAATTAACCACACAACGCCAACAAAGATCCAATTTTGTTCGCTTAAAGCGGTGGGAATTTTACGCTTTACTTTTGTTGATTTTTTATATGGAAATCTCGATTCTCGAACGAGAAAGACCTTCTACATCGTCAGATAAAAATAGATTTTTCAATTTAAAATCTGAAATTTTATTATATATTGAGAATTGGGAGATGAAATATTGTATTGATTTTACAACAATCGAAAAGTAAAATGTTTCCCCATCTAATTCTAAACAAATTTATTGTTTCCAATGCCTTGGTGAAAGAACTCAGTAATTTGCTTATAGTCGCACATTCCTTCATTATAGTAAGTAGTTTTTTAGTTTCTATATCCAAAATTCCAATAAAAATTTTGAGTTCTAATAGTTACTTTTACATATATTAAGAAAAAGTAGTTAATATATGTTTATTTATTTTAATTATTGCTATAGTAAATAATAAGAAAAATGTTTTCTGGCTGGGTCTAATTTAAGTTTTGGAGAAGTTAAAAAGGACAATAGGGGAATAATAGCTTAATGAGGAGGAGAGAGAGAGTGAAAATGTAAGGTTACATTGATAATTTTTGTTATTGAGTTTGAATTTGTATAGGCACAAGTTGTGTCCTATAAAAGAATCGAGTTAAGAGAAGTGGGACTATTTTCCTTCTATTGGGCCATGGATCATGAATAGGATAATACGACACAATACAGCAAACAAAATAGACCACATTGATTTTTGAAAGTTAAAGAATTGATATCTGCTCCAATCAGATCATCAATGATTTTGCCAGAACCACTCATCACAATCGCTGTATTCCAATATTAATGACTGCTATTCTATTTGTCTAATTAACGAGGAACATAGAGAGTTTGAGGCTGTGCCTTGTGGGTGGAAATCTTGCATTCTGTTGAATTCAACTGATTAGAATTGCTGCTCCTAATGTTCTCTTTACTGGAGATTGTGTTTATAAGGTGGAGAAGAATCTTCTCAAGCTCCTCCCCGCTACTCCATTCGTGAACTTCTGCCTTGATAAGAGATGGATTGCTGCGAATGCGATTCCATAGGGGATATTTCTTTCTTGGCATCACATAATCACCTTCTCCAAGTTTCAGAGATGGGCAGAAGTCACCACTCCCATCTCCAAGGTAGATAAATCTTGTCCTCTCATTTCTACTAATGGAAGCATGAATTTGCTCAAGTACTAAACCCTACATTGAAAGCATTGATCAATTGTAGTAAATCATGACCAACTAAAAAGAGAGGAGCTAATGTTGTAAAAGTTTTATTTTGATTACTTTGAAGTAAACAACTATGTTCACATGCAGAAATTGAGTTCAGACATGTCAAACTAGACCAAAGTGGAACTGATAGTAAACAACAATGGCAACTGCAAGCATCAAGCCTGTTAGCAAAGCCAGAGAGAAAATTTATTGGGAATCTAATAAAGTGGAATTATTGATACATTAGAAAAGGGCCTTTTCACTTTGCTGGGAGAGCTAAAACCCTTTACGCTCTATGGTCCAAGGGAATTGAACCTCCTGGTTATACCAAGAAAAGGGCTTTTTGAAGAGAGAGCATTCCTGAAGGTCTATGGCTCTCAGATGACATTTTCCTAGGATAGGAAAAGGCATCATGAGCCACAACTTTGTCAATCACAAGAAAAAACCCAAAATCTTAGGTAACACAGTTTATACCAGGTGAAGTTTTAATCAAACAAATGAAGTTTAATTTTCCAACCAATCAACTACTCGAGCATAGAATTTTCGCATAGTCAATCAGCTTAAAATGGTCACTGTAACTAAAAGAGAATTTTACCTTGCACAAATTTGAAGGGCATAAATTGCAACCATGAGTAGGTGAGCTCAAATCATGATAAGGGAAAATCCGAAGCCTTCCTTCACCATCTTCCAAGCTTGGATTTGTGGTGATCTGGGAGAAGCATCCCAACAATCCGTGATGATCCAAGATTTTCTCAATAAAAAACTGATTTGCATCACTAATTATTCTTAAGTCACACCTGAAGTAATGATATTTATGACATCACCACACGGCTAAAGAAAACTGAAGAAGAACATAGAAGGAAGAACATTTATACTACATACCCAAGGGCGTGGGCTGCTTTTATGGCTGCAATAACTGGCGGTTGCAATGGAGTCTGATTCAGGCACTCAGTGATATCGCCAACTGTTCTTCCTTGTGAGTGGAGCTCCTTCATCATCCTATCCTAAAGTGTAAGCCAACATCTTACAATCAACCATAAAAACCACAACTGAGAAATTATAAAATTTGTACATTTTTCATTTATCTTCATGATTACTCTTTGACGGATTATTTTCAGTAATTAACTACTTGGGCAACTCAAGGCATCAAAATTCAACATTCCCTTCTTCATGAAATTTTCCATTTTTCCTTACAAAAAATCTCTATGCCCCAAGTAGCAAATTGGTTCCTGCGAAAGGTAAAGCAAAAGACCTTCTTTTATAACAATCAGCAGGACACAGACACACAACAGAGTTGATTTTCATTTTAATTTTATAATCAGCTTTCGGTCCTGAATCCAGGGAAAACATAATAAACACATAGCCATCACAAATTCGCCTAATTTAGCATCTCCGCATACCCCTAGTGCATATAAATATATATAAGTAGCTAGGAGAAATTGAAAGCACAAACCATGAGGGAGTTCCAGGGCAAAGTAGAACGAAGCCGATTGAACAACGGGGTAAGACCCATCTGGGTCACCACCCAGCTGTCACTATCGCCGTCGATTAAGGTGCGATCAAAATCGAAAATCACCACTAATCGCGTCATTTCCGGCTGCTGACGGACTCCCGACGCTAAATCGATGCTACAAAACGATGGAACCTCTGGAGCTTGTGAAGAACCGATGTAATTGTGATCTTAGCCGTTAGATTAGATCGCTGTATATTAAAAAACTGTGACATCAGTTAAAATATTGGAGGCAAAAGATGCTGCAATGGGTAAGAAAAGTAAGATCACAATAAATAGAGATGGTGACATCAGTGAGAAGTGAGAAGGTTGCTCTTGGAAGGACTTCTACTTGAGCTGGCAGAGGAGGAGAGGTTGTGTATCATCAAAGGTTGTTCAAAGAAGAGAAAGGAAAATGCGTATGACAAGAGGCTATTTACAGCTTAGCCTACACTTTCAACATTGTATCGATCAAAGAAAGAAGTTGATGCTGATATGTATGGAGGTGCTGACGAGCAGTTAGATAAGATCTTGAAGACAGAAAGGTTCAAACCCAACAAGGCCTTTGCTGGTACTTCAGAGAAGACAGGTCCACGGTACAAACCAGTTGAGTTTCAAAAGGCCACAGAAGAAGCAGATCTATTTGGTCAATAAGTGGGCAAAGGTTATTCATACTAACTTCACTTTTTATTTAACAGTAATCAATTTATGCGTAATTATTATATTTTTTAATAATTTATTATATATACATATACATATAATTATCGTAAATGAGCAGAGCAGAAGTTTTAATTGATAGTCATCATAAATAAATTTCAGTCCTGGTTAGAATATACAATAGATATCTTCATGACTGCTTTATTGCTGACTACAAAAGAATGAATGCCAAGTCATCCCCCCAAATTTATGCGGTTAACTTATTATCATATTTTTACACCTAACTTTACCTTACTACTACTACACAATATCACAACCATATAATTCTATCCTAACTAATGACGCACGCCAGCAGAAGTACTTATAATTAAGCATCCAAGTCATCATAAAATAAATATTCAAGTCCTGGTCTCCGCACTATATCAATAGACTATCCTCACATGACCTGCCTATCTATCTGGCCAACCTGACTACAAAAGACATGACACTGGTCACAAAGTCCCAACTCCCCACCACCGCGCCCCACCCACCCCCCCCCCCCCTCCCTCTCCTACTACTCTCTCATCTCTGTCTCTCTCTCTCCTCTCCTATCACTTATATATTATCCACATTGCAAGTTACACATCTCATTCTCTCTCTCTCTCTCTCTCTCTGTCTCTCTCTCTCTCTCTATATATATATATATCACTTGCAAGTTACACTTCATTCTCTATCTACAACACCTCCAACCCCAACTACCTTTCTGTAACGAATTTAAATCAAAAAAGGAATCAACCAATTTTTGAATTTCTGAAGTGAGAAATAACCACATTCCCCCCCACTTAAAGCGAAACACGGGTCTTTATAGGTTTAAGCTTCAAACCCATGCTTTCAGGAGAGAGAAGCTCTGGTGAGATGCAAGATGGACTGAGAGGGCTCCTTGGGCTGCCACTGAGCTGACATGGCCTGTACAACCCATAACCCATGAAGAAGTACTCCATAGGTATTAGCATTGCATGCGGCTGTTCTTCTGTTACCATCGATCCACAAGCCTGGACCTCGACTAAGGCACAATATCTTCCATCCAGCTTTGAGGTCAAGTGGAGAGCCTCAGAATGGAAAGGAGAATTATCACCAACAAAAACAAGAGTGCGACATCTTAGTCCCTTCAACCCACTAGTAAGGTCAGGTCTCCTGCATGTTGGCAAGACACAGATGTTGAGCATCTAAATGATTATAGAGATGTATAGAAGAGAAATGAATGGATGGTCTTTGAATTTCTTACTTATTAATTGCCTGAAGGAACCGCAAAACATTTATGCTCTGCCTCTCATCAAGCAACTGAAGAAACAAACACATTAAAGAATCAAACTCTGTAAGCTGCATGAACTGAAAATGACTTGAAAGAGTCTGTTTGGCATTATGGTTAAAAGTAATTTTCTAAAAACAATTTATTTAGCTTTTTGTAGCTTTCGTGTTTTTTCCTCAACAGCTGCTCAAACAGTAATGCCAAACGCGCCATAAAAAAAAGAGCAAAAATTAGATTGAAGGAAACGGCATTATTAAGACTGACTTTTCTGCATGCTTGAACTATTTCTGACTCTGGAACTTCTGCAGTACCACGAACTTCCTGTTTCAATTTCCAACTCCATCATTTAACCAATTCAACATAAATTACGGATTGCTAGGGCATTGAGCTCTAGAATACCTTGCTGAAGTATCTCTGAAGCAAAAATTCCTTGAGCAATCCACACATGCCATAGAAATATAGCAAATTCGAAATCACCTGTAGAGCATAAATTATTACGACGAAGATATGAAAAGCTACGAACATCCTGTGTAAAAATAAGATCAGCATTTAAGAAAAGAAACCTTGTTATAAAACCATTCTGTCCAAGAGGCTGCTCTGCATAAAGGGGACACAAGTATCAATCCAAGAACACGCTCTCTATATTTCATCTGCAATGCAAAATCTTGAACAGTCAGGGAAATGTTGGGAGACACGTAGACAACGTTACTGATGATATTACAGGGAGGAACATACGGCAAATAGAGTAAGGATGTACGCACCGGCCATCACCCCCATGCACATCACTGCACCAAGCCTGAACAAGGAATTTTGAACCCACCAAAAACAGAGTTAACATCATGCTTAGACAATCTCTTTCTACAAACTTCTATCCAAACAAGAAGCAGTATGACAGTAATAAAACATACCTATTCCAAACACTATCAATGGAAAAATTCTGAATACCATAAATTAAGAACAGAAATTTAAAACATAGTATCATTGAACTCACCCAAAATAATTGAGAACCTCAACAATCTGATCTGCTAAGTCATCAGCGGAAGGTACAGAAATGTGGGGACAAATCGGAGCAGCTCCCAACTACAAGAACTCTTGTGCAAACGCCAGAAAACAATAAATGTGAATAATTCACCAGTAACAGGATGTATCATGGTGTCGGAAAATAAGAAAAGTCATGAAGATAGGTAACCTATCACACAACTGAACTCCAAGTAAACAAATTAACTGACCTCATGTCCAGGTGGGCTAATGTGGTAAATGCAGAAGTTGTGAAGCAGCAAAGAAGCCGCTTCAGGACAAAAGAATAATCCTTGGAAACAAGACACATCTGACAAACAAGCATAAGAACGAGAAGTATGAACATGTTAGATTGCCAAAGGGGGAACAAAAAACTTCTTCAGTGCTAATCTAAAATAATGACAGGTAGTGATGCACCTTAAAAAAATCTAATTCAATTTCAAAACCAATTATGGTGAACCAGCAGAGGGAAGAAAATATTCCTTATATGCAAAAGCAATTACCAGATATTTCATACAATAAAGCAGAGAATAAGGACTGCACTTACGATTCAGAGCTAAATCAGGATAAGTAATTAGAGCTGGCTTGTCTTGGTCTCCATAGATGATAACAGACACGGAACCACGGCCAGTTCTTACATGATGTTCCTGAAAGAGTTTGTATAAAGCACATAAACAAACAGGTAATTGAAAATTTTGAAAGAGATAAAAATCAAGTCAGAAAGTGAAGCTAATTTATGAAATATTACCACAAATGAACTATCAAAGAATGCTTCTCTATAATAATAGTTTGTAATAACTCGTTTCTTTAACAAGAAATGCTTTCAATTAAAAAAAAAGCAATCATTTGTTATCCAGATAAATTTATACGACAGAAAAGGCCCCCATGTGCACTTGCCCTCTGTTTGAGTATGTAAAATAGCATGCTACATTCCATTGATATACTTTGCAGAAAGGAAGATAAAAAAATATATGGTTCCTGAGTTCAATGATTGTATTCTTAAAAAAGTAATGACAGTTCAAAAGACGGTATGGAATCTCATGTATTAAAAGAAGATATTGACCTAAAGCAATTCAAAACTAATAAAAAATGAAATTAAAAATCAAGTAACAGCTAGACATCTTAATATAATAAAAAGAAATAAGACAAATAAAGTGTGGCCAAGGTTGCTTTGGTGGAATGCAACAAACTTTGAATAAAACCCAAGAAATCCGATACCTTTCCCATAAAGAACGTCAAAATGTTAAGGCAGGGATATCCCAAAAGAACTGAGAAACAAATAAGCAGATGTAACCAGCGATGACAACAAGAAAATATGATTAGAAAAGTTAAGAATTACAAAACCGGATTGGGTATAAAACACAAAATAAACGAAAAGGAACTTCTTAATTAATCTAAGAACTAGATAACATGCATTCACCACATCTAACGTTAACAAAGCAATGGACAAATATACCATTGTCAACGAGAGAGAAACAAAGAGATGGGAAGAACTGCTGCGCCACAAGAAGTGAACAAGAATACAAGATACAGCTGGTATATTCACAAAATACCCAGAAACTACTTTAACCGAACCCAAATTCCTACAATAAGAATTTGCATCCAAAATGGAAAGGCGAGAATATTTAGAGGTAGGTGAAAACCAGAAGCATATTAAGCAAACAAGTAAATTCATGGGTCTGAAATCAGTATTGCCAGATATTCAATATCTTCAATAATAAATGAACAAACCCAATTTAGAAACATACCTCAAACATTTCTCTTCTTTAATGAAAGAAAACAAAAAAAAGAAAGCATAAAATAAATAAAAAAAAAAAGAAAAAAAAATCCAAGTGGTTATTGTCGTTTAATCTTCCGTAAAAAGATATTTCCATTTCCCAACCCCAGAATGCCAAGTAAATGAACTTATATTTGACAGAAAATCCCAATTCACAAAGAACAAAAATCAGAAAAGTGTTATTCTCCAAAAAAAAAAAAAAAAAAAAAAAAAAAAAAAAAAATTCACAAAGAACAAAAATCAGAAAAGTGTTATTCTCCAACAAAAAAAAAAAAAAAAAAAAAAAAAAAAAAAAGCAAAAGTGTTCTATTTCCAAAAAAAAAAAAAAAAAAAAAAAAAAAAAAAAAAGCAAAAGTGTTCTGATTCCACCCAGCAGATAATTAACCCAAATGGCATGAAATCTCAAAATCAATTGAGCAATGAATCTCTCAGTTTTCAAGCCAATGAAGCTCAAAAAAACCAATCATAGAAAATAAATGGAGTAACTAAAACCAACAACATCGAACCTTTCCTCCGAGATAGATCTTCTCCATATCGACGGAAATGAAATCCTTTGACTCTTCCATGGCCGCGGCTCTCTCTTTCTACTACTCAAGAAAGCCCCAACCTTACAGCCCTCTCTCCCTGTCTGATTCTATCTCTGTGTGTCTCTCCAGAACTCTCTCTCTCTCTGTTTAGACTTTGGCCTTCTTCAATGGCTTATAAGCCAAGCGATTCTTTCGCTCTTTAAAACACTCTATTTCTCTATCTATAACTGCAAAAAAGAAATTGCGGTTAACCTCCACCGACGCTCTTCTTTTAATTTTCTGTAATTACTGTCACAACAAACTTTTACCTCCTAATGACATTCGTCAAATGTTTTTTTACCGCGGCCAAGAGAGTCAAAAGTCAAAACCCGCCACACTAACGGTTTTTTTCTCGAAAAAGAAAAATCCATTTTTTTAATTAAATAATAACATGTAACCGAATAAAATTTATTTTGAATCATTTAAAAATTTTATTCGATAATAACTTTTAATATAATTAAATATTATTCTTATTATTTAGAGTGTTGAGTTAGGTAATATTAGCTTAGTATTAAAAATTTAATGTAACTTAAAGAAAGACAATTTTTTTTTTTAGCAAGAAAGACAACTTTATTGAAAAAAAAAGGAAAAGAATTGATGGGTGAGCATATGGCTCGTATGATTTGGTTTGACTGCCAATTGTATTTGTTGTTTACTTTTTTTGATGCTTCTAATGATTTGTACGTCTGTCATTGGATGCTCTTTTCATGGGCCCACTGAGGCCCATGCCCTTTTATGTGGGACATTGACCTGTCATCCAGTGGCCCGCCTTACTTACAAGTCACAAATTGTTGTTGCTTGCCGTTGATTTGACTCAATTCATTAATCATGCCATTGCTATAACAGTAAAAAATAAAATCAATGTTTTTTTTATTAATATGAAATACACATTAAGATTGAGGTAAGTAGATCATAATTTTAAAATTTTAATGTGTATGATGTGTATTTAAATGAATTAAATAAATGTAATAAATTATTATTTAAAAATCTATATACAATCTCAACAATAAAATAATAGTAATGTCTATATATTATGATTTATGATTTTGAGTAGCTAGCTAAGGTACAAAAAATGTAATCATTTGTTGCCTCATGTATTATTGAGCCACCTCATTTAACTTCTAATCATTCAGCTTTATTACTGGTTTTAATTACTTGTGTTTATAATTAAAGAATCTTTTTAATTTTCTAAGTTAAATTATTAATTGTGTAATTAATATTAAATATGATTATTAAATTATTTTATTTTAAATATAGTTTTATTATGCATAATTAATATAGAAAAAATATTTATTACTTTAATAAAATTTTATATTATAACAGAGGTCCACCACTAATTTCTATTAATAATAAAGACAACAATATCCAATAGTTTTTACTGTAAATATAATTTTTTTTATTTTTTTAAAGCAAAACATCAAATAAAATTTGAGCGATAAAAAAAAAGAGAGACAGTGCACAACTCTATTAGAATTTTTTTTTTCAAAATAATAGAATTAAGGCAGTGAATTTCATGATCAAATATATTAATTTATAGATTGTGACATTTTTTCAATTGACATAATTTCAAAATCATTTATATATTTTAATTTCCCTTTTCATATCTTCTCAAATATGACGTTAGAAACGAGATACATGCGTATATATACGTATATATTTTTTAAGCCTAATGTGGAGAAAAACCAACAAAGGTTATTATTGCGTGTAAGTGGGTCTACTAAGCAAACACAGTATCAGCTAAAAATAAGGAAAAGGAAAAATAAAATTCATAAACACATAAATTAATATAAAAATAAAAATAAAATTGGAAAGCTTGAATGATTACTTCACAATCACATGCTATGCTGCCAGAAGGCAAATTTCTCGCCGCATCGTCCAATAAATGTTATGTCCCAATTGGATCGAGTGGCTCCGGCGGAGCGTGCATTTCACGCATTCTTCAGTATTTTATTGATCCAGGTTTGACTTATTTACAAGGGACATGCATGGTTGGGGTTGGGACGAAAATTTATAATTCTCTGTTCCATCTCAAAATATTGGAAAGTAAGAAATGAAGTCTTAATTTCCTCTCAATAGATATGTAGTTCTGTTATATTTTATACGACGAAACAAAACAAAAATTTAGGTCTATAGGACAGAACAAAATGGTTCGAATCTATAATCAATAAAGGTTTTCTATAATCTCATTTAATATTTTTCATTAAAATAAGATAAAAAAAATTACTATATTCATCTATTACAATCAAACAAAATTTATTTATATAAGTTTTAGTTTAAAAAAATAATAAATTAAATGATTACTTCATTCATTGATGATCTATTAATAAAGTTATAATAAAAGATTTTTAAGTAGTTATTTTCTAGTTAATAAAAGTGTTAAATATAATAATGCAAAAATTATATACAATTTAACTCTTTAAATATTAATAATTTGCAAAATTATATACAATAACTTTTATATATTTTATGAATTAACTCATCATTATTTTTCACTGTTATTTTTAAACTGATTTAAATTTATTATTACGTAATTTAATCTTGAATATCATTTGAAAAATAAATAATGATAGTATTAAACATAACCAATAATCCAATAATCAGATTAATTGAAATTACTATTTTTCTCTTGTATTAATTAATCTTTCCATTTTTTATTTAATGAAAAAAAAATTTGTTAAAAAAATTTACTGAACATATACTGTAGAATAATAGAAGAAAAATCTATATTGAAAATTACGTTTGTTACTTGATTTATTTTACATTTAAAAAATGCATATTATTTTTTCGCATTGTTATTATTTTAGTAGTAATTGGTATCATAAAAAAAACTAAAGTCAAAAAGATGAAATGATTTTTAGAGGCATAATTTGAAATTCATAAAAAAAAAAAAAAAAAAAAAAAAAGAAAAACAGAATTTTAAGAAAATCGAGATGGAAATTTTCGAATTTCGAGCCAGGACGGGAGTGCACAGATTTCGGTACAAGTCCGCATTTTTAATTCAAAGATCAATTCCCGGTTCACACAAATTACTTTCGAAATGGACATAAAAAAAAAAAAAAAAAAAAACTAGAATTTTAAAGAAAAAATGAGATGGAAATTTTCGAATTTCGAGCCAGGACGGGATGTGACAGAATTTCGGTACAAGTCGATTTTTATCAAAGAATCAATCCCGTTCCACAAATACTTTCGAAATGGAACTATGAAATTAATATCAAACTTTTGTCGAGATGAAAAATTTAGGATGATTTTTGAAAATGGGTCGGCATTTCTGCAGTTCTGTGCACAACCCTAATATTTACTACGTAGCATACACTCGTTCAATTTGTATCCTTCATAAGATATATTGGGCCAACAGTTTTGCAGCATCCATTTGCATTATTATATTAGTGGATTTGTTGGGCCCAATAGTTTTTTGTTTGTGTTTTATTTTAAGTCTTCTATTTGATATATTCTTTTATCCATGTATTTGAAATTCCTTTAATTACAGTTTATAAAAACATAAATTTCATAAAGAGTAGAATATTAAATATTTAGTTACATATAATTACAATTCATTCCATTGCATTTTCTACCGATACCAATTCAATTCAATTTATAAGTATCTGAAAAATCACTTATTCGTGGGTTGTTCATTATTATTTTATAATGTAATTAAATATTTAATCCCTAATTTTTCACTGAAATAAAGCTTATCTTTGAAGTTAATAATCCTTTCATATAATTTTTTTATGATTAAATACTTTATAATATTTGATTATTTGATAATTGATATTAATTAAATATCAATTTTTATTTAGTTATTTATATTTACTATTGATAATTATTTGGTCCCTCATAGAAAAAACAAAAAATAAGTGAGTTTTCTATTCAAATGTTTGAATTTGCTATTTTGGATCAATTAATTTTTAGGTATTTTTTAATTTACATTTTTCTACATAACAAAATATTTATTTTGGACACAGTTTCAAATTTCAAAATGGAATATAATTAAAGAGAGAAGTCCAAAGTAAATAAGTCAATAACCATTTTTCTTTTTCTTTTCATATCAAATAATTAGTCAATAAGTCATATACATTTTTCTTTTCCGATATTGACGTCCTCCTATTTCTCTAAATTAAAAAAAAAATGTATTTTTAGTAAAAATGATGAAAATAAAGTGTTAAAAATTGAAATTTTAGAATTTAAAATAACATAAATCTAAAAACATTTATAATTTCAATTGTTGAATCATGTTGTGGAGCAAAACATACTTAGAGCTGTTTACTATAACCAAATTAATTTATAAATTTCATGATTTATACAAATATTTTATTTAGAACTGCATATCTTTAATGCAATATAATTGGTTAAGTGGAAAAAAAAATTATTAAGACTTACCTACACGAGATCCAATAAAAAATAATTTTTTGCTTAAGTTGCATTAATGTCCATTTATTGAAAAAATATGAATAAAAAAAATTTTAAAATAATAATTTTTAATTAATTTAATAATGAGATCATCTATACACGATGCGTCGATTTTTTTGTATGTGGAGTAAATGGTCTGGACCGTTTTATGACGTTCGACTTGGAAAATAGAAACCAACTGTTTGGACCGGCACTGTTTACCAGATTATTTTACTAAATTGAACTGTCGGAATATTTATTACATAAGCAGATCCAAGACTTCCTAACAAAAAAAACAGAGAGAAATTCTATTTACCACGTCGCCGCATGGGATCAAAACCTCAATGCTAACCGTCGGAGATGTTGATACGGCACAAAGGGCAAGAATTACTGCGACAGAGCCAGGAGGAAATACAATCTGAATGATAAATATGGCCGCATGGGATTCTTTTTCCACCTACACTTGATCTGAAACCTTCCATGCAAACAATACAAACTTCATCATTCGTAGAAACAGTTGGCATACCAGCAATCAGATCGTTTATTGATGATGCGGCGGTGATCCGACTCCGGCGGCTTAAGTTGTCGGTCCCAGATGGAGTTTCGTGGAGGTCAAAGCTTATGTTCACTGCCATATCAAGTGTGAGAGATGAAAGGGCCTCATCCAGGTCAAAACTTGTGCTGGCCATACTGGGTAGAGACAAGAGAGTGAGAAACTGTAGATGTTTGCAAGAAATGTGTCTAAGGGCTAAGGCTGTATAAATATGTATGGAGAGTACACACTTATACACTGACTCAATTAAAAAGATATTTTTTGACAAATCATTGCTGTTTATTACAAGGCAGCCAAGTATGTGGAGTATAGTTAGTAGCCACAGCATGCAAATGAACTCCACTTAAATTTTTTAAGTATAAAAATAAAAAAGTATATATAAAATAAAAAATTTTAAAAATTTTAATATAATTGATTTTATTAAAAATTAAATTAAATATACAACCAAGTGAAAAAATATTTGTAGCTTCATCGCTGATTAGTATTTATAGTGAAAATTTAATATAAATCGAGATTTCGAATCACATATTATTATTATTTATTAGATGTGACATGCACATGGGTTTGATTAGAGTGTATATTTGTTATTATAATCTGTATAGATTTTTAATTAGTAATTTTTTTTCATAAATTAAAGTTTACAGCGTGGTCTGTCAACAAATTTGACATCCGCTGATATGATTTATAATACAAGAGATTATAATTTAAATCTAACAATTAGTTTTATTTAATTTTTTTTCAGTGCAAACAGAAGTATTCATATTTTCTAAAAAAAAAAAAAACGAAGAAGAAGCTGAAGATATATTCATATACTCGGCCACCTTGTAATTTTTTTAATATATTTTGAAAAAAAAATATATGTTTTAATATTTTGAATATTTTTATATTAATATTTCTTTCCTTCCACTTTAATAGTAATAAAGGAAGATTTTATCTTGTTTCGTGGTTATTTAAAATTTTAAAAATATGTTAATAAATATTTTCATAATTTTATTCATATTTATTAAATGTAATTTATTTTTATATTTATGTTTATTTTTTCTTTTTATCATTAGTTCGTATCTGCATGTTTAACAGCGTTAGGTGGATTGTATTATACAAATTAATGAGGTCTAGTGAATGGAGTTGTACTGCTTCACCTATTTTCCGGGAAGCCATTTATTGCACCAATTGGTTAGCTAATTATGTGGCGTCTATGTCATTAGAAGCTCATGTTGTTGATGTTCAGCCTCCTGGCCTGAGTCAGTGCATGGACCATGATTTGAGAAGGGTTGTCTATTCTAGGCTTTGTTGCCAGCTTGGTTTCTGTTTGTGTTTTTTATTCTCTCTCTTATATTAATTTTTTTTTGTTTACTTCACACGTAACTAAAACTTTTTCATCATACGAAAACATTAAAAATGAAATGGGAGTAATATATTATTGATTTTAATATGAATTTTTAATTTTAAGAAGAGGAATTTTAGAATTCTATTATGCATTTTTTTAAAAATCAATGAAAAAGATTTTACGCAGAAAAATACTAATAAGCAATCTATGAAGTTAAGTTATTTATATTATTGTTATGATCATTATTCACTAGAGTTATTTATATTGGGTTTAATTTCACCATTATTGTTCTAATCGTGTTTTTTTTTTTAAATGTTCAATTTATGTCATTAGTGTATATTAAATATGCATTAATTTTAATTTATAGTATAGAAAAATATTAAACGCCAATTCGTATAATAATAAAAACATCAATATGAAGGATGAGAAGGAGCTGTAATTTTCATGGGTGGGAAGGGGCCCTGGTTGATGAGGATGGCACCGTGATCATCTTAGACCCTTAAAGGAGTTCCGCCAACCCCAGATTGCGACTCTTATATATACTTGGCATTTAGGCATTGATAGTTCCATTTTTGAGTTTAGTTTTCTTTCCAATTTCCATTTCCTTTTAACTTCCTCCAATAGATGGTCATGTTTGTACGGTTGACGTTCTTGGTCGTGCATGCGAGGTTCTTTATAAATGAAATGAAGCTAACAATGTGGTTTCCTTGATCTGGGAGACTGTTCTTGGAATCTTAGAAGTTGAAACATGTAAACTGCATGGGAATGTCGACTTTGGTACAAAAGCTGCAAAGAAACTATTTGAACTTCAACCCAAAATCTACCTTTGCCTTTGCTTAGGTGGAACTATAACAGCAATTGCATTTCGAAGGAGAAAGTGATGCAAAGAAAATAAGGGCGTATGCATATTCCAAAATTGCTAGCTCATTAATGGCTAAGATGCAATTTCAAATCCTTTACAAGAGCAATAAGTATTTCAACAAATGCTATATGAATGAACAATCAAAGTACGACCCTGAATTACACTCAACAGCAATAGCCTCTGAGGAAGGATTTCATTACCAAAACAGATTGGTTGCACTTACATTCCGATGCACAGTTGAACATAACTATTAGTTAAGTATTACATAATTACCATGTTTTCTCTGTAAAGAAATCCACTGCACCTTCATTCAAACATCTTCATCAGAAGTTGGATTCTCAACCTCACTCTCGCTACCTGAACTGTCATCACTAACAGAAGATTGTCCTTTGCCATCAGAGTCCGAATTGTCAGAGAGGTCATGCTTGAGAACCTTAGTCTTTCTCTTTCTTCCAGCACTTCTTCCTTCTTTTCGTTTTCTTCCTCCATTTTCTGTAAATCTCATTGTGTGTGCAGCAGCTAAAAAGGCAGCACTCATGGACTCATTGGTCTCTTTATCATCCCCATCGTGGTCTTCCTCTTCTCCTTTGTTATCAACATAAAACTGAAGATCAACATCTGCTTTCCTGCCCTCTGGCTTAGGTGCTGATAGTTGATAGTCAGACTCAGGATCATCAAGAGCTAATTTGGCACAGAATTTAGAGATGACATCATCAAATATTCTTATGCCTTTACCATCCAGGTCTAGTAACCACTCTGGAGAATTATTTATTCACAATATCACATTGGAGTGAAGAGTTAGTTCGAATGAAATATCAGATTCGACATAATTATGGAGATGAGCAAAAACTACGAGATGAAAACACAGATAAGAGCTACTTACTTATAAGAGCTCTAGGTGATCCTTCCTTCAATCTACTTGCTTCTTCCTCCATGCCAATCTGGCTGGTGACAAACTTGATAATCTGGGAAGGTATCTGGGAACTGGAGAATGAACAAGTATAAGAGATAGCCCTCTTTCGGTCCCCATTTTTCCTGTATAAAGAAGTTGAACAAGGGTTTGCTTTAGTTTCAACTGCAAAACACAGACACACAAAGACAAACACAAATCCACATCAACTAGAATACTGATTCCTACCTTGAAAGCTCTATGGCTTCATGTGTAATTATCAATCTTTTCACCACAAGATTTCTCACATGATCGGCTGGTAGGTTAATTGCTCTCTCAAAACTAAGGAAAGAGTATTCTACCAAAACAGTAGCATCATACAGAATTGTCCTCAAAAACCTTTCATCTTCAGAACTCTGCACAGAAAATTTTCCACATGGTACTATTAGAACATAACTGCAGTAAAGATTCTTATACAAAGCTGTTTTGCATGCAATGGATATATATATTCAAAATCAAACTCAGTGTTACAAGAAGTTAATACAACTTTTTGAGGTTTGTTGAAACAATAACCACCTTGGTAACGGTGAAGTTTTACTGAACAGGTAGTCCTATATAAATTGATCTACACTATATCCGTGAGGAAAGTGAAGACTTTTTGATCTGTCAAATGTATTGTTACTTTCATGGATCAAGAAGGAAATACAGAAGGTATAAGTTTTTGGTACAATCCCTCAAGTCAGTAGCTGTTTTCACACCGTGTAGTAAATATTTAAAATGAGAGATATGTGTTATAATTTCAGCCTCTGGCATATTAAAAGTAATAATAATAATAATAATAATAAAGAAATTACACAACAAAAAAGTAAATTACAATGGAGCTCAAAACTATACACTGACCAATGTTGTTTGAGAGAGAGAGAGAGAGAGAGAGCATGATTTAGAACCATCAACCACTATGAGATGAGAATTAATAACAATCAAGGAGTAGCAAAGTAAAGATTGTCTAACAAGTAAGATACTTGAAAAGAAGTTACTAACCAATAGCGAAGTCAAAGGCAAGGTTGGCTCCAGCAGCATTCTCAAAAGGGTATCTGAATATCATGGTTTATAGGATGTAAGCAAATCAAAATAAAATAAAACCAGTGAAAGAAATATCAACAAACTGTCAGCTCCACTTTCATTACATTTACAGAGCTAATATCTCTTTAGCTATTCAAATGTACATAATACTGTCTGCATTAACAGATTTATGTAAATGCAGCACTCTCTAGGCCCTATGCGAAAGACCAAACTATAATTTAGTTATATTCTGTTTTTATCAGTTGCTAACAGAAAAACTGAAAATTCAATATTAAGAGTAAGAAATACTAACCAAAGAAGTAGAAGTTCCGTAACCCAGTTATCGAGCCAACAGTCCAACTCCTCATTTCCTTCTCCAGCTCCACTCCTTTAGTCTCAACCCTTAAATCAAAACACAATTTCAACAAGAAAATTTCAGCTATAACAACTCCAGCTAAATAATTCACACTAGGCAAACCAACACTAATCTCTTTGCATATATCATCACTCATGAGTGGTAAAAATTCCTCCAATCCTTCTTTTCCTTCCATCCACAAACTAATCAAGTCTGAAAACGATACACGCAAATTTGAATCATTTTCCTCATTCATATTCTTGACACAACACACACCAATATACCCGAGAATGGCTCCAATCAAAGACTTAACCTCCTTAATAGCTTTCTTTACTCTCCTAGCTTCCAAATCTTTGCCTAATAACCCAACAACTAATTTATACACTTTAAAAACAACCGGAGCTAGCAATGCTATACTTTTTGAGACACTACAAGGAGCTGAGCATCCCGATATGAATTGAAACAGCTCCTTTGCAACCAAAATATTAGCTGAAAGATCCTCGCTTGTTATTTCTCGGCTCCTAAACGACAAAGCAGAGTAAACCCAAATCGTTTCTATAGGTGGGTCGATCTTCGATTGCATTAATTGGTAGAATATGTCGATGAAATGAGAAGAATCTAAGCTTTCATTGCGTATTTCGGCTAAAAGGTGGTGTATTGATTGGTTTAATGTGAGCCCATAGTTTTCTCCGATTAAAAGATTAGGTTTCGGAGACAAGGCCATGCTGATTCTTGAAAATTTAGGAAATTTGTTGACTGTAATGAAATTCAAAACCCTAAAACCTTGTGTTCATAGCGAAGTCGGAGGCCAATTGTAGGGTTTAGGAAAAGACTAAAGAGCATCCAAACGACATCGTTCTTTTTTTTTTTTTTTTCCAATTCTTTAGCGAAGTCGGAGGCCAATTGTAGGGTTTAGGAAAAGACTAAAGAGGCATCCAAACGACAAATCGTTCTTTTTTTTTTTTTTTCCTTGGTCTTGAGTTCTGTTAATCCTAAATGTTTTTTTTTTTTTTTTTTTCCTTGTCTTGGAGTTCCTGTTAATCCTAATATAAAAACAAACAAAACAGAAATTAGGAAGACGTGTTACCTTACCTCCTATTGGTCGAAAAATTGTTGGGCCACACCAAGTAGCCCTTCATCAACCAATCAGAAGCAGCGAAACACGTTTCAGTTGGTAGTCTTGAATATTAACAATACCAATTGATTATCACCTTTCCATTACATTTACAGGTACAAGGAGAAGATACAAGTTTTGATCCGAAGTTAAAACTTCGAAGTTCGTTTCTTTTTTTCTTTTTGGCAGAAAGAGGTAGCCATGGCTAAAATCAACCACATACTAGTAGTTTTAGTAAGTGTATTGGTAGTGTCAAACTGGGTGCCAGTCTCTCTCTCTGCCAAGAAGCCTGATTTGAGTGCAAGAAAAGAGGACATACCGTACATTAAATGCCAAGTCTGTGAAAAGGTGGCAAAGGAGTTGTACCAGCAAGTAGAAAAGAAGCAGGCTCAGATCTCACCTAAAAAGGTAATTTGATTAACCGGGTTTGTTTTGAATTTGTGGGGTTTGCTTGGATTTGATTTTTGATTTTCAGTATTTGGGTTTGGATAGATCTCAGAGTATCAAATTATTGAGACTGCGGAGAACCTTTGCAATTTGAAGAAAGAGGAAGCAGATTGGATTATGAAGATTGATATAGTGGAGGCAGGGGATAAGTTAGAGGTAGGATTATAATTATTTTTTTACGTTGATTTGATGGTTTCTATTATTAATTACTTTGTATTGGAAATCGATTATCAAAATCAAATGCTTGTTCTGTTGTTCAAGGCCTTTTTTTGAGTCACTAACTTCCAAAATTAATTCTCTTTTAGCTGGTAGAACAAGATGTTGAAGGTCAATGTAATACAGAATGCAAGACAATAGAGCGGGCTTGTCAAGAGGTGAGGTTCTGGAACTTAAATTGATTTTTATGCTAATTATTTTTTCAAAGCATAATTGTACAAGTATATTTGCAGGTCATGGGGTATTATGATACTGATATTGCTGAATACATCTTTAGTTCTAAGCCCAGTATTGATTCATTGGTAAACTATTTCTGCAACGACCTGACTAAGGCATGCATTAAGAAGCCACCTCCAGTTCCTAAGGTAAAACATTCAATTGTTGATGACCTCTTAGTTGATTATACAACTTGTTTGGCTTCTTTAAGAATAATTACTTTTACACTATTGTGATTATTGTGTGATTTCTCAATGTCTTCAAATGCATGAAGGTTTCATATTGGAAATGGGATTAAAATTGATTAAGCATAGCATGTGCTAGATGATAAGGCTGATTAGTGACCGTAATTTTCCATAAGTATGCTAATTGTACTGGATCAATTATTTGGATCAGACATGGTGTGTTTGTACAAGGTTTTCAATAGAAATATGTATTTGATTTTGTTTGTTCAAGTTCATGTGATGAGGTTGTTTATTCCTTCCCGGTATGCATTTATACTGTATAAGTATTGTAACCTAATGTTTGGTTTAACAAATCCATATGGCTATCACTTCGAAAATATTGAAAGCTTTTAAGATGAAAATGGTGGTATAGAAATTATCAGACCCAGCAGAACAAGGACGGTAAATAATTGAAGGCTGCTTGATTTGCATAAGAAATGCTGACACGCCTGTCTAATATTTGAGTAGTTCTGTTAGATATTCCATCTTAGATGATGTTTGTATTTGTCTAATATCGTACATCAACAATTATTATTTTGCTTTGGGGTTTCCATTGTAGAGTTGAGGATACGGTTATCGTTCTAAAGAGCAGAACACTCAGTAACCTTGTATGACAATATTTATTAATATTGCTCATTTTTGCACATTCTGGTGGTGAATAACAAGCTCAGGTGTAAATACTTGTTTATTTTGGCTGTCTCAGGATAGAACTCCTGGAGAACCATTTGTGCCCAAACCATCTAAAGAGGCTGAAATGGAGAGGATTTTAAGATCCATGGAGGTAGCCGTCGTTTCTGTTTCTAAAACTACATCCATGTAAGCTAAAACGTTGATTTGGCTTCTGATTTGCTTTTATTTACTCCAGGGTATGCCAGGAGCACCAAACATGCAAATGTATTCAAGGGAAGATTTGATGAACATGAAAAATTTTGGTAACGAAGATGCTGATGATGATGAAGATGAGGATGACGAATCACAATTCCCTTCAAAATTGGTAAACAAATAAATAAAAACTTCCTTGATGAAAAGCTTTTCTTCAGAAGCGCACTACTAACACAACTGTTATGGTCCAATTTCTTGCAGTCAAAAGTTCTGAGGGAAAAAGAGAGTGGAAAAGATGACTGGCAACAGAAGGTCACCAAAGGTATCAAAACATCGGTTGAGACATTGAAAAGGCATGCGGACAAGGTCTCCAATAGGTTAAGGCGGTGGTGGAAAGAAATAAAAGCATCAGGCACAAAAAATTCAAAGGCCACCAAGGCAGAGCTTTAGGACTCTGTTTATAGGGGCATTGTGGTAAAGATGGCAGCTTTCTTCCCATTTTTGTTCAGTCGTAATGCGATGTGCTAGGCTTAGTTAGGTTAACAAAAAATGAGGGAATAGTTCGTAAGTACCTGAGCAGAAATCAAGTTCTGTAATTTAACATTGTATTTTTCTCACTAGAATAAAATTAATCAGAATGACCAACATGGATGGAGGCATGTTTAATGTTTTACTAGGTCCTATCATCATTGAAATTGATATCAGACTTTCACCCTTCTCCAACCAACCAGTTGCCCTTTGTTAATTTACATAAAGCCACCTGAAGAGAGAATGAAATCGAATTACATTTATGCATCCTTAAGAAATTTCCTATATTAAAATAATCTTTAATTTAAAACTTCAATTTCCTCGCATTTGTCAAAGAAATCGCACGCATACAAGGCATGTTGAACTACTTCCTCTCACTTCTCGTTCTCTGTCTTCCTGGCACTTGTTGTAAATAATGGCGTAAAAACTGAAAGAATTACAGTTGGAATTTGTCTCTTACAATTTAATCAACTAGTTTGGAATTTTGATTTCAAAAATTTCAGCATTACATTTTAGGAAACCCCTCTCAACAGTCTCAATTGTTAAACAGAGGAATAAGAAATACACTCAAACCGCTAAATGGAAGCAACTTCATCGCATCTTGTAATATTGTGTTCTTGAGACCACGCATCGCCTACCATTCAGTGTATATTTGACCATTATATCAATGTCGCGAGGATTCTTTTTGTTTGGTGCTACAGTCATGCTCCCAGTTAGGGCTTCCCCTTCACATATAGTTAGCACATCTTCTAGGTATAGGACTGTTTGCTTCCAGTGTGTAGCCCGCGATCTTGGCCCTGCTTTATTCCAAGTTCATCAGAAAAGTATTGAAATCTTAACCAATATGCTATTTCTATGACAGTAACATGGACACTGAACAGGTAAGTGTTGAAGTACTGGCTCATCACCACGTTGCTCCAAATAATGGAATTTTTAATACTTGATTTACTTAGAGTACTTGCAATGCATGAATTGGGACATTGGATATGCAAGGAGACTAGAATATTGATCCTGATTCATTGAATTTTACCAAAACAAGCCTCTAATTTAAGAAGAAAAGATGAATAAAAACATAAAAGGATAGATAATACCGAGTCTCACCTGTAGAGAAGCCCATCAACTTGTGACATTTGGTAAATGACACATCAAAATATGCCACCAAAGCATGGATGTAATCATCTCTTTCTGCCACAAGCTTAAAAGGAGCAGTGAAGGAAGCATCCCCAGAAGCCATTTTAGAGATATCCATAGTCTGAAAAGTGGCAAGTCGAATCAACACTCATCATCGGCCAAAAAGCAAATGACATTCAGAAGAGGTAGAGAAAATATTATTTTTTAAATATACATTCATGATCGAAGTACATTTTTTATACACACAAACCAAGTACATGCAAGTACATGACATTCCCACCTTAAGTAGCTGGCAGTTTGTTACGATTTGGTTCTGATCAACTGTATCAACAAGAGGTTCCATCATGGCTTGCTTCTTGATGCAGCTCATGTCAAAACCATAGACCTTATTCCAAACTGAAGTAGCAAAACACACAAGGGGAACCAACAAATATCATAAACAACGATCAGTAACTAGTCACCTCACAGAAACACACGCATGGAAAAGAAAGCCATAGGACAATTGAAACCACACACATGGAATTGAAGCACGTGAATAAATTAAATTCCAAATACACATGGTGTGGGTCCCAAAGAAAATAATTATATCTACTTGCATGCACATGGAAATCAATGGACTCACATTCAATCTTATCATCCTTGTATTCTGCATCCTCAATAGCTGTCAAATAAAGGGATGCTTTGTCTGGCAGAAGAATTCCATCACTGACCTGAAAAACAGCGAAAGATAAGAACAGTTAACACCATTATCAAAGCATTACAGTTAATATAACAATGTACACAGAATAAAAGTAAAAAAATGCCCTTAAGTTACAAAGATGGCTATTCCAGACTAGTACAGATCATTACTTGTTACCGAATCTCAACAGTTGTTAAATTACAACCAGGAGTCATCCTTACAAACTCACCATCATAATTGATGTGCCTTTTGTATTAGTATTTATCCATTCAGGCAAAGGTGTTCTATTTTTTTTTTTTTTTTTTTTTCATTTTTTTTTTATAATTGATGTGCCTTTTGTTTAGTATTTATCATTCAGGCAAAAGGTGTTTCTATTTTTTTTTTTTTTTTTTTCATTGTCTTTTTCCTCTTTTGGAGTGATGACCGGGGATAAAGGCGTGATTAGAATTTTTTTTTTTTTTTTTTTTTTTCATTTTCTTTTTCCTCTTTTGGATGATGACCTGGGGATAAGGGTGGATTAGAATTTAATGTCTTTTTTCTTTCCACTAGTTCAAGCCACTACTTTCAGAAAGTTAAAGTGCCAGGAGAATGCCAAATCACGCACCATGGTGATTCTAAAGGCCTGCCATTCTAGTCTTTCTAGATGTAGTCTCATCATCTATAACTTTGTATAATACATATCCTCATGTATCCGAAAGAAAATTCCTTATCTTTATCCAGAAAATAGGATCTAGCATCTGTATGATTCAGGATCCCAGATGAAAGTAGAATCATAAACCTGTAAAGTGAAATAACATAAGCAAAGAACTCACAAGCCATTTATCTCGTGCATATAGCACCGTGTTTAACATATTTTCATACAGTAGAAAATATCCCATCCACTCTGAAATTATAATATCTACTTTAGCAACTGGTAACTCAATCTCTTCAATCTTTCCCTTCAAAACTGTTACAACTGTAACAATAAAAAAACAGTAAAAGAGAGAGTGGTTACTTTGAATGAATATAGAAAGAAAGAAGAATTAATGAACATAAAAACATTCGTGCATTACCATCTGAAAGGCCATTTGATTCAGCAATCTCTTTTGCCATGTCAGCCATCTGAGAGCACTCAACCTGAAAAAAAGAAAGCAGCAACCATATTTAACATGAATAACCAAACCAAATGACAGAAGTGCAAAAATGCCAGCTCCATAATCATAAAGTAAATTATGGATATGGTCAAATCATTACTAAATACAGGGATGCAAGTGAAGACATACTGCATAAACATGTGCTGCTCCAGCTTTTGCACAAAATAGGGACAAAATTCCAGTCCCAGCACCAACGTCAAGTACTACTTTATTTTTAAATAAAAACTTATTCTGATAAATAACGTTTTGATACGTCTTGGTTCTCACCACATCCTTCAGCATTTCCTGCAATTTAAGCGGAATATCAACTAGTTACAAATTTAAGTAACAAGGGGAAAAATAAGATCTAAAAACAAATCATTTCCATGCATTTGTAACAGTTCCAGAAACCATAGTTTATAGAGTAGCCTAGATACAAAAGAATACTGCAAGAAAAGTTTCCTTATACAGAAGACAGAAAACACAAAGGATACATGATAATAAAGCAAGGCAATCACTTGTATGACTTAGAAAAGTAGTCAGCATGAAACCCAATAATCATTTAATAAGCAGGTGTAGAAAAAAAATGGAGAACCATTTATTTAGGCACTGCTTCCTGTGAAGTACAAACTGAGAGATCGATAAATGCTAGTTTTGCAAGTACAAAGCTATAAGTGCATCACCAACATATAAATGCATACTTCCATGAAAGTTCATCTGATAAAACTAAGATCCTAAAAAGAAGCAGGCAGATGTGGAAATTAACAGATTAGCAATTTGAACTTTGAAGTTCCAGGAGGTAAAAAGTCGTATCCAGGTGCCACACACTTACTTCATGAATACCTGCAAACGCAAAAAACAGAAAGAAAGCGAAATCTCAGCTTGTGCAGAGCAGGCATAAAGCATGAAACTTTCACTAAATCTGAATCTAGAGTAAAAAAACTAATTCGTTCCAAGCTCTAAACCAAAACCAAAAGGAGAGTAAAATAAAAGGTGGAGAAAGTTACCAAAGTGAGAATAGGAATCGAAATAATAATCGGCGCTAGTTTTGTCATCATCGCCATCGATAAAGGACACATCCGTCTCGCCCATAGAATCATCGTCCATGGCAATAGCTTTGTCGCTGGCTATAATGGACTGGTCGAGATTTGAGCTCACTGTGGTGAGCTCTTCGTCTGCATCTTCGAAGCGAATTTCGGTGCCCTGGGATTGGGCGTTGGTGAAGCTCATGGAGCCCTTATTTTTGTCGTCGTTGTTCTTTCGACGTCCCATTTGAAGATTAGGGTTTTTGCTTCTGGTGGCGGGAGATAAAGAAATTAGGGTTTATGCGTGGGTTTATGGAGCTTCAGTAACGTTTTTGGATTTAAGTAGGAGATATTTCAATACTTCATTTCAGAGGGAAGTCCCTCATGAGACAAAAACGCGTTTTTTTTTTAATATAAATAAATAAATGTGTTTTTCCTTTTTTTATATAATTAATAAATATTTGGTATTAATCGAAATTACTACAAATAGCCTCACACAAATACAAAATTTTAATTAAAATTTTAAAAATAAGTTTAAAAGAAAAATAAATCTTCAGAATGATTGGCTAAACGAGTTAAAAAAAAAAAGGGTTGTAGCTTAATCCTGGTGATCAATAAATATCAGGTGTTTCTACTATTTAAGGTGGGGAAAGTGACGAGCTTGATTTGATTCTCTCCGATAGTAAGTGACATCATAGAGCCCTTTATATATGCCATTTGATTTCTATACAAAAAGTAAGCACGGCTAGGTTTTGAAAGTCAAACAATCAAACTTGTATCTCCTAAACTTTGAAAATGAAAATTTATAACCTCCTAAATTTCATTTTTCTAAAAAATTTTACATCTCCTAATAAGCTTTTGGAGTCATAAATATAGAAAAAGTGAAGTTTAAGAAAACACAAAATTATCTCAAAATTCACAAAACCGCATTTTTTTTTTTAACCAAAGTTCAGGATTAGATAATGCATTCAGAGATCGAACTGAGATGCACTTGAGCAAGAGATGAAGGAGAAGTATACATTGCACACTACCAGCATCAGTACATGGTGCTCCAACGTCTGTTCGTTTTCCAGTTTTGCCAACAATAAACATTGTTGAATCGACTGGCTTTGCCATTTTGCCCTTACATCAAGTTTCGATAAAAACAAATATCATCTAATGAACAAACTAACTAAAGTTTGAATAAAAATTATTTTTAGAAATTATTTGTATTCACATTTCCATTTAGTTTTCAGTTGGGCAACAGCGTGCCTTGAGCAGTATGTTTTGGAATACCTTGTAAGCATTTGGTTCAAAACAATGCCTTTATTTGTCATGCCAGACGAAAATAGTTCACACGAAAGACCTAACGAACACATGAGAGCATTTCTCTAACACTAGTTAATAGTTATCAACAAGAAGGTCCATTGTTAGTCTTGTTCTCTCCGCCAGATCCTGAAGCCTTGTCAAGTGGCCATGGTGCTCCTGCCATCACTGCTTCAATCTCCCAAATCTCTCGAGGACACTTAGTCATGTTATTGCATCCGTTGGCAGTGACGTGCTAAATACAGAAGACAGAACATCAGAATAACATGGAAATTCAATAGGAATACCCATGAAATAAGCTAACTTACACCATGAACAACTAAAACTGAAAAATTCTTTTGAACATTTGATTCCTTGAGAGAGGATTGTGCAAATTGGTTTTAGACCAGGATTGTTGAGACCAACAGCATAATGAAAATTTATCGACGTTAGATGTTGCATGACACCATAGTACCATTAATGCCACTCTTAGATTTTGTAATATGATGATATTGTTTAAAGTCTGAATACTTATCATACCGGAGATATGCAAATCAAGAAAGAAAAAGTCATGTATGGGCTTCAGGGGAAAAGTACCACATCACTTTCGATTCGAACCCCACCAAAACCTTTAAATCTGCCAATTGCCTCACGATTGAAAAACTTATAAGTATTTGAACTCTCAATGGCTGGTTCCAACACAGCATCTATGAAATAGCAACCAGGCTCCACTGTTATCACCTACAAGTACCTCCAAAGCTTAGAAATCATTCCAATCATGAGCAAACTAATAAGATGGATGAATAACTGAGGTACACACGAAGTGATTAGTTTCAAGACAGAAATCTGTCTTGATCAGCAACTGCCCCTTCCAAAATAGAAAAACAAGGAGGCAAAAGAGCCATTTGATGTGACTGGTCATGTGGCTTTACAAATTACACAGAAAAGAAGGTATTGTGAATTCCAAGACACATTCCAGATAAAAAAATGTGCCCTAGGATGCATCGGTAAACTGAGTAGACAGTTTTATTTCAGCAAAACAGGGCCAGAACTAACCATTCCCTCCTCAAGTTCTCGGGCAGTACGTAAAGATCTCAATCCTGGTTCCTTTGATTTCTCTGGTCCCTGCAGATCATGCCACCATGTTTAAGCCAAATATTTTGAAGAGAAATCCCACTACTAAGTAATTTATCATAGGTACCTTTAAGTAGCCACCAGGATCATGAGTGTCAATTCCCAAGAAATGCCCCAGCCCATGAGGCATGAAAACAGCACCCAACCGCTCTGTCATCATATCATCTACATTGCTAGGACCAAGGAAAAGTGCCAACATTTATAATGACTTTTTTCTGTCCTGATAATGAACCATAATTGAAACTTGCAAGTGAAAGAGAATATGTGATTGAGGAAGCAAAATTACCCAACAAGAATGCACCCTTTCTTTAATGATTCAAGAATTATTTTTTCTGCTAATCTGAATATGGTAAGGAGAAAATAAGAACAAATAGACATAGTAATGAAGATGAAAAAATTCTGCACATTATCAAGATGAATGATTGGCATGACTGAATAAGTGAGTACTGTAACCACGATCTTTATTTAATAAGATATATGATTAAACCTAGAGGTGTCAGATTCTTTTTCTAAGATAAAACCAATTTTTATTTTATGTTATCATGATTACCCTGCAATTTATCCATAAAGAATATATTTTAAAATACAAAGATAGTTATTATAATGTAAAACTCAAATATTAGAGCAAAAGGAATAAGTGTTTAGCAATCGCATACAGAATGTTTTCAGTTTCAGCCTTACTTGTGCATATCTAACCAGCTAACTCCAGGTCTTATTGCAGATATAACAGTGTTATGAGCACAGAGAACAGCCTGTAAAATGTGCAAATTAGAAAGAGATTCTAAACACAGGAGCTGCTAAGAAGTATTAAACACCATCATAATGCAAGCATCAAGAGAACACAAATTTAGATCTTCTGAATGGTATTACTGGTGCTCTTTGCAGATTTCTTTTTAGGAAAGGAAGAGAGAAAATGGCCATAATTTTTAGTCAGGCTTACATTGTATATAATAGACTGATCAGCAGTAAACTTTCCATTCACCTGCATGCAGAAAACTAAGGTTTTAGAACAAAATCTACAAATAAGAAAAAAGAAAAACAGATAGATCTTATCAGCAATAGTGAAAAGAGTTTCAGCTCCCTCCCCCTTCTATTATATTGCTACTCTCTTGAGCGCATAAAAAAATTAGAATCCCTTAAGGAAAACTAAAGTGTTTTAGTTTTAACCTTTGTCTTTCAGAACTCTCCTAAGAAAAGACCTAAGGCTACAGCATCTTTACTTAAGGCCCAGTTCTGATCAAGCAAAAGGAGGCAAAATGATTACCAGCAAGTGAATCCAAAACCTTAACATCTATGATGATTACAAAAAGAAGAGCTACTGCAAACAAAAGTCTGTACCGCGAAGCAGACTAAATAAAACTGGACTATGATGATTACAAAGAAAAGTCGAACCAATTGGAAACAGACTGTACCATGAAGCAGGCAAACAAGAAGAGCTACTGCAACTGGAAATGTACACTTACTGGGAATGAACAAGTTATGTCCGAGCCGTAAAATTGATATTCAGCTCCCATATCAAACAATGCCATATCTCCATCTTGCATAGTCTGCATGAAAGACATTAGGAAGATTGTGGGATTAATAGATAATTCTCACAATTTGAGGCATTTCAGGCAAAATTCAAACTCATTTTCCATCTAAACATATTTAAAGGAGATGGAATTTTATATTTGTTAGAAATTTCAACCATGTATTGTGTTTATGCAAAATTTTGAAGTGAGGTATAAGATTAGTTGGATTTTATAAAATCTCAACAAGAGGTGATCTCTAAGGGTTCTCTGTGTGAAAATCAAGCATCGAATTCAGTTCTTTTAGACAAGCTAACACTTTACATTTGTCAAACAAACTAATGTACCACACATAATACATCCTAATAATAATTGCCTAATCATTAACAAATAGATTGACGCTCATCCTGCAACCCCACCACACACAATAACATTAACAAAAAACAACCAAATCATATACTATAGCAACTGTATAACTGCCCCTCCCAACTGAGATATGGTTGTAATAAACACTAAGAGTTACTTATACAAGAGCGCTATTATATATGTTGCAAATAATAACAAACATTCTACCACTAAAATGGCAAGAAAACAGCTAAATGGTGGACACTGAACATGAACAGATCTCCCAATCGCACTTGCTGCTTAGAGTTACATGGATAGAACATCCAAGTTCCATCTAAGCATATAAAGCTTTCACACAAACCTTCTCTACCGCTACAACTTAAAAATTTAAGAAAATAATTCCATAATGGAATAATTGAAATTTAGAAATAAGCTACAAGTGTTAAACTTAATAAATCAAATGCAGTAAAGGCCAAAATGTTGAATTTACCATACCCTGTCATTTGGAGCTGCTGCATGCCCATAGTGGAGTACAGCACTGAATTATGAGACATTAAAGCTGTTAGTTTAATGCAAGAATAATGCAGCTAAAACTGTTCTTCAATGCATCCTGATAACAAAATGGTCCCCTAGGACAAGAGATTCGCTAAAAAAAGATATATATTTTTTATTTAGAACCAATAACAGTGACATGTTCATATATTGTTCATGACATTTGTAGTTAATAACAGGAAGTTAAAGCTAGTAAATAATTCCTTACAAAGTGCATGGAGAAAATCTAGTGGCATAATTACCATGATGTTACGAACTGCGAAAGAAAGGACTACTCTGAATTTACATTGTTTTAACCATACTTCACCTTTCCATAGACTTTTTGAATAATGGCTAAATTAAGTTTAGCAGAAAAAATTGCTTCTACCAATAAATAAACTACAAAGAAATAATTTACAGCTGTCCACAAACCTCACCTATTTTCACCCGTAGCACAGATACATGTGTAAGAGCAATTCCTACAGCCACCATACATGTAGGTGTGGTGAAGAAATATACTCTCCAACTGATATTCTTTCATGCCGGCCCAAGTATTTCTCATAACCTTGCAATTTGCAAAGTTTAAAACAAAAAACAAAAAAAGAAAAGGAAAAAAAAAAAACTATCAGCTCCTTTTGGAGTATTTATACAGAAATTCAGGAGAAAAATAACCATTGCATAGAATGCTAACTTCACATAAATAACTCAATATTAATGAGCATGTGCGACATGAAATGAACTTGTATCCTGGTAGTGATTGTTAGTTAAGGACCTTAATGGCAAGAATAAGCAGCTGATCCTGAAGTAAAATCGAAGAATCATATGGAGATAAACATATGCAAATTGCATATATCAATTTAATTCACAAGAATGGATGTAAATAATGCCATAAGTGGGATGTTTGCACCTGAACGTGAGCTTCAGAACTTATGTCATTAGCAAATTGAATAATGGCAAGCTCTAGTTTGGATTTCAAAACACGACATTCAGTCAAAACAGGATGCAATGTAGTCAAATCTGTCTCAAACTTTTCTATCCCCTGCACATAGATTTACAAACAGGCACACAAACACACGAAGAAAAGGAAAAAGAATTACATTCAAGAATCAGGTGTTTTAGGCCCAAACAAACAAGTGATACCAGAAGGTTACATTGTAAGATGCACGAACCTCAAATTCTGCTGGTTTAGAAAAGTTATTACTGTCAGTATTAAGTCCATGCAAGAGAAATAATAGAGGTTTCTCAACTCCATTGCTGAGTTCATTCAGAACTGCTACAATTTCATCTGTATAATAAACCATGCTAACCATGTATTTTTCCTGCAAAAGAAAGAAGCAAGCATGATTTGACAAACATGCTTCAGACACTGACATCAATTCTTTAATCATCTAAGAGAGAAAACCTGAAAATGAGACAACGGCTTTATTTCTCCCAGCCAAACAGCATAATCAGCAGGTAGCCTTGGAGCAAAGAGAATAGATTTCCCAGTTGCAACATCCTTCAAGGGGGAAAAGAAAACTGTTACAATGTACAGAATAAGTATGCTATGGCTCATATACAAATAACGGGATATAGAAATGCTGAAGCAACATGAAATAAAAAACAACCTATTACTTTAAAACCAAATCTGAAGGCTCTAAGTAAAATCGAGTATCATTAATGTCAATAGAAATCAGAACACTACCAAATAACCATAGAAACCAATTAATTAGTAAAACGGTTACTGCATAAACAATCAAGAATAGAAAAAGGTAGAATAGCTTACAATTGCTCCATAGAAACCAGGCTCTATTACTCCAAACAGATACGCGAAATAACTCTCCTGCCTAGAAAATGGAAAGAATCACCAATTGTAACTAGAAGCTATAAACTGAAATCCAAGATAAAATCACAGCGAAAAAGCAATTACCTGAAGAGTTCGATATGATCAGTACAGTAGCGAATTTTTTCTTCGCCTCCCTACAAGATTAACACATACAAACAAAAATATGAATCATCGAGATGCATCTGTGGTATCTATATTAATATACAGGAGCATTTTTTATGTACCCGAAGAAACACGAATCCGTGGAGAGGACGAGAGATTTCAATAAGGTGTTGACGGAGAGATTTGAGGAGCTTTTCGCGGTTTGTGACGTGGAGCTCCATTGGGACTTTAGGAGGAGAGAGAGACGACGGAGACGGAGATGAAGCCATGGAAATGGCTTCTACTTGTCGGTTTCACCGATATCCGGTGACTTGTGTGTAAGCTTATGCTTAGCTACACACTAGCCTGATGATGTCTTCGGTTCCGGGGAAGCATTGCGAGAAATCAACAAACTAAAAAAAAAAATACGAACTGCGTGAGTCACCAGCAATGAAATGCGCACAACACTGTAAACGATAAATGATAAATTATCAGACTCCGGTAACAAAACGATCGGTCGTTAAGCAACCTCAAGAAATCAAAGTAATCAAACAAAATAAAAATAACACAAACGGCGTGAGAAATAAGGACGGAAATGCACCTAAACGGCAAGGGATAAAACATCGCACTCCGGTAATATAACGGTCAGCCGTTCGGCGACCACACGAAACCAACAAAATAGCTGCTATAAACTGGGTTTAGTTCGATCAGAGTTTGTGTGGTGGACTCGTTGTGATGGGTTTCTCTATTCAAAAGGTATACGTCAATTTGGGGTTAAGCCCAATGGGCTATCAAAACATTCACAAATTTCTCAACTTCCCTATCCCAATCAATTTCGGTTTGAAACTTTCGGCCCATTACTTTAAGAATTATTTTTACTTTTTTTTATTAACATTCCTGCCGACGTATCGTTTCACTCTGTTGACTTCAACCCGCGAAAAAGACGGCTTTTACGCAAGGATCGAGAAAACTATAATAATTCCTTTTTAGGCAACGACAAGCTTCTGACCACACGTCAATTTTCACTTTGGGATAATTAATTTGGACTACTTGCAGTTCAATAATACTCGGAACATGTTAAGCGTTCGATTTTTCACGTGGTGGTCGTTATTTTCTTTCTTTTTCGATTTTCACGTGGTCGTTATTTTTTATTTTTTATTTTTTTTCAGCTAGCAAAGGCATCACCCAACTCATCTATTTAATAGTTGGGTAGAAAATTAATCCATTTTTAAAACCAAACAACGAATTATATTCGTAACCCTCAAAATTCTCACTACACAACCCTATTTTGCAATGTTGATTGAATTATTTTCTTTTTTGGTTTGCAATGCTAAATGGAGTTCACCTATTTGCAATGGTGAAACTATAAATATATATAGTGGAATGATATATAATCAACTAATATAAAATTAGAATATGAATGAATTTTAATTAAGTAGCACTAGAGTCATATTTAAGATTGAGAAGTTTAAATTTAAAATTTTAAAACAAATCAAATTAAATAAAAAAATGAATAATTTATAAATAAAAATAGGATGTCGGCTACTTAACATGAAAGTGGAAGTCAAAAGACGAACTTTCTTGCCTCTAGGCAACTAAAGCAAGTCTAGCTATATGGATTTATAATGAGAAGTGTTTTGTAGGTTTCTACTTGTAGCTAGTAGGCCATACATATATGCATATGCATGCAGCTTTCGAAATATGATTTTCCGGTTTATAAAAATATGATGGCGCCCATGCACGTGCAACCTTAATTGTAGGAAGTAAAATTAATACTATATCAACTTTATAACCCTACTGTCATTCTTTTAAATGCTTATCAATCCCCTTACACTACTGCTATATGATTAAGCTCTAGCATCTAACAAATAACTAATAAATATAGTTGAACTCAAATCAAACTGAATCAGTTCAATTCGGTTTATTTAGTTTTATACTATTAAATTTTTTATTTGATTACTTTAAAAATACATTCGGTCAGATCAAAATTGCGATTTTGATTCAACTTAAAATTTAAAACTTTTTATAAAAATGGAAAGCTTGCTGTCAAGAAAATAGTATCATCATCTTAAGTTTTGACTTTGATTTTAAGTGTGAAATAATATTGCACCAATCATTCATTTTACATATATACTGCTACAAAACAAGAAGCAAAAAATCTGGATCCAACACTAAGACTGACATATTACAGCGGCCATATGTACATGTTGTTGTGATCCATATTATATACTGATATCCATCAATCAAAACTGTGGATCTTAAGCTAATAATTCTTCCATTCCATCAAAGTGGGGCTCTGTTCTGCAACCAGTCAGATTGAGCAGATGCAAGAGCAAGTTGATGATTCAATTAGCAAGTTTCAGTCAAATTGTTGGAACATCATGTGTTTGATCAATTTACGAGGTCAATATATGTTTGTCCCCTTTCTAATTATTAAACATGTAGTAATAATTTAACTCTTTCAAGAGTTCCAATGTAACCTATGACATATGTATGATTAATACAAGCGTGCGCCGACCCTGGTTGGCAAGCGGCTGGAATCGACATCGCTGCTACTACATCACTCTAAATATAATACTAATTTATTTATAATTTATATTTTCGTGTATATATATTGTTTTAAAAAATTAGTTGACGCAAAATATTATTCTAACTTAATCGAAGGGTAGACTAAAACATATTTTTTTGAATGGAATGTATTTTTTATTATTTACTGGGAGAAAAAAAAAAAGAATAAAATGATTCATTTTAAAAAATTAATATATTAATAAAAAGATAAAATTAATATATTTTATAATTAATGACATACTTAATTTATTAAAGTTCAGTTTCTTAATTCAGTTAACAGTAAATACTTCATATTAATATAATTATAATTAAAATTCTAAAATAAATTATGGTTCAAATTTAAAAATAAAAGAAACAAATTAATTCACTTGTTACCAATTGAATTAATGGACAAAAATTAATAATCTTTTAAATTTCAAAAAAATTTTATATGTACTGACAATACAAGTGTACAAAATCTCTAAGCATATGTGGACGTTGGTGGATCACATTTTAGTACAACCAACTGCTTGTATAATTAATTAAAATGCTTATCGTATAAGTTAATCAGTGAAGACCAAAACATATATACGATTTTGATTTAGGAATAGAAAGAGATGAAGGGCACATGGATGGATGAGAGATGGAAAATTTTCCACGAAAAGGCAGTTCTTGGCACATACTTATTATATATAAACATTTGCTTTTCTGATTAATATATTTTAGCATAGCCTGTTAGGTAAAGCTCCTGTGTATTTATATACGTTGGATATATATAATTGTATACTAAAAAAAATGTTTTTAAATAGTTTAATTATATCCGCTTTCAACTGCCCTGGGAAATTTTTGGTTTTAGCCTATCATTTTAATTTAATTAATTTTAGTTTGCAAATTTATTTTCACGCTCGATAATTTAATTAATTTTAAACCCGGATATAATAATCTAATAAATTTTTTAATTGTTATATTAAGTAATAACTTTTTTTTTTTTTTGTCATGCACCAATCAACGTAATTCGATTAATTTGGGTTTTTACTTTATGAAGGTAATTGAAAATAAAAAATAAAATCTTTACATTAAACTAATATTAGTTTTTCATGGTTTTAATTTTCATTTGAAAAATAATTTATATCCCTTTACACTCAATTTTGGATGATAAAAAAATATTTTTAAATTAAAACAGAAAAGAAAAAAGATATATGCCGGTGGAAAAAAAAAATAAAAATACAGAAATTCAAGTACAAAACTTTGAGCATATATAAAGACTATAATCCATTAATAGTACATACTGAATTATTTTTTTGGTTTATTGCTCTTTATTGATTATTTGAAGTCAAAGAAATTGGGCAACTTTTTTTTTTTTTTTTTTTTTTTTTGTTTATTGCTCATTTCATTGATTATTTGAAGTCAAAGAAAATGTGGCAACTTTTTTTTTTTTTTTTTCTTTTTGATGGTTTACCAACTAATAAACATCATTAATAATCAAAAACCTATAGCCAAATCAAGGTATTAAAAACAAAATAAAACCTTCAGGAAAAATTCTCCAGCTATGAGACCAAATTATGACGGTGCCATTAATTAATTTCTGCTAATAAATAATTTCTTAGAAGAAAAGGAAAGTTAAACTAAATCTTCAAGTTGGATAATGGAATTTTTTTTTATTTTTTGAAAAATAATGGATTAATGGATAATTATTAGTACGTAAAAAGTGGTACTCTAATATGGATAATTTATAATTAAAAGGCAATTCTTGCACACATTATGATATATCAGTAGTCTAATTACGTTTGAGTTGATATTTTGTAAATAAATAAATTGGTATTAAGCTCTACATGAATGGAAATTTTTAACCAAATTAAATTACTAAATTTTTTTTTTTTTTTTTTGATGGTTTACCAACTAATAAACATCATTAATAATCAAAAACTATAGCAAATCAGGTATTAAAAACAAATAAACCTTCAGGAAATTTCCAGCATGAGACAATTTGCGGTGCATTAATTAATTTCTGCTAATAATAATTTCTAGAAGAAAAGGAAAGTTAAACTAAATCCAAGTTGGATAATGGAATTTTTTTTTATTTTTTTGAAAATAATGGATAATGGATAATTATTAGTACGTAAAAGTGAGTACTCTAATAATGGATAATTTATAATTAAAAAGGCAATTCTTGGCACACATATATATATAAGTAGTCTAATTACGTGATTGATTTGTAAATAAATAATTGGTAATTAAGCTTCTACATTGAATGGAAATTTTAAAAATAAAATACTAATAATTAATTTACTTCCAATTTCGAATTATCTTATCAACTCATGTAATTTTTTTATTGGTGGAAGTCACATGTGTTTCACCATGCTAATTTAATTTGATTATTTTTTTTAAACATGTAAGTTATTCTAGTCATTAAATATGAAAATATATAACAATACATTTTTTTTTTCATTCTTTTTGAACAACATACACATATGTGTTATCATGTTCGAATCTGGAATAATAGTTTAATAAAATTCTTTTGAAAGTTGAGACTCCAGACCCTTATTATTAAAGTTTATATCGAATATAGTCAGATATTTTTTTAGAATATATATATATACATACACGTACAAACGCGTATATGTTTTTTTCCTAATATTTAATATGAAAAATAAATAAAAGAGGAAAAAAAACGCCGGTGGATACAAATTGAAGAGCAAGAAGCAAACAATATATGTGGAATGACATTGATTTGTGAATGGGAAGTCAAAGCAATATATATGTGGGGAACATTATTTCATGCTTTACAACTATAAGATTAAGAATCAAAAACAAAAAACAAAAAATTGTACTCGTACTAATTCTATCATAACTATTTATTGCTCAACCTTCAGGAAATTTCCATTCCAACATATATAAGACAATGTATTTTTGCCAAAAATAATAATTAATAATCATTATTATCAAACCCTACCATATCCATTTAGTACTATATATCCCATTTACGTCATAGATCCTCCTCTATGGGGTTCACAAAACGTGTTTTTAGGAATCAAAATAATTAATATTTTTTTTTTATTTCTTAAAAATTTTAGTATTTTTAAAAAATACAAATTAAGAAAACGTAATTTTGGTGAATTAAATATGATTAGAATCCTTAATACCAAAGTCAGTATTAAAATCCGACCTACCCAATATTCTATTGTTATCTTTCTTTTGACATGATCTTTTGATGATTGGTATAAAGATTCCTACGTGGCAAGTCCCAATTGGCAATGTATCTTCCAAGAAGATTCATGCCTTATGATTGGGATGCAAACAAACATACAAATATACCTTTCTCCTACAATCATCGAGTAAAAGCTCTTACATAACCTTATTCTAACTATAATAACAAGCAGTAAACTTTAATTATCAAAATTACAAAATTATCCAAAGTTCGTTTTACAAATAGCTCTCCCTAAAAATTTATCTTTTATAACATTGTTTTTTTAAAAGCAAAGTATCTACACTAATGTTTAATATAATTTACAAAAACTATATGTATCATTTAAAACACATTGATTAATTAGAAAGATATTCATTAATTAAAATTAATTTTAAGACAAATTTTAAATATTTTATCTAAATTGAAAACATGCATGCCAGAAACAGAAGATATGGAAATATTCATACAATTAAAAGAATGTGATGACATGATTATGGCTATGGTGTGTCGGTAATTACCATGAAAATAAGAATCTAAAATTAATAAAATTGGGAGGATATAATATTCTGGACGGCAGGCAATAGCAAGACATAGCTTTCACTTGTAGTCCATATGCACAACATGAAAGTGACAAATTACCATAGTGACGCATTAAGCAGCTCTTCGTCCAAATTAAACTAATTAATTATATTTCTAATCATAACTCAGTACATCGGGATGATATTATTTGCTACATAACAGGGTATCTCTTCTCTTTGAATAAGATTCAACTCGAACTCGAGATCTCTAATTTTTAGAAGATTCAAATCGAACTCGAGACATTTAATTTCTACATTTTCTATAAAATGTGAGAGTATCGATCATAGCACACTTAGAAATTAATTTGTGTATAGTGAATATAATATTTGCATTTTGACCGGTCCCTTTCGATATGGTAATGAATCTTTATTGCTTTCTTTCCTTCCTTCTAGGGTGCTTCCCTATATATCTGCTGCTGCTCAGTTGGCCTCCACTTCATGAAAATTTATATGTTATTTTTATTTTTTTACTAATTTTTTCATGTACTTTATTGCTAACCTAACCTAAAACACTCTAAACACTGGCTTTGTTTCTGTATTTTTGTGTCATACGTATTAATTATTATTATACTGAGCTAGAGATGCTGGCTTTCGTGATTCTGACATAACACACTTGATTTGTACTAATTATAATTAAAATATAACTTAGCAACTGGTTAAGTAAACTGTTTTACTAATTAAATACTAATTAACAAGGAGCAAAAGCACTTTCCTCAAAATTGATTTATTTCAATTGGTTTTCTTAAAACAACAATTCCAACGGTACAATTTTGATATTATCATATGGTCAAAATCTTCAAAAATTTCTCTGAAAAAATCTTGATCATTCATATTATAAAATAAATTAAAGATTTGTTCAGATAAATTTATGATCTAGCAAATCTCTATGGAATGCAAAAAATTAAAAACCCTAATGTTTATTCTTTTTGTTCTTTTTATATATATTTGAACAATAGCAATTCTTTTCATCCTCAATCGACTCAGGTGTTAGTTCAGACCACTGTTTCTATATTTGATGAGGCTGAGTGAGTCTCATGTCCCTCCGGTTTGATTTAAGCAATATAGAAAATGAAAAGAAAAAAAGATTGCTTGCTTGATATTTGTTCTTAAGCCGACTGATTATCAGAGTGGTCATGGACCACTCCTTTAATCACGTTCTCAAATTCCTGAACTAAAACGCAATCTAATGTCTAATAATATGTATTAATTACAAAATCTTGAACAGTATGAGGGTCGGCCAGTTACTGTTGATTAGTTTCTTGCACATGGATATATATTTATCGAGCCCCACGTCGATCCATATTCATTTTTATATAAATTATTAGCATATATTCTCTTCATATTTATATATATATCAACGGTTTTAATTTTCTTATAAATATTCTTTTTTTTTTTCTTTTTCTTTTTCGTTCTTGTTGGTCGACGTTGTTTATATAAATATTCTCTGCAAGTTTGTTAGTTGAAAATCTTATAAGAACAACACGATCTTTACAAGTATCTTAACTCTTACATCAACGCATGCAAATTTGTCAACCAAACTGAGCTCATTTTAGATATCAATCCATCTGTTTGTCATCCGTTTTCTGCTATTCTTAATCTCACTTTAAGTGATTATTAAGCTACTAATCATGATTAATGTTCATTAAATATGTAATATGCCATTTGACTTCAAGTGCAGAACTGATAATTATGCAATCTAACATCTGAATATCTAAGAAGTTGAGTGCTTAAGCTATGTTAATTAACTAAATAAAATGCTTAAGCTTGATTGAATTAATTGACCAGAATGCTTAATTAAGGATGTTATAAATTCTGTTGCTTAAGTTAATGAAGGTAGAGTGGGGCCATAAAATCTTCTCAGAGCTTCTATTTTGTCTTAATTATGTTCCCAAATCGGAATCTTAATCTTGTGTAAACTGGTATCTTTGTCAGATCATCATAGCTTTAACTACTACTAGATCTCTTGAAATATATCTTTGCATGCTCTAATTAATGATTTTGGTTTCAGTAAATAAATAATTATGCTTCTGTTTAATTAATTAATTGGGTTTAATTATGCAGATAAAATGGGTTTGATCAGTCATAGGTTGGGAAGTGGAGACTTGTAGAGATAAGATATAACACAACAGAAAGCAAATTTGACTTGATTAAGACTAATTAAGCAAGCTTAATTAACTTTATGACAATTTTCAAATAAAAAAATAAAAATTTTTAACACCCACCACGCCCGGTCCCCGTTAACCACCATATTCGGTGTGGGGATCTTATGGGAGATTGAGATAAAGAAAGGTGTGAAGAAGATGACAGAAACGAACAGTTGTCATTTGAGAGATAAAACTTTGCATCTGTAAATTAAAGGGGGTGAGAGATTGCTTACATTAGAGAATCAATTATTGATATTTTTTTTTCTATTTTTTTAATTTCTTAAGTTGTGGGTCCATTTTTTTTTAATGTCAAAGCCTTAAAGACCTTTCTATAAATATATGAGGGTTCTTGACATAGGTTTTCATATTCAGCTACCAGTTCTCAAACACACCTCTCTCTCTTCTTTCTTCTTCTTCTTCTTCTTTAAATCATATAATACCAGTTCTTGAATAGTAATATTACGAATTCTTTTTCAAAGAATATATTCTGTTCATAGTTTTATAAGTAAGAATGGCCATAGAGATTGAGCAACCAGCTAAGAACACTGTTGGGCTATCAAGAATTGCAGTTTCTGAAACTCATGGAGAGGATTCTCCATACTTTGCAGGATGGAAAGCTTACGATGAAGATCCTTACCATGAAACAGAAAATCCCTCTGGAGTCATACAGATGGGGCTCGCCGAAAATCAAGTAAGTCTATTACCCTCTTAATTGTCGAATATCCCTTCTTTATATATGTATATTCTAAAAGTAGTTATATTTAATTTTCCTTTCTGGAACGAACAGGTTTCTTTTGATTTGTTGGAAGACTACTTAGAAAAACATTCTGAAGCTTCTAACTGGGGAAAAGGAGCACTTAGCTTTAGAGAAAATGCCTTGTTTCAAGATTACCATGGACTCAAATCATTTAGACAGGTATATTTATATATATTTACAATCATTTTAAACACATATAATATATAAAAAGAAGATATATTCTAACATTTTCTATTTATAAAACAGGCAATGGCAAGTTTCATGGAACAAATTAGAGGTGGAAGACCAAAATTTGACCCAGATAGAATAGTTCTAACTGCAGGCGCAACTGCAGCTAATGAACTATTGACTTTCATTTTAGCTGACCCTGGCGATGCTTTGTTAGTTCCTACTCCATACTATCCAGGGTAATTACTTACTAAACTTTCATTTTGTGTTCATATTCTTCTATAATTTAGTATTATTGTAGCTAATAATAATTTTAACTTGTAACAGATTCGACAGAGATTTAAGGTGGAGGACTGGTGTAAAAATAGTACCAATCCATTGCGACAGTTCCAACAATTTCCAAGTGACTCCTGAAGCTTTAGAAGCTGCATATAAAAATGCAGTAGCTATGAACATTAAAGTTAGAGGAGTACTTATAACAAATCCTTCCAACCCATTAGGCGCCACAATTCAACGTTCAGTCTTGGAAGAAATTCTTGATTTTGTTTCACGCAAAAATATCCATCTGGTTTCTGATGAAATCTACTCAGGATCTGCTTTTTCATCATCAGAATTTGTTAGCATTGCTGAAATTCTCCAAACTCGCGGTTATAAGGATTGTGAAAGAGTTCACATTGTTTACAGTCTTTCAAAAGATCTCGGGCTTCCAGGTTTTCGGGTAGGAACTATCTATTCTTATAACGACAAGGTTGTTACTACTGCAAGAAGAATGTCGAGTTTCACCTTGATCTCCTCGCAAACGCAACATCTCTTGGCTTCAATGTTGTCTGATAAGGAGTTTACAAAGAAGTATATTAAAATAAATAGAGAAAGATTAAGGAAAAGGTATGAAATGATTATCCAAGGATTAAAGAAAGCAGGGATAGAATGTTTGAAAGGTAATGCTGGATTATTTTGTTGGATGAATTTAAGTCCTTTCTTGGAAAAACCAACAAGAGAAGGAGAATTATCTCTTTGGAAATGCATTATTCGTGACGTAAAGCTTAATATATCTCCTGGCTCTTCTTGCCATTGCTCTGAACCAGGATGGTTTAGGGTATGTTTCGCTAATATGAGTGAGGAAACACTAGAAGTTGCACTGAAGAGGATACATAATTTCATGGATCAAAGGAAGAAGAAGACTACAGAAATTACAAATTAATTAAAAAAAAAAAAAAATCTATTTTACAGTGATTATTTTTCATTTTTAATGGCCAAGTACAAGTAGTACTCTAGCCATTTTGATTATCATTCTTTAACTAGATGATAAAACCCAAATGTGGGTTATTTATTTGTCTAGTTAATATTACAATTTTATACATGTAAATGTGATACATTCTTGTTTTCTTGCTTTGTCAAGCAAGTTCCCTAGAAATTCCATTTGTCTCATTCAAATGTAATAAGTTTGCAAGAATTTAATTTTCATATAATATAAAATTTGTTTCTTTTATTACATAATTTATTTCTTCGACTTGGTCAACATTTAATTTGTTCAACAAATATGTCTAATTTTATGTTCTCAGTAGGACTAGTTTCTCAACTACTCATAACATGTGTAAAAATGCAAATGGTAATTGCACCATTACAACAAGAAAGTTTGTTCTATACCCACAGAAATTATAATTTTGTCTCGTTGTCATGTTTTTATTTTTATATCTGTCTTTATCTTAAAATAGTCGCTCTTTGATTCAAGCAAGAAATGGGTTTGATTTCAAGTTCTGTGCTAACTAAGCACATACTCATCAACTAACATGACTTTTTTAATTGCAGTGTTAAATACATAATCCAAATTAATTAATTTTAATTAAGATGCAACTACTTAAATTTATATGTTTTGGTACTTTTAATAATACCCTTTTCGTGTACTTTCTTTTAACTTCTTTAATTATCTGCAGGGCTGGTAGAGGCAGCTCTTAAACACTCCATTCAATTATTATCAATTAATTTAGTATTAAAGAAATGCTAATGTAGAAGATATATATATATATTATAGTTAGTTTCCTTCAGGAAATATTAGTTACGTGTTAAACAATTGCGATTAGAGTGTGATTAACATTCCTTTGACTCAATTAATAATTAAATAATGTGGGTTTGAAAGATTACGATCATTAACCGGCAGCTTGGGACCAAACTCCAAAGCCAAATTAAACCCTATGGCTAGGTTGGAAAGTTGGTCTTGACTATCGAGATTTGATACAGATGGTATTATGTATATATACTAATATATATTTTTTGTTTTAACCAATTGAAATCATCCAGTCATATACCAGGTCATTTTGATTATATAAGATGTAATAATAATTAAATATATAAATAAAATATGCATGGGTTGATTATTATGAAGCAAATATATATGATTTAATTAGATCAAGAGATTTGATGTGCTTTCTTTGTATTGGCTTTGCGTGTCATACTTGCTCAGTACCAAACAAATTATGGTCCCTTTGGAGGATAACATTTGATATCAAGAAACAGCCGTTGATCATTATTTAGAATGACTCATTAAGCTTAATTATACACTAATTGCATTATTTATATACTTCTTGATCTACGTTAATTGTGGAAATTTAACTATATATGTAAATGAATATGAATATATATATATATTGTTTTGATAATGAAAACCAACTTCTAATTATTATTATTATATAGTAGCCATGTGATAATTGTTTATACTAATTAGTTACATAAGCTAGGGCAAGGTTTGCATGATCTTGGAGGTTTGCGGATCAAGAAAATTTGAAAAGCAATGTTTTGGTTGGCTTTTTTTATTTATTTAATTAATTGAGAGACTCAATAGACTGAAATAATACTCCGAACTACATAATACGGATAACTTTTTTTTCGAGCTCACTAAATTAATGAAAACTTATAGTTGAAAGAACTCAAATTCGAAACTTTTCACTCTTCACATAAATAAAAAAAAACCAATTAGATCACACCTTATTGGCAATTTTTAATTAGCTTTTGATTGTCTTTATAGAAGAAAGAGTTGTATTCGATTTCTCTACCAGAAACGAATATAGATAAATAAATCTGCCTTTTCTCTTCTTTGACAAGAAAAGAAAAAGACAAGAAAAAGAAGACACTGGGAATATGATAGTGAGGATTAGTGTGTGGATGCATCTTTAGGTGTGTTTTGACTTTTAAACTAATAGGATTTGTTTTTAATTGCGCGTGCCATTACAATAACAAGATTAAAAGGCAATTTTTATATTTTATTATTATATTAAATTTAGTTTCGTCAAAAAAATTTTTAGTATTTACTTTTTAGATAAGTAGCATTTGACTTTGAAGAATACAATGACCCATTCAAAGTTTCTAAATTCAAAAGAGAGAACCAGATTAGCATTTGGTACATGGTTCTATTATAAAGTTGACAATCTAAGGCAATAAAATTTTCTTAGTTCTAAGTTTCTAAATACGACGAGAAACTTTATGAAAACGATTTTGATTTTCGTTTGTCCAACAACAAAAAAAAAAAATCTGACCTCAAGATTCACGTGCGGGCCACATATCTGACCTCAAGAGTGATCAATTTTTCTCCCTAGTATCCAATTTTCGCATATGCTTTTATCTATATTTCAATTTTAATTTACACATATTTGCACATTTGGGTTAAAAATAATATTCATATACAGATTTCAATTTCCTAAACTTACAAATAAATTTCATTTGAAAATGCAATTCACCTCTACGTAATTTTGATTGTTAGACGACCTCTTATCCAATTTATCTCAAAAAGGAAAAAATATATATATATATTTTAATAATAAGAATAATTCAAGCTAATAATTGTTTTTCTTTAAGGAACGAAAAAACAAAGCAAGGCTCGTGCGTGTGAAAGCAATTTCACGTTTCTTTAATTGGTTAGACATAAAAAAAAAAACTTCTTTCTCAACAAATTAACTGCTTACACCCTAGTCACCAACCAATACCTTTTTGTTTTTCTAGTCAAATCTGCCCCCAAACAGATAGATCACAGCCGTCCACGTGACCCCATATGGCACACGAGCGGCCACATAATTCTATGCATCATATGATTAATCACATGCTCCTACTAGCGGCTAAACCAACTACTAGTGATTTATACTACAAAAACAAAGTGCTGAAACAATTTTTTCAATTTCTTGATCTATATTCTACGCTGCCAATGAAGCAGAGTAGGGTCCACATTTTGATCACAATCTGATCACATCATGTGTTGAAAGAATTGGTCCACTATCAGATCACAAATCTGCACTTACATGTGGCTTTCCACATCTTTAGTGATGATGTGAAATCGCCTTTCTCATGCTTCTTTGCATGAAATTATTTGGGTTTCCAACTAATTGATACCTAAGTCTCATCTTCAAATGATTGAATTTGAAACACGAGGAATGAATGGTTCAATATTCTAATGTGTCTCACTATGTTTTGGAAATAATGCATGCCAAAATATATATTAACATACATATCAGTCACATGGAATAGTATAAAAGTAAATTCACAGAAGTTCCATCCTGCACAAGTAAAAGTTCTATGCTTTGTGAAGTTCTTCAGGATGGATCGTAACTTAAAACTAATTTCCAAATACTGAAACGTAATTACCTCAAGGATAAAAAAATTGTTCCATCTATGCTCTTTATGATACTTCAAGACGGATAGATAAACTTATATTGTAATTTCTGCTCAAGGTAATGGCTTTATCATTTTATCCACCTTCTATATATGCGATGCATAACATATAAGAACACATTCAAAGTAACATCTATTTTCTACAGCATGAACTCAGGATCCATGAAATATTAAGTTTACAGCAATGTATCTGCCTGTTATCTATGTGGAAGCCTATAAACTTTGTGCTAGACCACTCATGTTGAGGGTATTAGCAGGTCTTTCTGCATCTTCTTGAAGAAAATAACTTACGGCTCCACAAAATCCTGCCACAAACTAGACAGACATGCCTCTAAGGGTTTGTCAACCTATCAAAGTCATCATCATTTTCACCCAGTGGAGTCACTAGCTGACATTCTTTATTTTCTGCAGTCATAGTAAGAGGAAGCTAGCTCTGTATCAGTATCTGAAGAAAAGTCTTGTTAGAATTTTTGTATGCAATTGCAATATGAAATATTTATGGAAAGAAAAAGAAAGGAGCTAGAAATGCTTCGCCAAATTTGCCTGAAGAATGGTTACTGGATGTTATAGAAGTTTCTATGTTATGACCATTAGTTTATTCTTCTGCATACAAGAAAAGTATGATTTTTTCTGGACATTTGAATGTTTTGCGTGATATGTTAGTCTTACTTTGGACAAGAAATCCAACCTTAAAGCTGTCAAGAAAATTTAGATAAAACTCTCCAAAATGATATGTCATTCATGATTAACTAATTTCATTCTTGTACATCAACTGTCTGCTAAAAATGAATTTGTAAGACAACCTCTGCTAAAACTCGAGAACTTAAGCATATTATCCAAGTCAAGTAAAATAAATAAAATATAACTTATTTGCGACATCTTCAAATAGCCATATTTCTCGCTTAGAGAATGCTTTTCAAGGATCATCATGATCACTTCCTTTGCACTGAACATACAAGGCAGAAAAATAAGGAAATAAAACGTAAAACAACATATTCAAACAAACAAACACATAACAAGAAAAGACTGCAAGTAAAGGCATAACAAGAAAGATCATTAGCGCAAAAAAAAAAAAAAAAAAAAAAATCCAACTTTGTCTGCTAAAAAATGAATTTGTAAGACAAACCTCTGCTTAAAACTCGAGAACCTTAAGCATATTATCCAAGTCAAGCATAAAATAAATTAAAAAATATAACTTATTTTGCGACCATCTTCAAATAGCCATATTTCTCGCTAGAGAATGCTTTCAAGGATCAATCATGATCACTTTCCTTTGACTGAAAACATTACAAGGCAAGAAAAATAAGGAATAAAACGTAAAACAACATATTCAAACAAAACAACACACATAACAAGAAAAGACTGCAAGTAAAGCATAACAAGAAAGATTCATTTAGCGCAAAAAAAAAAAAAAAAAAAAAAAAATCAAATTAAAATCGCGACCAGTTTTGATTTTTTAACTTTGGAGTTGTAACCAATTTTATATATCCAAAGCAAATTTTCTAGCAAGCAACATCAATTATCCGATACAAAAAAAAAAAAAAAAAAAAAAAATCAAATAAAATCGCGACAGTTTTGATTTTAACTTTGAGTTGTAACCAATTTATATATCCAAAGCAAATTTTCTAGCAAGCAACATTTCATTATCCATACAGCAATATTCTTCATAAAGCCAAATGTCAAATGCAGTACAGAAGATGATCTATGATCAGTTCAATGTTCAATATGTAATTGCAAAATAGATAAATAATTATTTCTTTCTTCTTTTTCCACAAAAAGGAACATCCATGTGGATGTGGTAGAGAACGAAATAAATATAGAGTTTATACATATTACAACACAATAGCAATTGTCTAGGCTGATCCATTTGATCCCATAAACCACCACCTCCGTCCAACCATAAACATTACAAACCTGTTGTTTAAGTAAATTCCAGAGTCATATAATTCTAATCTGTGAACTCAAACAAAATGCTGTTTGCGACATTTAACATGGGCCAAATACCAATTCAGTACTGAATAATAACTACTCTGCTTGCAAATGACATGCTATAGTAACTACTGAGAAAATGAATATTCTTTTTCTGAGATATTTACATATTAAAGTAATTTCTTGATTAGAATTTTACCTTGCAGGTAAAAGAATCCTGCCCTTTCCTTGCCTGGTAAGGTCAACTTTTGACCTGCACAGCCAGAGGGAACCACACCACCATTATAAAGAGTATGCAAAGTTTTTCCTGAGAATCTCAAAATCCATGATGCAAGCAATACTTGGCAGCCTGCTAAGGTTCACTCTCATGAAGTTCTACAACCACGAACAATTACCCTGATGAAGTTAAAATCAGGGCAATAGACTCCCCCATTGCCTGGATTCAATGAATTATGAAGGCAATGGAATCCCATGTAAAAAACACAAAATATACATTTGTTTTTAAACCACATAAATGTGCAAGGAATTAAAGTACAAGCATCCATGAGAAAATTATCAATATTCAACCTCGTCTGGTTACAGTATATTAAACAAAGACTGTCTTTAAATGCTAGAATTTCTTTTATTTCCAGAAAAGACAAAGACATGAGATACAACCTCAATTTGTTATAGTAATAATGTTCCAAGGTAGAGAATCAAGTGAGCCAAGAGGCAGATGGTCAATGAATGTTCTAGATTGCAATGACGCTATTATGACAATTTCCACTGCTCTACTAAATTTTTTATTAACTGCTTCCAAAGTGTTGAAACCAGGGGTAACAAAATTAGTTATATCTAATGAATATAGCATATGCAAAATTGAGTCCTGTAAATATAGTCCAGAATTGTAGGCTGTGAAAGAGCATTTGATCTATAAGCAAATTTAAAATTTGAAATATTCATAAAAAGTAAAAACGTTTTACATATTGATACTATAGCTATTACTTTCTATGAACACTGAAAAGAGCAAAAGGTTGAAGAGGCTATGACTTTGATTAACCATATCAAGGAACAAGAAAGCTTGCCATGGTCGTATGCAAGGCAACCAATAGAATAGAATTAAAAAATTTGACTATCCTAGTTGCTTTCATGTTGGAAGAAGCATTTCTTATAGCCATTGCAATCTCAGAACACGAGATACTATAGCAGAAACTATCACTGAATGCACACAATAATAAAAGGAAGCCTATATTGACCAATTTAAAAAGGAAGGCTATACGAGTTAAACAAAAATCGAATTTAGCTATTAGTCTTCGTGCTTTTTTCTTCAAGTCATCTCTCCATTGCCTCACAAAAACTTGTCCAGAACCAATTTCTTCCATTAAAAGCAAATATATTCCTCTCCATTGTCCACCAACAACTAAGAAACGAAACTTACAATCAGAGAAATTAAATTCATTGAAATGAATTCAAAAAAAAAAAAAAAAAACATTGAAATGGCATATCAAGCATCGCAGGCACAACCATGGGGTGTTGGTTCGCATTGCAATAATGGCGATTGTGCCTCGGAGAGAAAGGGAAGAGCAATTGATTTTGATGCGAGTGAGGATGTGAAAGACTGCGAAGGCGGGTTGGCAGGTTCTCATCGCCGTTACACGGGGATAGAAGTTAAGAAGTGAGGCGGGACGGGGTGGGGAAAAAAATAAGCTCGGGGCCAACGCGGGACGGAGACAGACTTTTTAAGTTTTTATTTTGTTTTCAATAATTTTGATAAATTAATATATTTTATTTTTTGAATATTATTCTAACATTCTCACCTACAAATGTTAAAATCACCTTCTTTTATTTCTCAAAAGAAATAAAATGTAATTATTATTAACTATTGTATCCGCATTTGAATTCATATTATTGATCAATTCGTTTTCAGGAAAGTGTAAATTATAATTTTACAAATAAACTTATAAAATCTAACAACATAATATTTCAATGTTGACATATAAACCTTGCATGCCCGGATAAATTAGATTTTAGCTACATTCCGATAATAAAAAATTAAGGGCATTAATAAAAATATCTCATTGATCTAATTTTTTTTTTTGGACTTTTTTTCATAGTTCATTTAAATTATTATTTTGTTATATATTGTAAATGATATGTGTTTATATTTATATGCTATAATTTTAGAATATCAAGTATAAATTAATATTTCAATTTGCATATTCTTTTCATAAATTTATTAAAATGCAGTCGTTTTACATTCCTATAAAAAGAGAATAAATTACATTAAAATATAAAAATCTAGCAAATCTAATTTTATAAGGGAACTAAATAAAACTTTAAACTTTTATATTATTTTTTTTTTGATAGTAAAACTTTTATAGTATTGAACCATACTTTAAACTATGAGAACATTTGATTTAATCAAATCGAATTGAACTTGACTTAAATTTAGTAAAGAGAAATTCTATTTTAAAGGTGAGACTTTTTCAATTGTATTTTTTTTATTGATAATATAATTTAAATCAATAATGCTGTTCCAAAAATATTTATAATATTCATGGATTATATTTTTTTTAAAAAAAAAACATAAAATTTTGTTTCACAATTTATAAATTTTACATTTCATGAATTTTGTTAGAAATTAAGAATTCATAGATTTTACATTCCATAAATCCAAACAAAACTCGCAATCTAATGATAAATAGATACACGATAATAAGTCCAAATTCAAATTCCCCTCACTCGATACTACAAAAAAAAAAAAAAAAAAAAAAAAAAAAAAAAAAAAAAAAAAAAATCGAAACAAAACTCCCTTTTATCTCACACTGTGTGTCTAGAGGTAGGCGGAAAACATATGCCACAAAATTTTCGAAACGACCCCTATTACTTTTCCTTTTAGAAAAAGTACCCCTGCCGAAATAAAACCCCACAAAAGGTAAAACCACTGGTTCCACCAAGTCGATCTCTTCCTATCTCTCTTGCATTCCACAGGTAAGCGGCGAGGGAAGCAAAGACCAACGCACCGTCTCTGCCTCTTTCAACGACACTTTCACCATTATTCTCTACAGGTAAAACCCTATTCTCTTCACTTTTTTGGCTTTGATTCTCAGATTAGTTGGTATAGAAGAAGCAATTTTTTTCTTTCTATCAGATCTCGTTTGATTTTTCTTATTACTTGATTATATTATGTTCGATGCTTGCAAGTATGGTCTTGTATGTGGCGTTTAGGGCTTTGATTTACTGTTATTTGTGCTTTTATACCGTGGGATGTTGCTTACACTTGATCACGTTAACGATTAAGGTTTAAGCTTGATTTGGAGTTTCTTTTGATGCATACGGTTTTTTAAAATGTATAAATGCGCCATTTTGTTGCGTTTAGTTATTTGGCTTTGCCTAATCGGTTCTTTTAATAAGATAATCCGATGATGTTCTTTTACGGAGCATTGTCATTTTGGTTAGTTGAATTTTCTCGATTTCCCATTTTATGGTTTGTTATGGGTTTTGCTATTTGTGATTATTAAAAAATAGAAAAAAAAAATCCCACTTGAGTGTATGGTTGTTGAATTGTGATTGTGTATTTGTTCTGTTTTAGGATCAGTTTGACGAATTGATGGCGTCCAAGTTGAATCAGTTGCAGTCTAAGGCATGTCAGGCATCGAAGTTTGTTGCCAAGCACGGAACTGCCTACTACAAGCAATTGTTAGAGCAGAATAAGCAATATATTCAGGAGCCTGCTACTGTTGAGAAGTGCAATTTGTTGTCAAAGCAATTGTTCTACACTCGTCTTGCTAGGTTTACTTCTTGAACACTACTTATATTCATTTTTTGTATCAGAGCATTTGATATATGGGTTTTGTGCCATTTCCCACCTTGAAGATAAGTTTAATAGAATTACGATCATTGGATGGACTAAGTCTCAACCAACGTGTTATCCTTGTCAGACAAATATCAAATATATTCAGCTTTATAAATATGTAAAAATGAAATTATGCCAGAAGCATGAAATAAGAGTATCACAAGTTATCTGTTGAAAACAAAATTTACTGCGTATGGCTGCTTTTACTTGAAAATTTCTTGCTTATGAAGTTTGTAAATGCTAGTTTTGAGATTGATTAAAGGATGTTACCACATAAATAGGGACTATCTTCCCTGGTAAGTGCCATTATTGTCATCTTTTTGGTTGATGAGCATGCTGTGACTTTATATCGAAGCTAAATCCTGCAACACCATTCAGGGTGCCTAATCAGTAGCTTTAAAATAAATTGAGCGATTGATTTTACTGCTGGAGTTTCTTACAATGACAGTTTTGGGAAATATCTGGCTTGGTGACAAGGTTTGCATTGTTTTAGGTTTATGAATTTAGTAGGAGCATGGTGTAGATATTTTGTCCATAGTGTTCTTTCTCCACCATCATTAATATGCCTTCATTATCAAGGATGCTAACCCTGAATATTATATAGTCATGTATGTGAATGACTGAAATGTCTGTATAGATATGAAACTACTCTTGATCTGCGAGTCTGTGACCTCTGTTGCATTTGGCACTTCAGATGCTTGTATCATATTAATGCACTCTAATTGACATGGTTATTTTTGCTGAAGCCAGAGAAGTATTTTGTAAAGTATTTTCTTTTTTGGGTTGGAATATTTCTCAACTTTTCATTTGGTAAATTGTTTCTTGCATTTCTTGAGCATTTTACCTTGAAATTGATTTGTTTTTACTACATTTACCCTCTTCAAGTTGCATGTTGCATTAAATGACTAGTTTATTTAATATAGGCACTCATTGATGCTAAACTTAAGCAGTTTGCACTTGTATTATTTGCCGTGGTTCTAATGGAAGCAATCAACGTGACTTTAAGATATTGACATTTTATGTTTAAATTTTCTCTGCACAGTATTCCTAATCGATATGAATCATTCTGGAAGGAACTTGATTATGTGAAGAATTTATGGAAGAACAGGCAGGAGCTGAAGGTTGAAGATGCTGGTATTGCTGCTTTGTTTGGTTTGGAGTGTTTTACTTGGTTTTGTGCTGGTGAGATTGTGGGAAGAGGATTTACTATCACTGGCTACTATCCTTGAGGAGAACAGCTTCACAGAATGTGTTCCCGAGGATTCTGCTGTCATTTCGTGATTGATCACAGGCACTGTACTTGCAAATTTTTGTTTTTTCTGCAAAATTTTTGAAGCTGAGAAATCAGTGGGCTTCTGTGATTGCCTCAATAATTTTACAATGAAGCCGCATAGGATGTTATTATGCTTCCATTAACTTGTTGAAAATCACAAGTACTCATGGATGATGATATAATGCTGCGAGTTTTTCGTTGGCTTACCTTTCTACTTGATCAAGCTTCACGTTTAAATTTGTTCATCATGTTAAAAGTTGATTGTCTCGTGATGTCATTAAAAAATTAACTGATGTCAAATGGCCTGAAGCTCTGAGCTGTGATTCTGTTGGGATAGTACATCTCTATTGTTCCCATTAGGCATGGCCGATTCATTGAACTGTCGGTTCCGGTTCACGGAACTGACACCGGAACTGACGGTTCAAAATTTTTAAAATGTTAAACCTGAATTGGCCTTTAAATCGCTGGTTCTGGATCAGTTTTGGCCGGTTTCGTTGCGATTTCAATGAATCGACGGTTCCGATCACAGTTTCCGGCGATATATGTTTTTTTTATTTTGTTTAAATGTTATTAATTAAATAAATTATAAGAAAATTTTGAAAAATGCTTTAAAAGAATGTAATTTTAACTTAGTAAACAATTTAAAAGGGTAAAAAAAAAGGATAAAAATAATATAAGTTTAGACTAAATATTTCTTTCTTTTTTTACCATTTTACTTTTTAGATTTTTGACTTTTAAAGTAAAGTGTATTTAAAAAAAAAAAAAAAAATTAAGTAAAGTATATCATATAGTAAACTTAAGTAAAATGTATAAAATAGGCTAAGTAGCTATTATTTTGAAAATAAAAATAGAAAATTTTCGGTTCGAACCAGATCTGAACCGTTGATTAAACGACTGTTCAGGTTCAGACTTGAACATTCACATGAATTTTAATTGGCTCTTGAACCACTGGTTTCGGTTTAAAAAATTCAAACCGACGGTTTCGATTCGATTCTAATTCATCTATAGTACGATTCGATTTCGGTTCAAAATGAACCGGTGGCCATGCCTTGTTCCCATCACAATTTTCCTGGCTAATTCAAATCCATTAACATTGATGAAATCCTTTCGTGTTACATCAGGAACAAAAAGTATAAATTTCTTGTTACAATAATCGAATTGCTGCTTATCAGTTTAGCCTATTATTGTGTTTTTTTTTTCTTTTGTGCGACTTGACTTCCTAAAATTCGATAGGCTCCAAATATAAATATGGAAAAGAAAAACATAACTATGATGGAGAGAGGAGGCCAAGAGGGTAAAATTCCCAAAACGAAGGCGCCATTGAGCAATAGACAGCTGTCATAGCGTTTGTTGTCTCAGCAAATAAAAAAGGTTTGGGCCTTCTGTCCTGTGCTTCGATCATTTTGGGCTCTTTCAGGAGCACAGGAAAATTTCGTCCGGATCCATGGCGATTGGGGCTGGAATTCACCTCGGCACATAATAATTCCAATTTGCTTGCAAGGCATTCTCTTATTTGACGAAACCACGTCATCCCAATGTTATGGAGTAATTTCTCAGTAAAAGTAAAATACACGGAACAAACAAGGAAGAAGAGGGAGATACATTTTAGGAGCGAAAACAAATACAGGAGAAAAGAGAGGATGCTCGGTTGGATTGTTCCTGTTAGAACACGCGCCGCCGCTGCTGCATTCGTCTTCGTTTTCATTTTCGTTTTCCTTTCCGTCCTTGCTAACTCGGCCAACAATGATTCTCAGGTCAACTCTCGTGCCTAACTTCGTATTAGGAGAGAAATTTACAAAAACAAAAGAAAATAATTATACCATAAAAAAAGGATATAAATCCAGTTGTTTGGATCTCGCATTTGGAATATATTCAAATCTAGTAGTCCCTATTTTCGCAGGTGAAATGCAGCAAAACATGTGTTGCAGAGAACTGTAACTGTAAGTCCTCGACAATGTAATCTCTATACTATCTTAAAAATTCGCCTGTTATTGTGCTTATTATGTAATTTTGATTTTCTCTTTCCTTCTTTCTATTGTTAATGCTGGAAATTTAGCGGTCGGAATCAGATATGGGAAGTACTGTGGAGTAGGGTGGACTGGCTGTCCTGGTGAGAAACCATGTGACGATCTGGATGCCTGTTGCAAGATTCACGACGAGTGCGTTGAAAAGAAAGGTATGAAATTAGTATGTACTGCTAAGTGAAAGTTCCTAAAACATTTGAGTGGTTGATTTTTAGTATATTGCCGTTTGTAGTTGCAATATTTGCGTGATGCAAATCTGAAATTATCTTCCTATTTGTATTTTTATGTATTGGGTTCCTTGCTGAACTAAGATATAGTGATCAGTATTATTTGCTTTTCATTTGATCCAAGGAACAAGAACATAAATCGTCTAGCACCATATGATTTTGCTATGCCTATCCATTTATTTCCACAGGTTTTTTTTGTTGTTTCTTCTAATATAAATAGTATAAAGACTTGTAATGTTTGGACTGTATCACTTGATCTGGTGGAAAAGAAATAATATGAGAAGAAGAATCAGAATAACTTGGAACTTGAATTTTCTAATGATCATCTTGATTTCTGATAATTGGCAAGTCATCAAGAAGGAAGAGGAAGGTGCTCTTTGATCTGCAAAAAATGCATTTTGTGATCTTGAGCCCTCGTGTGTGATATCTGACATGATGGAGATTGAGTTCATACTTGATTCTTGCTAGTAAGTAGTAATAAATAGAAAAACCAAAATGTGTTATGTGCCTGTAATGTTGCTTGATCGTTTATATTTCATACACTATTCATTTTTTTTTTCTTTTACAAGTTTAGGTTTAATGAGTATTAAATGCCATGAGAAGTTTAAGAGCTGCATGAAGAAAGTAAAGAAATCTGGAAAGATTGGATTTTCTCGGGATTGTACGTATGAAACAGCTGTCCCTACTATGCTACAAGGTATGGATATGGCAATTTTGCTGAGCCAGTTAGGCAGCCCAAGGGATGAACTATGATTATTTTATAGAGTGCAATATTTGTGCACTTCTAGTCATTTTTTTCACTCAGCAATGCTTTCAAGAAATCATGGACACTGGAGAATTCTCCCTATTTTTTATCAGTTTACTAAAAAAATTATACCTTTTTTTTTTTCAAGACATTCTCAATTCTAAGATCACAATTGTATTTTCCTTGCCTGAAATCTAGATAATATATTTAGCTATTTAGCTTCTCATCTTTCAACCATTTATTATAGATAGTGTTAACTGATGGTTTTAATTTTAATATCACCAACTCCTAGCCTGCTGATATTCACAGGGGTTCATTTTAACAAGGAAAATATTAATGTATGAAGAAAACAAGTAGACTTATTATGACAATGAATTAATAGCCCCATAGTGGCAATCCTATTTAGTTTTATGTGTTTCCTGATAATAATTATCGAATATAATCTCTTTGCCTGTGGAGTCTTCCCCTTGGATATTCACTGAAGTAGACTTTATGAAAATAGCATATATGGTTAAATTCTCAGCCCCCTGAGAAGATACTGGAACATGAAGGCGATGATAAAATGAATAAGTAGATGTGGAGTCATGAATCTATAAAAGGGTGTGAGCTTGTTCCCCATTTGTTAGTGGTGCTGGTGATTTTATATAATGAGAAATTACTTTTTTAATTCATTGTAATACAATAGACTTATTCTGCATTTTCTTTCCAGTTCTAGGGTCTCTTTTAAATTTATTTTTTTCTGCAGAATTTAGCTCCACGATAGGTATACTTAATCCAGTTCAAAAGTTATATTTTCCCGTGGATTGTTATGATTAGATGATATCACTGGCTACCTTTTGCTCGTCATATAGCATTCTTTAATTGACCAGAACAAATAGTTTTTCTTCTGATTTTAGTTCTGTTGTAAGTTTGCACTTAATTACAGTGTTTGAATCTCTTCCAAATTTAGTAGTATATATAGCTAAGTATTTCTTATTGGGAAGCAGGAAATTCATTGTAAATGTGATGCATGAGCGGGACTCCGCTGTATCTTTCTTATTTCCGCTCTCCTATTGGTAACTGTATAATGCATTAGTATTCATCTTGATTACATTCCCATGATTCCATCAAATATGTTTAATGCATGGGTGTCCGTTTGTGCATATTATTGATTCCAATTTGACAAATACAGCATTCTCAAATTAGTGAGACATCTGATTTCCTTTCAGTTAGCAACACAAGCATGAAGGTAAAATAATTCTGTCCTTAGAGCAGGCCATTGGTCCAGTTTGGGCTGGAACTAGCTTGGCAAAAGACGGATTAGAACCTTTGGTTCATGGGTTTGGTTTTGGTTCTTGCCCACTTACTGCTGACACCAGAATTGGCACAGAACTGCCAAACTGGAATCGATGGCTTAAGCCTCACTGGCCCTGAACTGAACCGGCAGCTCCAGTTCAATGGACCAGCCACCTTTGTCTGTTTTCTTACTTTGTCTCTTCAGTTCACATCACATTCTAAGCGGCATTTACATTTAGAATATATTGTTGCTTGTAGACAAGTACTTACTAATCTTGAATTCTTGTTGGACAATCAAACGAAATCTTCTTATTAAAGAAAATAGGTCTGAATTCAAGAAATGAGTTCGTACACTACACACGCAATAATTTTGTGAACATTTTTTAAGGTAAGGTTGGTTGGTCGGACTTGAATTTGTGTATCCTTTGTTCCTTATTCTAGAGTGTTCCATATGGCAACCAGTCAAAATTTGAGAGTTGTGACCGTTTTCTATGATTTTATATTTATGTTCAAATCAAAACCAGTTTTTGAATGTTTGTGGTTAATTATAGAAGTTAGAAATTTGGCTATGAATTTACCCTTTTCTTTACAACTTCATATGAGCGGAAATTTCTGACTTATTAAGAGAATTTTTGGCCTCTAAAAGCAGGTATCAAGCAAGCCTACATGAAATTTAAGAATACTGCCTTTAAAGGATGATGCAGAAAAAAAAGTTGTATGCCTGGAAAAATATTTTTGCTCTAAAAATGATTTATTTCTAGACCATACAATAATATCGTCTCGCTTTCGACAACAGGCGTATTCGTGAGCCTGTTGGTGGGCTTCACGACTGGGCATAAAAATTTGTTATAAACCAAACAGATAATCATACATGCATAAACTTCATAATTTCACATGTTGATGTTGGCCTGCGGCTTTGATGAGTCAACCTCTTTTTTAAGCTGTGCACCTAACTCGTAAATACATAACTAAAAGTAAGTGTTTCCATCATCTTATAAAAGGTTCAAGATAATAGTTATTGCTCCACATAACTAAAAATGGCATTTAGTTCTGAATTTATAATCTTAGGAGATTTTCCTTTTAGTGTTGGAAAATACTCTCCCATTTCCATAAAAATAAATCGACTTTGAATTTTATACATATTAAAAAAAAATGATTATCGATTTTATGTTATTTTGCTAAAATTAAATATCGTAAATATTTAATTTCATCTTTATAAATCTAATCCCCCACTTTGTTATGTGGTTCGAATGTCACCTTACAATTACTTCCATACAAAACACAGATATGAATTAAATTAAATCATTCACTCTTTGAAAGAAACATTAGGAAACAAGACAGCTTTACCGGTTGTTAAACAAAGACCCATTGAAGTTTTCACAAAGAAACGTCTAAGGTCAATTCTCCAAAAGCTCCACTATCGTACAATCACACGTATGTGTTAATTGTCGTAAGATTGTTTTCAGCCGTCGAATTATTATATACTTTAATCAAAGTGTCCAACGAAGACCCAAAAGGAAAGTCCCATGATTGATTCCGTTGTTCCTTCCCGCATTAAATTTTGACTGACTCGATTTCTTAAATAACGAAATAAGACGACTCTTCATGCTCGAATATTAAAAAGAAGAGGGCAACATAAGAGATTCCGCGAAATTTCTATCCATTTTCTTTCAAAAAAATTATTGTTTTCGTTTTCTTCTATTTTGAGATCTTCGATAATAATTTTCACACAGATCAAAATCACATCTAATTCTTTCTTCTTCATTTCCAAATCAAAATACAAACATAAGGAAAACAGAGACGGTTGAAGAGCTATGCTACACAGGAGCTTCAAGCCAGGGAAATGGTAATATTTTTTTTTGTTTGTTGGAGATGAATTAGATTTTTTAGATTTTTCTGCTTTATCCGCTGTCTTTGTAGCTGGATTTTTGGATACTATTTGGTTGATTTTGAATTTGTTTCATTTGATGCAGCAAAACGGCTTTGAAGCTAGCGGTTTCGCGTATAAAGTTATTGAAAAATAAGAGAGATTCGCAGGTCAAGCACCTCAAGAGGGAATTGGCTCAATTGCTCGACTCCGGCCAGGACCAGACTGCCAGAATTCGGGTAAGCTGAAATATCATATATTTTGTTCCAAATTTTGTATCGACTATAATAAGATACCAATTTCGATCGCCCGCTGATTGTAATTACTAATTGCTATTGAATTTTTACATTATTAGACTACTCGACATACCATCTGTTAATTAATCGTTGTTTGGCTCCTCTAACCGATTTTTTTAGCTGCTTTCAAGATGAAATATTGAAAATAAAGCTAACATGAATATTGACGATAAAAGAATGGTAGAATGAAATTGTACATTTGTATTAAGGACAGTGACACATAGAAGTAAAGTGAGATGCTTGGAACACGCTACAAATCTGCATTCTTACAAAGGAAGCAAGCAAGAAATAAGAGTTTTGGATCTTAGTTATCTTGGATAATTGTACTCTAGGTAGGATTTTAAGAATTATGACTTGCAGTTTAGAAAGTTAATGTAGTGTGTCCAGTGTCCATATTAGTCATTTAACTATAATTCGTTCCTTGATATTTGTTTTGACATCACTGCTGCTCAGAAGCCTCAAATGCTTGCTAAAAGTTGCTGTTTGTTCACCACTGTAAATTATCCACGATTTGTTATTTGGTTGGCTGGACTTTGTTGGGAACATATAGGGTGACATCTAGCAAGGTTAATATGTATTTGTATTTTGCTTTACAGGTGGAGCATGTGGTTAGGGAAGAGAAGACAATGGCAGCATATGATCTCATTGAGATATACTGTGAACTAATTGTTGCACGTTTGCCGATTATCGAGTCGCAGAAGTATGTAATTCTATTTGACCTTGAACAAAGGGGCGTGTGTTGTTTTAGGGAAATCATTCATTTGATCCATCTATGTATATTTGTGCACGTTTTTATGGGTAAAGGGGAGAGAGTGTGAATCATATTGTTGGACAACTGATAACAACTATGGGTCTATGCCAATGAAGTATTCCATATGATCATGTGGTTCAACATGCTGAGTTGTTGGCTCCAATACTCCATATAATCACGTGGTTTAACATGCCGAGTTGTTCAATCTTGAATCTGGCTGGAAATATTTTAATTTTAATTTTTATGAGTTAGTGATAAGTGGGCTTCATATTGATATCTTTGGATAATTTCAGAAATTGTCCCATTGACCTGAAGGAAGCAATCTCGAGTGTAATTTTTGCATCTCCAAGGTGTGCTGATATACCTGAACTGATGGATGTCCGTAAACATTTTACAGCAAAATATGGGAAAGAATTTGTATCTGCAGCAGTTGAATTACGTCCAGACTGTGGTGTTAGCCGCTTGGTAAGCTTGTGCAATATAAGTTAATAAGTGGGTTTCTGTTTACTGTTCTGGATAATCATTTTGTTGTCATCTCCTAGTTGGTGGAAAAACTATCAGCCAAAGCACCTGATGGTCCGACCAAAATAAAAGTTCTTAGTGCAATTGCTGAGGAACATGATGTTAAATGGGATCCTACATCATTTGGAGAGAAGGAAATGAAGCCTCCTGAGGACTTGCTGGTAAGATCAAATGTGCTAATATGATTCTTATCCACTTGATGTAGCTTTTCTTGGCTCTGACATAGGATAGCTACATAAAATTTGAAAGGAGCTGTAATTTCTTAGTGTTTGCTTTCGTTTGTAATTTGTTTGAGCAGAATGGACCCAGTACCTTTCAACAGGTCAGTAAAATGCATGTGGATCCTCCTAATGTCCAGGAGCTGCACAATATTGTTGAGAAGGAACATCCTAATATCAGAGCTCCTTCCAAACAATATGAAAAACCTGGTGCACCTGTTAACTCACATGGCTCCAATTCTATATCATCATCACATTTCCAAAATGTTTCTTCTACTGCTGCTGCAACTAATAAGGCAATTCAGTTTGATTCTTCTCATTATGACCCGAGACCCCTAGGTATGTCAACAATTTATATGAATGTTATGACTGAGTTCGTGGATGACATGTATGTAAACTTGTCCTTTTTCTTGTTCTTCATCTGTTAATCATAAGATGTATGGTTGTAACAGGAACTGGATCTGAAGAGATGGAATTTAGGCATTCCCATGCTGTGGAACAGAGTGGTTTCTCTGCAGGTAGGCAGAGTTGGAATATGGAATTCAAGGATGCCACAACTGCCGCACAGGCTGCTGCTGAATCTGCAGAGCGAGCTAGCATGGCTGCCAGGGCTGCTGCTGAACTTTCAAGCCAGGGAAGGATGAGCAGGCAGCATTCAACAGAATCTAACAAGTCTTCTGCTTTCAGACCAAGAGATGAAGGACTTCACAACTATGCCAGTTCAAGATTGCAAAGTGAACATCTTGCCAAAGATGCAGTAAATAACACCTCTCAAAGAAGTTTTAATTCTGGAAGGAGTCATGAGCAGAGTGCTGAAAATGAACAAAATGACCTGGAAGGATTGACTGAAAGGTTTTACAATCTTAGGGCCTCTAATAAATCTAGCCAGCTGGCTTCCTCAAAATCCAATAATAGTTCTGTGGATAATCATCCACAGGTGAGTGATTTCCAAATTTCAGATAGGCATTCTAGAAAGGCCTCATTTGAATTAGGAAGAAGCGATCTTTTAGGTGAAGAATATATAGAGAGAGAGTCTAGTGAATCTGAGAAAGAATTTGTGAGTGAAGTGCATGATGAAATGAGTTGTCATCACGTTCATGATTTTGAAGAATTGAGCATAAGAAATCAGTCTAGCAGTGTTCCCTCTCGTTCTTATTCTAAAATTTCCAGTGATGACTACAATGCTAGTTCCAGTTTCAGCCACCAGAAAAATGAACCTTTTATTTTTCATGAGGGAGAATTCCAGAGCAGTGCCAAAGAAACAAATTCATTTGACAATGCTGCAGTGGTTTTTGATGACTTTTATTCAGACAATGATGAATTTAAATTTGATGAGAAGGATAAACATTATGGCCTAGATTCTGGTTCGTATTATTCATCAGAAGGTCGAAAATCTTCTTCTCATCTTTTAGAAAATAAAAGCGCCATGAGCCCCAGGCTAAGCATGGAAAAGACACTAGGAAAGTCAAGTTCACAATCACCTTTTGCCTCGGAGTGGCATTCTTCAAGTGTATTTTCTGAAGGCTTGGTAAGTGATACGGTTCCTTCACAAGCAGATGACTTGTTACCCATGACTTTTGATGATTCAGATGGCCCAAGCTCAGAAAGTGAAGAGCAGCTGGATAAGCCTAAGCTTGTTGGGAGTACAAATACTAGCTCTTTCCCTCAGAGTCCTCATTCAGTAGGATCTTCGCTTGCAGTAAAGGAAAATGTGGAATCCAACAGAAAGACGTTTCCACAGCCATCTGCATTTGATTCTGATGTAGGAATACATTCTGTGAGAAACCAAGATGCTGAAACTCTTATGAAGTTGAGTCATGGTTACCAATCAAATTCCCATGACAATGACAGTTTGCAAGCTCCAGGGTTTTTACCGGTCAGGAATGACGTCCAAGGATACCTATCACTGGATATCTCAGAGGAAGCCAAACCTATAAAAGAATCAAGCTCAGAAAGTGGTAATGAGTTGAATTTTGGACTATTGACTGGTGGTCTTCGAAATAAGGGCTATAGGCATCCGCCTTATCGTAAGAATGCATCAGGCAAGTTTGCAGCATCCAAGCAAGCAGAGGAGGGTAATTCTACTAGCAAGCGGTCCTCTTCTTTCAGTTCTGATGCTCATGATCAAGAGCCACAAAATCAGATCGTGGAACCAAAAGTAAGTAAAAAATCAAGCTTAGGAATCTCAGTTCCATATTCTGATGCTGGCAGGGATGATTCAGATGAGGAACTCGCACAACAGACTATTTCCAGTGCTCAAGTGCCAAACATTCGAGAAGCAGGCACTGATGTGAATAAAAGATCAGGCTTAAAGAGTTATTTTGATTCGGATAACAGCAATTTTGAGGACGATCTCCCTAAACAGACTGTAACCAGCAAAATTCATTCAGGTCCTGGGTTTTCTAGACGGACAAAAGCCTTTCCTTCAAATTCTGAGAAAAATTCTTATTCAAATTCGAGGATACCGTCTGAGTCATCAAGGGCTGCAGAGTATGCCGTGGAACAAAAGCCAACATCATTCAGTTCCTATGATACTGAAATTCTGGTCAAACCACCTCAAACTAGGAGCTCAAATTATTGGGGAAGTTCTGAGCAGCAGGTTAGATCAGAAGAACAACCTCCTTCTAAGCTGAATTCACAATCCAAGAGGTCCACATATGAGGAATCATCTTCTAGGCGTTCATATAGTACTGATAATCAACAAAACCATTCTTCTCAGTTCAAAAGTTCAGATTACCGAGGAACTTCTGAGCAGCGTAGACCAGCAGAACCTTCAAAGTCAATTCCAGAATCCAAGAGGTTTTCACGCGAGGAAAGTATGAAGTCATCATCCAGGGAGCAACCATCCAATCCTCCTTCTAGAACAGCATCATCAAGCGGTGCTGAAAGCGCAAAGTCATCCAGTTCTCATGGTAATGCTCCATCCAGGGAAAACTCCATTAATAAAGCCAGCCATGTGCATCCAAAACTTCCCGACTATGATACTTTAACTGCACATCTATTGTCTCTCCGACAGAATCGCCAATAAATGCAGTTCCTTCAGAAGATACCTAGGTAGTTTTATTCTAGTTTCATATTCTTTTGCATTGTCGTTACAGGGTTCTTAAGAGTGGGATGAAATTTATTGGTTCCATAGTATATAGATTCAGTTACATATTTTTCATTTCTTGCGTTGGTGTCGTGGCTGGTTATAGGGATGTAATATTAATTCGGCATCTCATTCGTGAGAGTTAGTCAGCTTATACTTTTTGATGTATTTTAGCATTTACTATCACGGAGATGAGGATTTTTGTATATGAAGTTGCTGTAATGAGATAATAATTCTTGATTGTAGATGAAATTTGTTCACTTGGCATCTCTGACTGGTTGAATTTTCCTTATTGGCTGTTAATCGAATTAGAGCACGTAGATACATTAAAGACAGAGAAGCCGAAGGTTATATTTGAAAGGAACTGCCAGTCCTGTTGAAAACTGTTAATTTCTTTGCTCTTCTGCACTTTTTGAAAACTGTTAATTTCTTTGCTCTTCTGCACTTTTTCATAAGAGCAAAGTTTTGCTTTTAATTTTAATGTTGTTTAGTGCATATTTATAGTTTTTTTATTTTCTAGAAATAGGAAACCGGTTACAGTTTTTGATTACTTGTTTTTCCAAAATAAAAAAACTAAAAACGTAAACGAAAACAACCTAATAATAATAAGTTGGGTTTGAAAGGAACTGCTAGTCCAGTTGAAAACGGTTAATTTATTTGCACTTTTGCACTTTTTCAGTGTGTAATTCAATTTTGAATGCTATGAAGGTTAGGTGCGGGAAAACAATTTTGATTACTTGTTTTTCCAAAATAAAAAAACTAAAAACTTAAACGAAAACAACCCTAATAAGTTGGATTTGAAAGGAACTGTCAGTCCCGTTGAGAACTGTTAATTTATTTATTCTTTTGCACTTTTTCAGTGTGTAATTCAATTTTGAATGCTATGAAGGTTACTTGCGGGAAAACAATTTTGATTACTTGTTTTTCCAAAATAAAAAAAAAACTATAAACTTACACGAAAGCAACCCTAATAATAATAAAAATATATATAGAGTTTGCTCTGAGTACTGGCTAGCAATAAAAAATTTTAAGTGAACTGTTGTCTTAGATACAAGGCAAGGATGTTGCCGTGTTGGTATTGCTGAGAAAGGCAAAGGATTTAATAGATGTTCTTGTTTGTTTATGGGAAAGAAAGTAGAATGGAGATTACATCCCCTGCGCACATACACATAGATTACGGGTCAAAATGAGTTTAATTAACTAACCCATACAATTAAATAATGCCAATCAATCAATATATGTAAATCAAACGGCAAAAATCGTGCGACCGGGGCATCAAGTTTCACGCAGTTTCCAGTATCATATTGACTCTGCAGAGGCAGGATCCTTGCTGCTTCATATTAAATCAGTTATTTTAAGCAATAACAATCTGCTTAAATAAAAATTATAAAAAAGTTACTGTTTTTTCTTTGTATAGGAGTATATATATAAAAAAATTCAACCAATAGGCATAAAACAAGGTAAACAAATGGCCAGAGGCACCCACCGAATCAAATTAACTAGCGTATGATGTACCCAAAATAATAAATAAATAAACAAAAAGCCAAAAGTATGTGTATATAAATAAGACCGTTATGTTATTTGGGATAAGCAACAATAACACAGTTGAGAAATAGCTACGAAGTTCTGCGGTTGGCCCTTTCAGACTTCAGTTTCAGGTTATATATATATATTCACACACAATGGCAAGTACCACGATCAAGCCTCATGCAGTGTTGTTGCAAAGTTCAGAATTATACAAGGTACGTAATAATTATTATTTTTGGATTCTGGAATTAATAGAAATGAATTTATTTTGTTGTTTCGATCATATGGCAGTACATACTGGAGACAAGTGTGTATCCAAGAGAAGCAACTCCTCTCAAAGAGCTAAGGGATGCTACTGCAAGCCATCCCATGTAATTAATTCATTTCTTTTTCTTTTTTTAAACAAATTCCATATTAATTTGATAAACCAATTAATTGATTAACAAGTAATGTGCAGGTTCTTCTATGCTACAGCACCAGATGCTGGTCAGTTAGTGGCCTTGCTATTGAAAATGGCTAATGCAAAAAACACAATTGAAGTTGGAGTGTTTACTGGATACTCTCTTCTTCTTACTGCCCTTACAATTCCTGATGATGGCAAGGTTAATTAATTAGCTCTTTAACCTTATATATTGTTAATTAGTTTATTTGTCTTTTTATGATATTTTTTGTGGTGTATGTATAGATTACAGCCATAGATGTCGATCGAAAAGCATATGAGATGGGGTTGCCTATAATACAGAAGGCTGGTGTTGAACACAAAATCAACTTCATTGAGGCTCCTGCCCTACCAATTCTTGATCAACTCTTGCAAAATGTAAGATATTAAATAACAAATCTTAAAAAAAAATTGTGAAAATTATTAAAAGTCTAGCTGAGCATTCAATAATTAGATCCTTGTTAATATTAATTAACACTCTCTTTGTTGGGTAGTGAAAATTTGGATAAATTTGTCATTTGCCACCATTTTTGACTGTTTGTTGTAGATGATAGATATTAAATTTGTCATTTGTCACCATTTTTGTCTATTTGTTGTAGATGATAGATATTAAATAATTTAAAATGATTATGTTAATGCAGGAAGAAAATGAAGGGAGCTTTGACTTTGCATTTGTGGATGCAGATAAGGGAAACTATTACAATTATCATGAAAGGTTAATGAAACTGATAAAAGTTGGTGGGATTGTTGTTTATGACAATACTCTTTGGGGAGGAACTGTTGCTTTGCCTGAAGAAGCTGTTCCTCAGGTCAAAAGAGAGACAAGAAAATCTACTTTGGAGTTTAATGACAAAGTCGCATCTGATCCTCGCGTTGAAATTTCTCTTGCTCCTTTGGGCGATGGCATTACCATTTGCAGGCGTATTTGCTGAATTAGTTAACAAGGGGATTAGTCGAGCCAATGAGCTTCGAATGCCAGTAGTTTTCACCAAAAATAAATAATGAGGTTAAAGATGAAAATCTTGAATTTAGTAAGTTCAGGAGATGCGTATGCTTATAATTATATGTTGTGTTCTATGATTTTATAATTATATATGTACTCAATTTTCTTTGTTTGGAGTGTACTTTATATATCTTGTTCGTGAATTTATGTAATAAATGGATTATAAAGCAATATTAATTGTTCTTCAGAATTTAAAGTAAGTTTTTCATTTTTTTAAATTCCTCTTAAAACTGATAATATTCATCTGACATAAAAATAAATGCGATATCTTATGTTTTTATAAATTGACATAAAGACAATTTTGATATCCTTTGTTTTTAAAATTAAACCTGATATTAAATTGGATTGAATCGGCAAATAATCTTTGACCTAGTAGTTAAAATGATGCCGCCCAAATTTGATTCACGATAAATTAACATTTAATTTCAATTTATATTCCTCCTTTAAAAACTGGATTGAATAGGATATTTAATTTTTTTTATATAAATTTTTCACTTTATTTTTAATTTTTTTTAAAAAGAGAGAATAAATCAGTCGCTACCAAGCCAAATTAAAGGTCAATAGGCCAAGTTTTAGAATTTCAAACTATCCACCGTCTAAACAATAAAAAAAAAATTAAAAAATAGATTAACTCAATAAATCCTTCTGTCTACCAGCTTTCCCTTCACCTACCAGACAAACACCCTCTGCCCCCGACTCTAAACCTTCTAATCCAACGGTCCGCAATTCGTCTCTTTCAAATACCTCCATCTACGTTAAATCCAAATTTGCGATTATAATCGATATGATGAATTACTTCGATTCAATCTGCGTTAAATCCAAATTTGCCAAATGGTAGACTGCCATTTGGGTATCTAATAAAAAAAAAAACCTCATATCTTAAAGTGGAAAATTCCTTTATAAGATTGAAATAAAAATTCGAAAAATTTATTTTCTTGTTCCTTTCCTGTCTACTACTATTTATTACTGTAGATTTGTCACTTTCAGCATCTTTTTATTGGAGACAGTCCAGCGCGTGAAGCTGTTGTGGGCTTGGAATCGAAGGGATTATTAAAGAGTGAAGATTTGTATCAGGTATGGTCTTCTGTGCTCATTTTTCATTTCATTTTCATCTCCGTTGAGTCGTCCGTCCAATTTGGTGACGGCATGTGCTGGAGACTCTATGCTCCTTTTTCATTTCATTTTCATCTCCATTGAGTCGTCCGTCCAATTTGGTGACAGTATGTGCTGGAGACAAGCGTGTATCCACGAGAACCAGAGCTTCTCAAGGAGCTACGGAATGTCACCGCTAGTCATCCACGGTACTAATCATTGTTTTTCTGATGTTACTGTTTGTGTTCATGGATTCGGAGCTGAAATTCAGTTTTGCGGATTGGGATTACATGTATTTATTATTGAATCTTTGTGATTTTGAATTTAAGTAAAACTTATTGAATTTTGGATGTTTATAATTGATGAATTTCAGATTTAACCTAATTATGATTTATGTCCATAATGTCGTCGAATGGAAGGATCATGTCGTTTTCATTTCTGAATGTAATGAGCTTGTACTTGCCAGAGCTACAATGGCTACTGCTCTTGCGGCTGGTAAATGCCAAGAAGACAATAGAAGTGGGAGTTTTCACTGGATACTCCCTTCTCCTGCTCTTTCAATCCCTGAGGACGGCAAGGTAAGAATCTACCATCAGAAGCTATGAAGTATTAGAAGTATTAGTATCACATGCGACTGGTTTTGCTAATTTTTACAAGAATAATCATTTGTGTATGAAATGCACTTTGATTTGTCCGAACTGCCAGACAAATCAAAGTGCATTTTACTGCAGATTACAGCCATAGATGTGAATCGCGAGGACTATGAGATAGGACTACCAATTATAAGAAAAGCTGGTGTAGAACACAAAATCGACTTCATAGAATCTGAGGCATTACCAGTTCTTGATAAGCTACTGACAGGTGCAAGGATAATATGAAACAAAATTTTCTATTATCTTTCCCAAGACCTTATAATGGTTTAATTAATTTGATGTTTGATTTGGTTGTATCTTCTTTTTGTCTTCGGAATCTACTGCAGCATGGAAATGAAGGCAGTTTTGAATATGCTTTTGTTGATGCTGATAAAGTTAATTACTGGAACTACCATGAGAGGTTAATTAAATTGCTGAAGGTGAGCGGTATAGTTGTATATGACAACACTCTCTGGGGAGGGACAGTTGCAATGTCTTAGGAATCTACACCCAGAGGCAATGAGAATGGCAGAAAGCTTACTATTGACCTCAACAAATTCACCCAGAGGCAATGAGAACGGGATCACGATCTGCAAGCGAATTCACTGATTTTCTTCCTGAAGTTTATACTTAACTGTTGTTCGACATATGTAGAATTTCACGTGCAGAACCATTAGCGTAATCACAGGCTTGCTATCGGAAATAAACGATTTGTTCAATAGGATGATTTGAACAGCAGAATAAAAAAAAGTGTCTGCACCTCGTTTTCAGGAGGTTACCACGAGAACAATGTCGAGCTTATATCAGCTCTTGCTCTTAGCGGTTGTATTTGATTAATTAAATGAATAAATAAATAAATCTATCCACCAGTCATATAAGCATGAATCCATATAAGCCACCAATTAGATATTGAACTTGCATTAGAAGATTGAACCAGCTTTTAAGCCTAATTGTGAGGCAAACACAACTAAAAAAATGAAACGAAAGTTAAATGACAATACTAATTTATTTGTCATCCAAGGAATTGCAGAATAGAGATGAAGATATCAAACTCAACCCCATCAAATTTCTTATTATCAGCTATGCAGTCGTTCAATCACAGTTCAATTAAAATTACTGAAGAGAGATTCATTGAATCCAAAAGTTATTTCTAATGTATAACACAGTTTGATACAAAATTTCAGGCTTCAACCAAAGATAAAAATTATAGCTTCTGCCAAGTAGACATCTAATGAAAATAACCAAGAACCTGACCACCCACATTCCGATCCTTTGCTTGTTCATGGTCCAAGACACCATCTGGAGTAGTTATCACAACATATCCATACTGCATGAAAAGAATTTAAAAGATATAATTGCAAGAACAACCATAAATTTCTTTATTTAATAGAATAGGATTTAAAGAGATTTGAATCCAACCTGATGAGTAGGAAGTATACGCAATCTGTATTGTTCTATTTCCTTTGCCTTGAGGTCTTGCCTATAAGTGAGCGCCCGACAATCTTTTATCCTCCCCTGCAGTTCAACCTTTATCCTCCCAACTCTATGGGGATCATAAACCTCAAAATTCTTGATATATCCTAGAAATATCAGTCAACTTTAAAGCACTGAACATGGCAGATAAAAGAACTCCTGACACGAAGCATGAAAGTAAAAGAAAATACAAAGCATTTTTAAGAGCAGCAACATAACAGCAGTCAGCAAGAATACACAAATGATGTAAGACAAATATTTATTTATTCAAAATATCGGTATAACAATTCTACTACGATAGTTTTAATTTCCAAAATAAAATATCTAAGTAGATGACTTTGAGTTAGCTGCCTAGATTTAAAACAACTGCTTTTTGGATAGCTAAAAGCAAGACAACTACGTATTGGTGTCGTCAAAAAATTAAACCAAGTGTTACTAGCAATCTCACTTTCAGACCCACCAAATGAGAGATGCTGAAGTCGGCATTATGCAAGTCCAGTATATGTAAATGCATGCATTGATCCCCAACATTTCTGCTATTTCACGTTAAAGACATTTTAATTGTATCTTGAATCTTCGTTTCTTAACACACACACACACCCACAACACCAGACCACCCCCCCCCCCCCAACATTTCTGACTATTCACGTTAAAAGAACATTTTAATCTGTATCTCTTGAATCTTACGTTTCTTCAAACGACACCACCACACACCCACACACCAGACCACCCCCCTCCCCCTCCTCTCTCTCTCTCTCTCTCTATCTCTCTCTCCTTCAAAGCATAATTGATACTGATCAAACCCCAAATCCCAATAAAACGGATGTTCCATTAACAACTTGACGCTTAAATCCGATATAACTTGGAATATTGGCCTGTTAATTAACACAACCACCAAGGATGATGGATATCGAAGTTGCTTACTAAAGATCTGGAACCACAGGACGAAAGTGTATATTGACAGCATTGACAGTACGCAGAAGTGGCAAATTCCGCCAAAGGGCCAGTGGTATTTTAGTAACAATATCCGGTCGATTTGTTTAATAGGTTGTTTTCAAGGAAAATTAGAAGATTCAGATGAGTTTTGTATTGCAAGTCAAAAAAGCAGTCGACATTTATTCAAAACAGAGTCATAAAAAAAAAAAAAAGAGGAAGTACTCTCTCTCTCTCTCTCTCTCTCTCTCTCCTTCAAGCAAATTATACTGACAACCCCAAATCCCATAAAACTGTTCCAAAAATTGACACTTAAATCGATATATTGAATATTGCTGTTATTAAACAACCAGCCAAGGATGATGGAATCGAAGTTGCTACTAAAGATCGAACCACAAGAATGTGTAATTGACACATTGGAAGTACGGAGAATGTGGCAAATCCGCCAAAGGGCAAGTGGAATTTTAGTAACATTTATTTGTTTAATAGGTTGTTTCAAGGAAAAATTAGAAGATTCAGATGGAGGTTTTCGTATTGAAGTTCAAAAGAGTCACATTTATTTCAACAATCAATAAAAAAAAAAAAAAAAAAGAACTGAAGAGAGAACCAGAAGGCAATTATTGAAGGGAATCTAAAAATCACACCTTTGTAGCATTAAACAAAGAAAAGTCAAGTTCATTATAATGAAGATAAAGAATTGAAAAATCCAAAAAAATTGAGCAGATTTACCTCGATCTTTCATGATCTTGAGGAACGAAGACATGACAGTAGAAATAGGTTGCAGCTCAACCGTAGCTTTCCCTCTTCTTTCTGCATTCACTATCGACCGCAAGGCATCGTTCAATATCCTCCTCCCCATCTCCTCTCCCCGCAGCTACAAAACCTAAAATCCAAAATTCAGGCAGACTGCAGCAAAAGGTTTTAGAAGTCGTTATGACCTTTAAAAACCCAACGACACTTGTAAATCGAACGACACGAAGTTTGTTCTTTCTGCAGTACGCTGTCGCTTTCCTACTAAGGTCTCTATACCACGATAGAATATGAATATAAAAAATAAAATACAAAATTTAAAGAAATTAAATTAGATTAAATATTTAATTTTTCGAATATACTAATTTCTCAAAACAATAGTTTTTATTTTTTGTAATGTTTATAAACGATAGTTTTTTTTTTTTTTAATGTTTAGCATATTATTTATGTGAGCTCGACGGTGAGGATTAACTCATCACAACACTAAGACACCTTCCTAAATTTTAATTTGCAAGTAAAACAAAATCTAAAACGACACAAACAATCGGTCGTCTAATTGTCGTATAGGCGGAAATAATGGAACTCGCTGGTAAGAGAAAAATAACGCTGGAGTTCCGTTTTTCTTCACAAATCGCAACCAAATCATATCTCTATTTCCATGGACGATCTGCCTCCACATTTGCTCCTCGAGATACTAAGTCGACTCACCGATTCAACCGATCTCGCTCGGTGCCGACTCCTCTCCAAAAACTTTAACGCTGTCGCGCGCGAGGTGCGGTCTATTAACCTTTTATGCACCTTGTCCAGATATCTCAAATTGAGGTCATCTGAGACCAAAGATATACCCACGCCTTTCAAGACTATCTTTAGCAACTTGATTCGCAATTCCTTAGCCCTCGAGTCCATCTCGATCGGCGTTGACAAGTCGCTTGGTGGAATATCGTACGACGACGTCGAGGATGAGTCTGACGATTTGTATTTGACAGACGTGCAGTTCGTGAAGGAGTGGTTGCCTAGGGTTTGTAAGGAGCTGAAGTCACTGTCCATTTCTGATTTCTGGATTCAATCTTGTTGGAGGCGATCTGAAATTTTAGCGCTTGTTTCTTCTTTCTGTGAGTTTCTCTTAATTTGTTTTGTTTCAGTTCATGTTATTATGGAATTTAGTTTTATCAATTTCGGTAGCAGAATTTGGTTTGCTTATTGAAGATGACAATTATTTATGAAATTTTGAATTAAGCATACTTTGGTATACTCGTTAGAGTAAGGATTGAACTTTTAAAGAAAATGCCTTTTGCCGCTGTCGCGTCTTGGGGTCTAAAGGAATTAGATATGTGAATTTTGATGGTACTAATATTTTTTTGTAATACTGTTTTCATTTGCTTGTGATAATGAATGAATAAAGTTAAGCCCTTTTTGGCTAGCAGACCTGTTTAGGTGAAGAAATACTCCCGCAAAAAGCACTTAAATTTGGATTGATCCATTTTACCTCATTCTTGTTTCTTTAGGAAGTGTATTTTGGCTTTTTGACTGGTGACAACACCTTTTGGAATGATTACGTTATACTAAAATTATTCTATTGACATTTGTACAGGCCATGTCCTTTGTGAACTTGAGGTGAAGAATGCTTGGCTATCAGTAGATGGTTTGAAACCATTGCCTATGCTTACAAGTTTAACACTCGAGTCAATAAGACTAGATGATGAAGATTTAAGCAAAGTTAATCATTGCTTTCCTTGTCTACGAATTCTAAATTTGATAGGAGTAGGAGGACTTAAAGATCCAAAAATCCATCTCTTTCACCTTATAACATGTCGATGGACAGTGTCAAATGCTCCGCTTTCTCTGACTGTTATTGCGCCCAGCCTTGTGAAACTTGAGCTAAATTGTATTGAACCAAGATCGCTTGTCCTTCAAACACCATTATTGTCTGACTTCAATCTTTCACTACGGAAAGCTAAAAATTTTGAAATAAAAGAGTTCCCTCATTTGAAAAGTTTACAACTTGAATCTGCAGACCTTTGTAACCTCATAAGTTCATTTCCTTCTGATAATTCAATTAGGAGGCTTACAGTTGATTCACTGAAACGTGTTGGACCTGCTGATACGACTATTCTTAGCCTGGAGATGTTGTTCAATGTGTTCTCAAATGTGAGCTCACTTACTTTGCAGTCTCGGGCTTGGTCTGAAATGGAGGCATCCTTCCTAGCTGATGGTTTGCAAAGTCAGAAGGGAATGCAACGGCTGCAAGAAATTATTGCACAGTTAGTGATACATGATATTGACGTTACTTCGTTGTTTATTTTCGCTATCTTGGATAACTGCAGCAACTTGTCAGATGTTACACTGCTCATTCACAGCAAAGTTGATCCTAATGTTGCTAGCAACCTCATCTCCCAGTGTACAGCCTATCATCCAAAAGTTAGATGGAGATGGGGAATTTGGAAGGAAGGTTCAATAGATGCTTGGATATCTGATGCATTTAATTTATTAACCCTATTAGCGGAAGAGAATTAGTGTAGTCCATTGGAACTTATATTCAGCAAAATGTTGTGCTCCGTAGAAATTGGCATAGAAGTCTTGGACAGCAAACATTTTATGCCAGGGAAAATATTTTAGATGCATATAGATATTTTATGGAAGTGTCTCAAATTACAAGCTAATGGAGTTGATATATAGTTTTCTGGAAGCTTAGATTTCTACATACTCTTGCTATGTATTATAGAGTTATCTGAATATGGCTGACTGCTCAATTTCAAAAGAGAAACGGATAGAAGAATTCCCTGATGGGTGTTCCTTGTATAGTTGTGTTCTTGTACATGTAATTGGAAAATGTTGTATTATCTAGAGAATTTCAGCAATAGATTGTACATGTTAAACTGTAAATTGTGATACTTGTGCTGAATGTGGTGGTTTTTTTTATTATTATTATTTGTGGATGTAGAAAATACAGAAAAACAGAAACCGTTGATTAAAAGTGGTTGTGGTGTGCATGTATTTGAACTTGGATACTAAACGCTAAAACTTACAGGAGTTGATATCTGCACTTGCTTGCTTTTTGTTTGAGGCGTATCATTTGTGCTTTCTGTAATTACAGGGTAACTCCTGTAATGACCTTTTAATATGGCTGGCTTGTGGAGGGGTCATAGGAGAAAGCAAAAATAAAAAGTACACTCGCCTAACAGCTTTGTGGTATTGGTAAATTTTTACTTCCTTCCATAATGTGGGGGGGAAAAAACTTTGTTTGGTAAAATTTTAGTAGCTATTCCCATTAAAATATAAAATGATTATCATTAACGGTGTAATTATATTTATATATTTTGATGTATAATGTATATAGTTTTAAAATTTTTATATTCAATATATTATTTTTATTTTAATGTATTGTATAAATAAAAAACATTAATTAAAATTTTTAAAATAACATTTAATAGAAAGTTATTATTTTTAAATAATTATAAAATAAAATGATAAAAAATATGAATTGCAAAAAAATTGTTTATTAATTATTTTCATAAAGATAAGGTTAATGAAATTCAAATATAATATAAATAAAAAAATCAAAAGAATTATTTGTTGATATGAAAGAAAAAACTACAAAAGAGTTACAAGCTGACATGTAACAAACAAACAAACGTGGACATATTTATTTAAGTATTAAAAATTATTTCAATATAATAAACATGTATACTTTTCTGGAAGTGCGGCAAAATACTATACTAGTATACTGGATCGCGGAGGATGGATAAATCCTGACAAGGGCCTCGGGCTGGGCCACGATGAAATTGCCATTTTTGCTGAAGAGGCAAAGCAAAAAGCCCGAAACAAGGTTTAGAACAAGTAAATCAAGCAAATGACCCAAAAAGCTGATAAATACGGTGCGTTTCAATCCATCAACGATTAGGGTTTTGCAGGAGTATAAACATAAACCCCTCAACTTCATTTAAAGAAGCAGACGACTTGCACAGTTAAACCCTCCCACACACTCCGTCCGCTCTTCCGTCACGTGTAAGTCCTCAAATCTCGATCTATCTCTGCTACGTCGTATTTTTTTTTTTTTTTAATAATTATTCTCGACTCGCGATTATCTTCGTTTTCATTTACCTTTTTGGTCTTTCTCAGATTGTGATCTGATCTCTTTTGGTATCTTACTTTGTAACAGGTGACTAGAAATGGCGACAGTTCCAGGGCAGTTGATTTGGGAGATCGTGAAGAAGAACAATTCTTTCCTGGTGAAAGAGTTTGGCAGAGGCAATGCGAGTGTTCAGTTTAGCAAGGAAAGCAACAATCTCTACAACCTCAACTCCTACAAGCACTCTGGTAGATAATATACCGGATACCTTTTATCAGTTCCATTTTCGGCCACTTAATTATTTTGTAGTTTGAACCGGTTATGGATTTTTCTTCGATTAGGTTTGGCTAACAAGAAGACTGTTACCATTCAGCCTGGTGGTAAGGATCTCTCCGTTGTGCTCGCTACCACGAAGACCAAGAAGCAAAACAAGCCTTCCAGTTTGTTACACAAGTCGGTCATGAGGAAGGAGTTCCAACGCATGGCTAAGGCTGTTTCGAATCAGGTAGGTTTTTTGTACATGTTTTAATTGTTCTTTTATCTGGATTGTTAAAATCAAATGGTGCTTGCTATTGATTTCTTACCTGTTTACTGTTTTTATATACTTGTATCTGGGTTGTTAAAGGCATTTATCAATAATCTCTCCATCGGCTGTGTTGCCATTTTGAGTCGAGCTTGCTTAATTTAGTAGTTGCTGGCTATTTTTGATTTTGCTTCTATTGGAAATATACTCATTGAGCAGTGATGAAAAGCTAACACGTAAGAAGACTCTCCTTTGTGGAGAATTCTTCGATGAGATATACTTGTTACGCTTGGCTTCTGAGCTTTGCCTTTTCAATCAAAACCCATTGATAACTTTTTCTGTTGGGAATTGTCTAGTGATCTTTGAGTTTCCTTGATCAAGCTCAGCAAAAGGTATTTCTCATTGCAATACACATCACTGTTGTTTGTAGATTTCATCACATTTCTTCTTTATTTCGAGTCATAACGAATCCTTTTATGGGCTGCACTACTGGGTTTCATGCCTAATTTCAGTTTCCAAACCATCAGATTTCAAGAAGGAAAACATCTTAGTAATCACCTGGTTGGTTTTTCATTGTTGTGTTCAGGTTGCAGATAATTACTACAGGCCAGATTTGAAGAAGGCAGCCCTTGCTAGGCTTAGTGCAGTTCACAGGAGCCTTAAGGTTGCCAAGTCTGGTGTCAAGAAGAGAACCAGGCAGGCTGTTTAGCTGTTTAAAGTTTAGGAGACTAATTTCAATTTAATGTTCACTTTTCTCTCTCTCTCTCTCTCTCTCTTTTAAGCTTTTGCTCATTATTTTGAGTCTTTAAAGATGCTTTATTTGCACTTCCTCTTGGAAGTTTTGGTGTTGTGAACAAAATATCTAAAAATGAATGTATTATTATTATTATAATAAATTTTGTTAGGATCTTTTTCTGGCCGTATGTACCAAAAAATCTGTATGCAGCACATTTTCAGCTATTGCAGGAATTTAACCAGTGGCCAACCCTCTAAATTATTGGACTAGAATTTTGTAATAAACGATAATGTCGAATTGTTTGCTAGATCTTTCCATTGGCCTAATTGATGTATCAAGGCCTTAGTCCTTTCTGGCTTCCTGTGGATGTCTCTCAACAAGAGATTGCTGAGGTATCAAAACGTTTGTTGTTTAACAAGTGATAATGTTGTGAAGTTGATTCTATGAAAGAGATTATAGAAAGAAAAAATGAAATTCCTGGAAAAAGCATCCACAACTGAATTAGCCAAAATGGAGCCTCTACATCTTATTTATTTATTTCAAGATATAAAAGGAAAAATCAATTCAACGGCTTGAAACCAATTAAAAACCACGAACAAATTGTGATGTTCTTAGCTGGATCTTAAGCCCAACACAACATAATCCAAAAGAGATAATGGGCCAATATCTAGCCCAGTCAGGGTTTTAGCGCGCAAATTCGCGATTTCAGTTTTTGACGAGTCCACGATGCTACACTGTAGCATAGTATATATGGGACCTAAATATCCTCATTTGTACAGAATAATTTCCCGCCTCTCCCTTTTCCATTTCCCGCTCTGAAAACCCTAACCCTAACCATCCGAAAAGTAATGGGGCAGAAGCAACAACCCACCACCGATCCGACCGCCGAACCCAAAAAACGAAGGCGCGTTGGCTTCTCCAACATAGGTGAGTCAATTCAGCTCCCATTAACTGTTTTCGTTGTTTCTGTACTCTACCTCTATCTTCTATCCGGAGACTTTTCTCGAGTTATCTCGTTTTGCATTTGTTTCATTTCAAGCTGAATTTTACTGCCTTCTTTTTATCTGTTTGTCATTATCTTAAAAACGATTATTGTTGCAGATGCTGGAATTGAAGCCAACGAGTGCATTAAAATTTACCTAGGTATGGTACTTTAGGCGCGTTAGATAAGCTTATTTTCATTTATTAGGCTTGGTTTTGTTGATACTAATTCTGAGTGAGGTTTTTTTGGGTTTACTCGTACTCCGGGGTTTCTTCTAGTACTTACTCCCTCTTTGATGCGTGTTATCATCTTTGCATTAGTCATTGCTCCTTTCCCCCTGCCCCTTTCTTCAAAACACAGATGATAACATTTTTCTTTTGTATTGAACTTTATTTGTTCTTGATTTGTCTCATAGTTTCGAGCGAGGAACAAGTGGGTGCTTTGGACAGTTTTTGCATTGAACCCATTGACTTGAATGGCTTTTTTGATGAGGACGGGAAAATATATGGTTACCATGGGTTGAAGGTGGTTATCTCTCTCTCTCTCTCTCTCTCTCTCTCTCTCTCTCTCTCTCTCTCTCAATTCAAATTGAAGCTTATTCATGTTTGGCTTTGTGGCAGATAATCGGCAATTTTCTCTATGCTACCCTCCTTCGATTAACATTGCTATATACAGCTAATTTGGATAAGTGGATACTTAACAATCATCTTTAATTATATGCTTCATGCAGATAAACATCTGGATTAGCAGCATAACTTTTCATGCTTATGCTGATATTACATATGAGAGCAAATCTGATGTGAGTATCAACTTGTTCTTCCTTTTTCAATCAGATCAAATTTAGGAGTAGTTCTGATTTTGTGTCTTCTGCATTATTATGGACGCTGTTATTGTATTTTATTAGGGAGGAAAAGGCATTACAGACCTGAAATCTTCTCTTCAGGTATATTCCGAGCACCATTTTAAACTCTTATTTGAGTTTTTTCTTTTATACTGGATCTGCTGCTGATTAGTTTAGTTGATACAGAGAATTTTTGCTGAGACTCTTGTGGACAGTAAAGAAGACTTCCTCAAATCATTTTCAGATGAGAGTCAGTTGATAAGGTAATATGTTATGGGTGTACTTTGCACATCTAATCTTCAAGATTTTATCTATCCATATAGTACCTGATCTTTTATCCCTGTATAATATATATTTTTAATTTTCTCAAATGCTCTCAGATCTGTTGTCTCAACTGCGGAGATATTGCAACATAAAGGCTCTAACGGACACATTGGTGATTCTGATAGTCATTTAGGGGCAGATAGTTCAGATTTGAAGGTGCTTCTTATATGTTTAGAGTCTTACTTTATTCTCGTATGATGAAAATGGTAGTTGCTTCTCTAGAATTTTACATTTTGAGTCATTGTTTGCTGTAGGACCATCTAAACTCTGAAACCTAGGCGATGTAATTGGGAATCAAGGTCAGGGTTTTGTGTGACTAAGATTTGGCGATGGTTGGTGATAAATCTCAGTCTGCATAACATTAAATTGCAGCCTTCATTAAAAACTAATTTAGAAACTAAAGTTATTTGCCATAGAAAAACTGCCTGTCCTGAAGTTAAGCATTTATGGTACTACAATATACCTAATTTTTCTGGTTTTGCAAAGTAAAAATGTATGCATAGCTAATCTATTACTAGACTTTACTAAAAAGAAGCTAATAAAAGACCTAAAACCTACCATGGACTATTCAACTAGAGGATCTCTTATTGTGTGGAATTTCACATTTCTAGTATTTGGTTTCTCGATGGAATATTTCTAACCATGGGAAGCTGTTGTGTTGAATCACAGGGTCTCCATTGCCAAAGCTTTAGTGGTTAATAGTGGCATAATGAAGTTATGTTAGTGACATATTCCAAATGAAGCATTGTTCTCAGTACCTGCAGGCAATGTTTTTTGTGAATAATTATTTGTGTGCTTATATACATGTGTGTACTCCTTCATATGACTTGTTCTATATTTTCTTATAAATAATTAAGGGGATAAAAGATGGTATGTTTAAGATGGAGATATCAACAAAAGCATTTCTAATTTTTGTTTTCTGCCTTTTGTCTTAGCATGTCATTTTTAGAGGTTTTGGAACAGAATACCATGATTAATGTGCTCTCCTATTGGTCAGGTTGTTCGCATGGTAGTAGGCAATGCAAGTACAGGACATCTTTACAGTCGTGTGATTCCTCTTGTTCTTCTTCTTGTTGATGGTGATTTCCTTCGTATATTAAAACATTCTTATTGCATAACTTCACTTGCAACATGGTGTAAATTCAGTTTCTGAAAAGGAATTTTGTCTTAATCAGGTAGCAACCCAATTGATGTTACCGATCCAGGATGGGAATTGTATGTATTGGTCCAGGAGAAAAATGATGAGAAGGGGGATATTGAAGACAAACTGCTGGGTTTCACAGCAGTTTATCGCTTCTTTCATTACCCTGATAAAACACGACTACGACTCAGTCAGGTTTTTTTCCCCTCTTATCCTTTTACTTCAGTTGGTAGAAGTGCAGAGAGAACCACGGTTGTAATTTTGTGCAAACACTTCTGAATGTTTTCTGCAAATACACCTCAATCTTAAAAGCAATTTGATGAGATGTTTCATTGATAACAGATCTTGGTTTTGCCTCCTTACCAACACAAGGGTTATGGTCGTCACCTTGTTGAGGTGGTCAGCAATGTTGCAATATCAGAAGATGTTTATGACTTAACAGTTGAAGAGCCATTAGATTACTTCCAACATGTGCGCACCTGTGTTGACATACAGCGTCTGCTTGCTTTTGATTCAATCCAGGATGCAATTAATTCAGCTGTTTCAAAACTGAAACAAGGAAAGCTATCAAAGAAAACTCATGCCCCTCGGTTCATGCCGCCTCCAACTGTGATTGAAGATGTTAGGAAAGCATTGAAAATCAACAGAAAGCAGTTTCTTCAGTGTTGGGAGGTTTTAATTTATCTAGGCCTTGATCCTGCTGACAAGTGCATGGAGGATTTTGTGACAATCATTTCAAATCGCGTGAAGGCTGATATTTTAGGGAAAGATTCTGGTAGTAGTGGGAAGCAGGTGATTGATGTCCCAAGCGATTATAATCCGGAGATGTCATTTGTGATGTTTAGGTCAGGGAAGGATGAAGGTACTAGTCTTCAGATGGATGAAAATCAAACAAATCAAAAAGAGCAGCTGCAACAGTTGGTTGATGAAAGGATAAAAGAGATAAAGCTCATTGCAGAAAAGTTGCGTCCTGTCTGAATTGTTAGCGAGACATTCTATTTCTAGTGGAAGTCTTACAAAGATGCTTGTTATGAGGTCCTTGTTGAGATGCTCTAGGTTCTCTGAGCTGTCTACAAATAATCGAAGCTGTGTCCGCATATCTGATCAAAGATTTAATGTAGAATAGCTGCAGATTTGATCAAAGTATAATCATCTAAAGTTTTTGTCATACTCTCGGTTATGCTGAGTCCAGTGGCCAGCGTTGTCTGTTAGAATGTAGAATATTGTAAAATCGAGACAATTTTCCAATCTTAAGAAAATTGTTTAGCTGTTTGCACCTGTTGTGCGTATGATTTTTTGAGTCACTTGTTCCAGAGTCAATAGCTCTAATGGTTCAGCAAGGTTCCTTTTACGGATCAAAGCACATAAGGGTGAGCTATGCGCTTTTATCAATGCAACGAGTATTGAAACCAGGAATGGTGTTTAAATGCAAAGGCATGATATGTATGCCTCATGAGCCACCAATGGAGTGCTTTTTCCTAATTTCCTACCAATTACACATCCTGAACTAAATTGAGTATTATTGTTTTGTTTTATCTCCTCTTGTTCAACATATACATAGAATTCAAAGACGAAAAATTGGACGCCAAAGACAACTCTAAATCTTCTGGACACTGCAACCTGCGTCTTCTGATGTCCAGTTCTCCTTCCAATTCTCAAATTCCGATCCACCGAACACTAACTGCTTGATTCCAACATAGCTGCCAACGGATAATATGTATATATTATAAATGAGTTTGCGAATTCACAAATGAGATCTTAGCACCCAAAAAATGACAACATCACAAACATTATATATTGAATAAGGGTAAAATATCGTATATTGGCAAGTTCTTTTAGACTAGTTGATTCATTCTCCAAACAAGGTATGGTAACTTGAGGTTTGCGAGGACAACTACATTACTCTAAGAATGCTAATACCTAACATATTGATTTCAGTGGGTTCATATTAAGGATTAGAAGAACAAAAAAATTCATAAGAAACTTCAAGAAAGAAAGAGGATGGACATGGAGAGCTTACTCAGAGCTTATCTGTGTCAATGCATTGATCAAAATATCCAGAATCAATGGCTCAGTGATCCCAATATCCACCCTGTAAAATTTTGATCAACATGCATTAGTAGGACAAATACTAAGCCCCATTACGTACTGAAAAACAATACTCTCAAGCCCATTGACTAGAACTTCAAATAAACTCTCATACCATATACGTGCCAAGTTGTCTTGAATCTCAAAGTCCCCAATATTGTAAAATGTGGTTGGTGTCACATTTGCTCCCTGAATAGCATCATAATTTGGTCTTCTATCAAAAGTTGATTGTGATAACTGCAAAGCACAGAAGTGTGAGGGGAAAAAGAAAAAAAAAAAAAAAATTAACTGTATCATTTATAGGTTTTTCTACACTGGAAGAAAGAAACTACACAAGTGACAAATGTCCTTGGTAAGCATGCATTATCCTTTTCAGAAATCAAACTTTACAAATCTCAATCAGTAATGTCCCACTCCAAAGCAAATATCATAACCATTTTTGCTCTCGATGCTTTTAAGAGGGGATTAAGGCATTTCAATTAAACAATGTAAATATTCAGACAAAATTTTACTTGCATATTCATGGAATTGCATCCACCAAGGCGTCCAATGATGTGCCAGGACCGAATTGCCTGCATGCAGACGAATATCAAGTAAATGATTGAATTTCATAGCGGAATGTCATTTTTATGTTTAAGAGAAGTTACTTACATCACAAATTAAGGTGACATCTCTCTCCAATGGAGCATTGTAGAATTCAAACCATATGTATGAATTTGAGAAATTAAATCTGGTAATGCCAACCATAAGTTAGCAAAACAGAAGCAGCAATGTGAAGCATCCATATAATATTATGAAATGAAAAATATGGCATCACAAAGCTGGAAAGGGCAAATAAAATATAATAATATCCATACTGAAAAAGTCGCAGTTCTCAAAGACCATAAAATTGGTAGAAGTTGTCAACTTAGCACCCACCGCCCTGGCTCCAAGAATAAGGAAAAAGGTATTCAAGAATTTTCAGCACTCAGGAAAATTTAGAATCAATTTCAAGTTAGGATGATAGGCAACCAATGGCAGCAGATTTGTTTATTAAGCAGTAGGTTCATCATTAACTATTGCAAAATAATATCCCCTAATATCTGCTCATAAATGAGTGAAGATAACTGGGTAAAATCAATTAATAAAGTTCATACAACTTTATCTATTCTGCAAGACATTAATAGTTGCTCTAAGTTAGTAAAGCACATCTATTTGCTCCATAACAGCTTTCTAGCATTCATATAGACCCATAATAACATGCCAAAATTATTACTAGGTGTATAATACCTACCCTTCTATCAGCTGTGTGATTAATGGGGAATACATCTCTCTTGAAGTTTCATTGTGAGTGCCTACAGCATGCAACAAGGTTTCCTTCCATATTTCTTACTTGTAGTTGTATACTTTCACCAAGGTCAATTTAAAATTAAAGCATAAGCCTCGTTTAAACACTGGACTATCAAATGCACTGAAATTTTCAAACTCCTTGTCTTATGAGAGAAACCAACGAAACAAGAAGAGACGTCAGATAAAGCGATCAAATAATGGCCAAATCTGGACCCATGTATGCTTTTATATGTGGAAACTTGAAAATCATTGACATTAGAAACCACATTATTCAGCATATAGGCACATATGCCATGTGTTAACGACTTACTTGTTCAATGTAACCTTTACAGGTATATTTGAACCAGTCTTTGTGTGCAAAACCTTGTTCCTTTTCCTCCTCAATCTCTCCTCCATCTGAAAAATCCATCGTCTCCATCAACTTAAAAATAGACAATATACAGCTGGAAACTGAGCCTTTAACTTAATTTCCTCTACATTTGTCAGTAACACATATCTATTGGATCATTGAAGACAAAAGCAAACTCAAATTAAAACCCACAAGTAAACTTAAAAAAAAATTTTAAAAAAAAAAAAAATACCAAAACAAAAATAACTAAAAAATTAGCTTACTCTTTTTCGAGCTTTTTCTGGATTATCGAGACAACTGCCGAGAATTTCAGCTAACTCAGGATCCCTATCATAATCTTTCTCTTCCTCTCTCCCTCCAAATCCATTATCCGATGAAAATGAATTTTCACTACCATAATCGTCTTCATAACCATCAAAATTCTCTTGCGCTTCTTCAATCTCTCTGTCCATACTTTGCATGTTTACACTTAGAGCGCGATTCTGTTTACCACAAAAGAGTGAAGCACCGGTTCGAGCATAAAGGCAGTGTTTGGGAACTGCAACAATCGGAGGGAAGTAGGCGCAGTGGTGAGAAAATTGATAGCTTGGTGTGGGCAGAGGGTAAAGAGAAGATGCACATGCCAAGATAAGCATTTGAGAAGAATATCCAGAGGTTTTAGTTTCGTGCACTTGTACTGTAGAGTAGAAATAGCCCACTCTCTTACTCCGGTGGACGATTTGTGGAAGAGAGGCGGGAGCGAGCACCTTCACCAACAGGCTCTTGCTTTGTATTTGCGATGGGCTTGAGCTTGGGCTTTGGGTTTTATTATGCAACGGAAAACTTTCCTTCGCGTGCTGTTTTCCCGTCGTCAAACGTGTCAAGGAACAATTTTCCCTCTAATTTATATGCAAACAAGTACTAAAGGTTTTTTCTCCCCGTGCGGAAAATTTTCCGTCGGCTGAAAACACTTTTTTTCTATCCAATCAAGCAACAGATTTTATCTGCAACAAGATTGCAATGGCCATCTTTGCCCGCGAAACTGCTAATAAATCCAATTACTTGCCGATCCTATTTCCCAACGAGCTATGTCATAATTAATTGGATTATTAAATTAACGGTTAGTTAATTTCAAAACAATCGAACTCAAATCATTACATGGCATAATTAAAAAAAGAACGGGGTGCATTTATTTACGGAAAACAGTTTTTTATTTTATATTTTCTGTTTCTGAGAAAACAGTTTTATTAGAAAATTCAAAACGTAAAATATGCTCACTTGATAATAATAAAAAATTATATTTTAACGGGGTGCATTTATTTACGGAAAACAGTTTTTTATTTTATATTTTCTGTTTCTGAGAAAACAGTTTTATTAGAAAATTCAAAACGTAAAATATGCTCACTTGATAATAATAAAAAATTATATTTTTATTTAACTTCTAAATATTATTCATAATTTTCATAGTATTAAATAAATTTATAAATTTTTTATGTAAAAGTTTTTGAATTTTTAGTATTGATTATTTACAATAATAATATTATTCTCTATCATTTTGTAATTTTTTTAAAAATAAATATATTAATGTATTGTAAATAATTAAAATTAATTATTTTATTAAAGCATAATATGAATTTTATATTTTTTCCAAATGAAAATATTTTATAGAAAAATTATTTACAGATAATATATAAAATTAATTATTTATTAAAGCATAATATGAATTTTTATTTTTTCAAATGAAAATATTTTATAGAAAAATTATTTACAGATAATATAATTTTAATTATGAAAATGTCATTTTTTAAAAGTAAAAAACAATTGAAAGACATGTTGTTAGAAAGGAAAATTATAAAAAACAACTTAAAAGCTGTTTTTCAAATTCTACTTAAATTTTGGAAAACTGAAACTGATTGATTTGAACAAAATACTTTATTTTCCAGCTTTCTTTGAAAACTGTTGTAAAAAACTACTCCAATTTTCTAGTAACATTTATCCTTTATAACACTTGCAGAATTTTTGTTTTTTTGAAATGAGTTGGCTCAAATGCATAAACTGTTCACAAACACAAATTTGTTAGTTCTTTCTTTAGTTCACTATTTTTTCTTGTCGACTTTCAAAGCAAAAATGAGAAATAGGGATCCAAAATTGCTTGTTAATTGTGCCCAGATCATCCCCCTCAAATATGGTTTCATCAAATGACACCATTCAACAAGATGATACCTTCAAAATGAAGGAAAGTAGCATACACAACTTAAAGATTTCATTTCTGACGATGTCCAAAGAAAAAACTGAAAAAGAAAGTCCATAGTAAAAATATCCCTTATCTTTAGCATTAAATAATAATATTACACCGTACAAAAAAACAAAAAATTGAACTTAAACTATTGTTACACCATACAAGAATTGTACTAGGCTCATTTATATTATCTAAGTTGCTTCCCCTAAACCAGTGACGATGCTCATTTTTCCTTTAGCTAATGTATGTAATCAAATTTTTAGTAAACAAACTCTAAATTCCTGTTGAAAACCTTGTTCGTCCTAAGTATATGAAACTCTGCAAAGAAAAAGCTTCCTAGGATCTCAGGGCACTTCTTGAGTATCTCCAGAAACTCAGAGCCAGAACAGTTAGACCAGCAACGCTTGCTATAATCTGCCATTATAAAATATACCAGTGTGTTATATATCAGTAAAACTGGGCATCTGATATAAACAATTAAGCGATTCAATGGTTTCTAGAGATTTTTTTTTGTCCGAGACATTGATTTCCAAACTACCATGATAAAAAGCACATACTGATCGAGTGAAAGATGTTGTGTAACATTTGGGGAAATGACAAAATAGTAATCTCACATTGTTCGGATGTCATAAATTTTGCAGAAATATATTACTAGAAACATGGCAGTGGCAATGGCAAAGTAGGTAAATATTGACCTTGGCGTCTCTAGCATAACTGGTCTGAGTAGATTGGAAGAATGACGTCAGCAACTGGAAGCGAGACGTCTGAGGCATTAGAATGACTGAAGTATACTGTTTTTTGCAAGGATACGGCAGTATCCTTTGCAGTGTCAATTGCACTGTTGATGTTGTTAGAGATTGCCTAACATTAGAACGTCCTTCATCTTGAATCTACACAAGCAAAAATATTCTGATAAAAGTAGCACTGGATGGAACATGATAATAGACATAAAGTGAACGCAGCAATTTCTGTCTCTAACCATAAAGTTTCCTGTCACTGCCATTCAACTGTTGCTAGTCCATTCTAATTAGGTTATCATGGAATTTCTAGACAAGTAACCACGTGACAAAGTAGAATCCAAGACACATAATGATGATTTGTGCCATACAAAGATTATCAAATGGGAAAAATTCAAATCATGTGTGTGTCTATTTTATACCTAACTCTATATAAAGTGCTTCATGCAAGCCACACCAAGGTACTAGTTAAAAGATATTCCACAACTCTTGTATGATATGATCTCAAACTAACAAAAGCATAAATTGTAAGACAGTCTCATCTTCCAGCTACATTACCAACTATAAGTGCCGATGCAACTCCAGGACTCAAAACAAAAGTATTGCTCCCATGACATAAGGCACTCAGATTGAAACAAAATGCAATAGCACAATACAGAGAAAATGCAACATTAGGGTTGTAGGATAAAACATAGACCACTAACCTCAAAAGCATTGCTCAAATCACCATTATAGATCCTTGACTGGTAACTACGTAAAATCCTTTCCAGCCAGTAGAAGTTCTCCTGAAACATCGATGGCAAATCAGCACTATGGATAATGTAGTATAATCAATAAAAATTCTTGCATCCATGAAATTTATGCTGTATGATCAACTAGAACATATAAAAAATTTTGATTTCTGCAACTAAGGATTGAAAATGGTGAATGAAAGAGTCCCAATTTAATTCTATATCATCCAGGTGAAAATTGACTAAATGTCAGTAACATTAAAGTCAATCGAAAAATTTAACCTGTAATCCGGTTTCATGTGCCCTTTGCTCAAGTTCAAGAACAGTCAAAACATCTTCATCTGAAGGCCCTTCTTCCTGGAGCCGTAATATTTCATCCAATGCAAGATCAGCCTATTAAGAAGCATTGCAAACAGGAAAGAATGAACTAATTGGCACTCAATTGAGATAAAAAAATAAAAAATAAAAAATAAAAGGGCAAATGTACAATAACAAACCAAAAACTGCATACCAGCTTTGAGGAGATTCTAGGATCACAAGAAAAAATTATGCTGATGTCACCACGTATATCACCAGTTCTAGAAGGTCTATTACCACCAAGGAATACTGAGACACCAGCAGAGTATATCTGGGGCAGGGAGGTAAATGAAGAGCCATCCTTCTAACCAATAAAATAGCTCGTGTAAAGTAAAAGCATTTGAGACACACACCTGCCCATGCTTGAAACGTAGCACTTGCATGATTTTCGTTTCAAGAAGTTTGCTCAGGAAGCCAATGCAGTGTATCTCTTCTACCTGCCAATTTATTTTTGTCCAATAGAAGAAAGGGATCTCGGCTATCAGATCTATGAAAGTTCAAAAAAATAAAATAAAAAAATAAAAACTGATGACCACCCATTATGAGCTATTAATAGATAGATTACAAAAACATCCACAAACCATTGTCCCATTCTTCAGCACCACAGGAAAGCTTAGCTGAACTGAACATTGAGCCTCCACCATTGGGCTTCGGACCACTTCTCTACAACAATATCAAATGCATTAGAATGCATTTGAATCCCAATGTAAATACGTGTGCTCAGAAACAGAGTATGTTTGTAATGAGCATCTTAGAAGTTTCCATATTGTGTAAAAATTCAAAAGAAAAACAGGGGCCAGGATAGAAGATGTTCAACTGGCATAGAACACTGATTGTTGCAGGGAGGGGGGAGAGAGAGAGAGAGAGAGAGAGAGAGAGAGAGAGCAAAAACTGGAAGTCTACTCACACCACCAAAAAATATAATTTTTTAAGATAAAAGGCAAATTGTATTAGTCAGTTAGTCCAACCAATTATCACTTGTGTTCAGGTTAACTGTCTCCAACGTTGCATGAAAGTAACACATTAAGAATTTTTTTTATCATATCATAGATGATAAAATATCTAGCTAATTATGCTTGTAGTCAATATCATCTACCTAATTATGCGTGTAGGAAATGTGAACGGTAAGCCTGTGAGATCATCCCGGTTGAAGTGGAGAATAGGTTCAGGAGGTTCTGGTATTCCACCCTGCATGTTGAGATACAGTATCAGCCAAAACAATAATAATGACCATATTTCATAGTTATAAAGGCATATCAACTCACCAAATACTGCAACATGAGAGGAAGCGCAATAGTAGGATCAAGATTCCCAACAATCACGACAGTAAAAGTCGATGGATCCCTAAAACAGCTGTTAAAATATTCGCAAGCTTTTAGTGGATCAACTTTCCGTAGATCACTTATCCTAATTGGCTGCAAAATCATGAATAGAAACCATGTTATAAGCTGGGAAAGCTCCATCTGAAAGAGACAGTGATCACAAAACAGCATACCCTAAAAAAATAGGAGTTCCCATAGTTGAGCTCCTTGACTCTGTCTGCAAAAGCAGTATAAGGATCCCTCTCTTGAGCACGAACTGCTTCCTCTGCCATTTGCATCACAATATTGACATCTTCTTCTCCAGGTATCACATTTGTTATGAATAGTTGATAGACAAGCTGTGAGATCAAAGACTAACAGGTTAGTAACTGCTACTGTACTACTTAAAAGAGAACATTCCCTAAGAAAATAAAAAATAACAAAAAAAAAAATGCCTGTAAGAGACAAATGACTCGAGAACAGTTTCAACTTTGCAAATAAATGTAAACAAAGTGATACTAGTTTTATTCAATTCCAATACAGCTGTGAGAGACTTTCTAGTCCCTACATTATGAGCATGGTAAATAGATAAATATGACACATATAACAAAGCAAACCTGCAAAGCTGTTTCCAAATCTGAGGGTGAACAATCTCCTGAAAAAGTTCTCATGTATGCTCCTAGTTTTGTACCAACTTCAACTCTCTTACCAGCAAGCATATCCATCAGAACTGATGGTCTATAGCCAAATATGCCAATTTCTCCAGCAATGGTTGATCCCATTGAGCATGAGAAATAATCGCTTTCTGGGATTTCAGATAGCCCACCGTATGAGAACCCTGTAAAAAGAACCTGTTGGAAGTGTTCGACAGGAATTAATCAGGATTCATATAAGAGGACATCAATAAAGTAATCATTCATTTTCCCAATGCCTTCTCATGGAAACCATAGTTATTATGCGGTTATTAACAACAGTATTAATCCCCCTCCAAAGCTAGCAGTGTGAACAACTTCCAAAGATATTTCACATAAAGAGCCTGATAGCCTGTATGATTCAGAAAAACAAAAATCTACTTTCAACAGTTTGATAGAGTATTTCATCTAACTCCTCCTCTATTGAGATTCTTACTCAAAAATATTTGTGTCAGCCATGGAAAAGAAGTTTACCAGCCACATAAATTTTGCAATCTTGTACCTGATCATCAAGGAAGTCTGTACACTTATAGCAAACTCGCATGCCATTTGATAGGATTAATTCTGTAGCTCCAATATTTGAATATTCAAGCTGACGTAGGATACTCCTGCATTAAATCCTTTATTAAGTCCATGAAAAAAGAAATGTAATAAAATAATAAAGCAGTTTAGTTATGTAGAATGAGGTCTTGTAGCAAAGTTATTTGACTCATAGGAATATCGCAATGCATGGAACTAAAATGTTTCTTACATGTAAAAAGAACATTTAGTCAAATTGAAAAAAGATGTGTGGAAGATGTTAGTCAGTAACACCATAAAAGGAGAACATGAAAACAGTAGTACAAATGAAAAGACAAATTAATCATTTCTGGGAAATTTAACTTCTGATCAGCTATACATGCTCAAAGAGTATTTTCTGATATATATAAAAATATATATGATGAAGACAAATACGTTTAAGAAAGATCAGAAGTAGTTAACTTGAGTACAAGAAAAACCTAGGTAATTTCAGCATTAATAAACTAGGTCCTTTACACACTAGGAGTTTGCAATTTGGTTTAAATGACCACCGGACACTTCCCTGGCCAACATCTGTCTCTCCCCCTTAACTAGGAGATTGATAACTCAATCCCATGTGACTATGGGAAGGAACAGATCTAACTTGGTAAAATTACAAGAAATAAATAATTTAGAGAGATGGACAGAGTTACAGGACCCAAGGCTATGAAAATAGAGGATGAATTTAGGAACACAATGGATTCCAAGAGGGTATAATTCAAAAATTAAATTAAAAAGAACATACTGGCTCCAGTACATAAGTTAAACTGGAAACTAGTAACTAAAGAACAAATAAACAAGACAACTCATTTATCCTCCCACCTTTCTGTATTACACTCTTAACAGATCAAATACGTAACATGAGCAAATCACACTCACAGAAGAGAGAAATCAACCCATTTAGATAAAGAGGAAGCTTAAGTAGAAAGAAGAAAACAACTGAAAATCTATACATTACTGAAGATTAATAGACCGCGGGGCATAAATAGTAATTCAAAGACATTACCCTGGATTTGGCATTGTAGCAACAATTTCCTCTGGAATTTTTTCTTCATCCCAAGGAGGAATGCTTCTTTCTCCCTCAAGAATATTTATTTTCAATAAAACCTTTTTCAGATCATCAACCGTTGCAGAAGCTCGGGGTTCGATTGTCTTTATGACACAGCTACATGATGTTCGCAACTTCTCTGAATACTGGGATACCTCTAGTGCCGATATCTCTATCGAAACATATAGGAGTGATCATACCTAGTCTATCGCAGTTTTAATAAACCAGTAGAGTTAAACGTAGCAGGTACTCACGAGGTAGAATTGTTTTTTGAAGTTGAGCTTCATACTCAATCCCAACAACAGGTTCATTCCGGAGAAAATGCTGCAAAGTGTATCAAAACATAAATTATTTTGTTTCATCCGATTAAATTCCAAATTAATCATTGTAACATTATATGAAAACCAATGTTCTCAATACACCTGTAAAAATTCATCTCGCAAGCTGGTCGATTGCGTTTGATCACGTTCCAGATAGGCAGACTCGATCTCTGCCATTAGTAAAGAACGAACAATAGATATTTCACGATCTGAAAAACCATGTAACCGTACTCTTGCGACCTGAAATACAAGGTAGCCGTGAGTAAAGGAACACAAACAGCAAAGAAAACAAAAAAGTTCTCAAAATAGAAATTAGAACGCGCCTCTAGGAGCATTGATTCTAGTGCCTCTAGAGTCCCTTTCTCTTTACAGGATGAAGTCATTATGCAAGCCTTCAATGGACGAACTAGAGCATCTGCTGCAGCAGAGCATGAGAAATAGGGTGGATCTTTTCTACGAGACAATTTAAAGAATCTCTGGTTTAGAGCATAGAGAAACATGGACTCTACAAGCATATCCTTGTAGTCTCTCACTGTTTTCAGCTCATCTGCTGGCATCTTATAGCTAATCATCACTGCAGACTGCGACAAGCCAATAAGGACAAACAGCATTAAAATAGAGAATTCGATACACAAGTAGAGTTGTTTTAACATTTCCTTCAGATTTCAGTTTCAAAATGCACTCACGCCAGCAGCTTCAGATTCAACAAAACACGAATAACGTGATTCCTCATGAGATGGAACTTGAAAGATTGGTATTTGTGGAGGTTCAGGTTCTGAATATTTCGCACCAAAATGCATCTTTATCAACTCAACTACACTCTAGAGGAAAAAGAAGAGGTTTAGAAATCGTCGAGAAATCTTATGCAACACAAATTTAGAATTCAAGATCTACATAGAGGAGAAGAGTTTGTTAAGCAATTTTGACTAGAAAAAGTTAAATTACAATAGAAGAAATTAACATATTTCAAATTCGAACCTTGGTATCAGAAAAATCTCCAACAGCAATTACTGCCATGTTATGCAGATGGTACCATTTCCTGTAAAATTGCTTTACAGTCTCGGCAGAAACAGTCCGAATCACCTTCTCTAATCCAATTGGCAAGCGATCAGCATACTGTAACGAGACAAAGTTTTGTGAAAAACTTGAATATAATCACAAAGCAAAACAATCAGGCCTGAGCTCATTAAAGAACTGATAGGAGCCTCCTGAATGCAATTATTAGGCAATGACTCCACGCAAGTCGCAAAAACTAACCTAAGGATCAAAATAAACAGCAATACCTTTGAACCTTGCATCATCAGAATCCAATGGGCATCCTGCATTCTTCCGCTAGCATTCCTATTGCCTCTATACTCTTCCATAACAGCCCCTCTTTCTTTCTCCAAATCATCTTTCGATACCCTAACCTACACATAAAATTTGCATATCACTTGTGCTAATGTATATTAACAATTAACCAAAAGATCAAGCAAAGCCACTTTTGGATACCTCAGTACTGAACTCAGCCAAGACAGAAATGGCTTGAGATAGCAATTCCGGCTTGTCAACAGGCACAAACAGCTCATACACAGTCTCATCAGCAGATGTGACCGCATTTTGACAAGCGCCGAACTCTGCTCCAATACTCTCAAGAAACTTAACAATATCGTGATTCGTGTATTTTTTAGTAGCGCTAAAAGCGAGATGCTCTACTATGTGAGCTACTCCTCGCTCATCTTCCTCTTCCAAAACTGAGCTGCCACAAAACCGATCAATCAGCCAATAGAAACCAAAACTACTAGCCGGACACATATCGTAAAATGCAAAATTCGTGTGAAATTGCGTACCCAGCCTTGACAGCGAGAGCTAGAGCGGCACGCATTCGAGGCTTGGAATTCCGGCGAACATAGTAAAAAAGGCCATTATCGAGGCGACCATAGTCAGCGCCGAAGGGCTGGTCATCTAGAACTTGGTCAAGGTCAACGTTAACCAGTTTCAGTGACCGAAAACGGTGTTTATTAGCGATCTTTGATGTCTCCGACGGAAGCAAATCCATCTCTCCCTCCCGTCGAATTTCCTTTCCACTCTTGAGAGGACAATTTGAAAGATTGCGTGTCTGTTATAAATATTTTTTTACTTTTACACGAAATATAAAATTTTGAGGGTTCTTTTTATAATTTATTTATTTATTTTTATTTTTTAAAAAACGGAATGGCAGATATTTAATTTTATAATTCTAATATATTTATTAGCGTGACGTGTTGGGCCTACTAAAACCAGGGATCTTATCTCTCTTGTCCAATGAGAAAACAATTAGCTGCTGCCTGTAGTATTTATTTGCTCTTTCATTTTTCTTTTTTCAGAAAGTAAGATGCTACACAAGTTATAAGGATAAATTAACGTTCAGTCCTTCTTGTTTAGTGAATTTAATTATTTAGTCTAAATTTTTTAAAACTATATTTATGCGTTATGCTTATGATACTGAGATTTGCTCCTAAAAATTTATATTTTTTACAGTTAATTTTATAAAAAGACTAAAATATCTTTTATATTATTGGATTTTTTCAAAATAGATTTTTCATATATTAAGCTCTTATTATTATAATTCTTTACAGGCCTAGCCTAAATTAGATAGGCAATGTAAAAAACCCAAATGGAAAACAGGATAGAAGCTCAAGCCCAGTCCACTTCGCAGAAAGTTTGTTCTCGATGGGTGGGCTCGCCCCATCTCTCTAATTCACAAGGAAAGGTTAAAAACGTCATTTGTTGCGGTGTCCAAGCTAGGGTTTTATGTTCCATTTTATTTCAACTCTCATTGTGTAACGCCCCTCTGTTCTGCTATCCATCGCTGGCTAAGGTCTCTCTTCTCTCTGTCTCTCTATTTGAGGTATTTGATTCATCTTGATATTAAATATTAGTGCAAAACTATCGATTATAAATGTTGGAAACTTTAAAGTGACAAGTGCGTTGCTGAATGCAGGTAGGTCGTCTTGAAGGGGAAAATATTTGAGTGAAAATGGTGGACAAGACAAAGGGGAGAAAGGAGGAGGTAGTGACCAGAGAGTACACCATCAACCTCCACAAGCGCTTGCATGGCTGGTAAATTTGTGTTTCTCCAGTTTTACCTGAAAAGTCTATTTTGTACTTCCAAGGGTATATATATATATTGTTTTTCATACTGCTGCTTTATTAGTAAAGCATCTAGCTTTTGAATCTATCAATATCTCCAACATAGATTTTTAAAGTTTCGGCTAAAATATTGAACTGGATAGTTTAATGGGTGCTTAGTTTAATGGTTTGTGCATTGTAGCTTGAAACAGTGATTGTTGCTGGTGACTTATTATTTGTTGTGTATCGGTATCAAATGGCTTGGCTTTTATCTTAAATGTGGGTTGCAGGGGAGTCCTTTGCAAACAATTGAACAAAAGAGTGTGATTGAGTTGGTCGTTATGGACAGTGGATCCATATCATGAATTTAATTAAATATGGATTAGCATCTTTTTTTTAGTTCTTCTGGGAATAATTTTTGACACAGTAGAAGTTTTGATTGATTATCTTATCCTATTGATTGAATCCATATCTAAATTGCCTCCAATATATTGATCAATGTGCAACAGAAACTTGTGTAAATATCCTCGACTAATATGAGTTTGTGTCTCAGGTTGACTGAGTGATATTCGTCTTTGTCTGGTGATATTATTGTTCTTTGGTTTTTTAGTGGTTTGTGACATACATTAGTGATTAAATGCTAATACTCAAAATACTCAAAAAATGATTAAATGCTGGCATTAAATCTAATTCATATGAAAGTGTGGACCGGCGCCACATCTTTTATATATTCTTTACTGATTGTTGCTTAAATTCTGGAAAATAGCACCTTCAAAAAGAAGGCACCCAAGGCCATTAAGGAGATCAAGAAGTTTGCTCAGAAGGCTATGGGAACAAAGGATGTGAGAGTGGATGTCAAGCTGAACAAGCATATCTGGAGCAGAGGGATCAGAAGTGTCCCAAAAAGGATCAGGGTTCGCATTGCTCGCAGGAGGAATGATGATGAAGATGCCAAAGAAGAGCTCTACTCTCTTGTCACCGTTACAGAAATCCCACCAGAAGGATTGAAAGGTCTTGGCACCAAGGTCATTGAAGACGAGGATTAGTCTTTCTATTATTGTGTTAAACAATTTCCAATCATAGGTTAAAAGGTTAATTGGGAAGTTTTGCAAATCTTTGAGTGCTTTCAGACTGATTTTAGTCTATTATTATCATCATCATTCAGATAATTTCTTTGCTGTTAAGATTTTCAGACAGTTGTTTACCATGTGGTTGTAGTATGCCGTTATTATCAATGCTTGGCCTCTTTTTTGGGACGTAAAATGCTTCCTCTTCGACCGTTAGTGGCCGATTTCGAATGTGTCTTTTTCTGGATCACTTGTATGTACTATAGCTGAACTTGTTATATTTTGGGGATGCCAACTTTTGATGCCTAATTGGTAGTTGAAATTCCAATACTGAAAAACCAAAATTTATACTTCGAACAATCCTTGCCAATCATTCAATTGTTCTTCTCACCCATCAATGCAATTTTTCTCTATAATTGTGTGGGCGAACAAGAACATATCTGGTCTAGTAATGCACTTATTCTTACTCATAGATATAATTATCTGTGCCACAAATCACCAACAGCAAGCCACATGCAATCAAAAAGAAAAAGCAGGAGAATGTCACCACAAAGGAACTTGTGGATTATAAGAGACTGGAGTTTTAAGGGAAATGTCTGCAAAAACCGTTGCCATAAATTTTTGGAGATGTAAAATTTAGAAGAGGAAAAAAAAAAAGCATCATGACGACTTCGTCAATGTATGGGCTTCACGCCCACCACCCATCATGTGATCACTCGTGAAATAATCAAAACTGTAGTGGTTTTACAGAAAGGTACAATTAGCTTGTTTCTATATATGATGCTATTCCCTCCCTTTCAAATCAGTATTCTAGTAACTAAAAAAAAAAAAAGCATCATGACGACTTCGTCAATGTATGGGCTTCACGCCCACCACCCATCATGTGATCACTCGTGAAATAATCAAAACTGTAGTGGTTTTACAGAAAGGTACAATTAGCTTGTTTCTATATATGATGCTATTCCCTCCCTTTCAAATCAGTATTCTAGTAACTAAGGTCAATCTCAATCAACTAGAAAATGAAAATGCCGCTGGACAGAAATTTAGCTGGATTTGAAAGCATACATGTAGCTTCTAAGTTTTCTCACTTCTTCTGATGACTCATTAAGTAGATGATCAACATAGAGACAAATCCCAGCTCCACTGCAATTTCAAAGGGAAAAAAAGTCAAATTCTAAATGAACTATCAATTTAACAGTTATAGAATAAATGGTGGCAGGGACAAGTACCACCCACCTAAGAGGTCCAATTGGAAGCCAGATTGCATCCCATCGGAATCTTGACATCCTATGACAAAACAAATGCCATTCAAGAATATTGAGCATATTAGACAGGGTTTTGTTTTCAACTCCTGCTGTGGATTTGTGCAGCGAAGGGGCAGAAAATGCCAAGTAGTCAGCAGTTAGGCAGTAATTTAAGGTGCAGAGAACATGGAAACAAAATAAACCAAATAACATTTGTGTGAATTTCAATAGCATTGCCAAGTTCGAAATGACTCATAAACTTTCTTGTCTAAGTCTTGACAATATCAATTGATCATGAACTCAGCATAAAATTTAGATATGGTAAATGCACCAACTAGATATGTAAGAAATATATGTACCTCAGCATGTAATACAACCAGAAAACTGCCAGTATAGCTCCAGTAAAGCATGAGTACCAAATCCATCGCCTACGATGCTTTGAATTATGAAGTAGCCCCAAGGTGGCCATTGAGCAAACTAAAATAGCTACCCAATCTAATCAATCCATAAAAAGTTAGCGTTGGAAATGCTTCTTACTATTAAGCAAATAAAGCAACAATAAAGATAACAGAATGTTGGGAAGGTGATTTCTGATTAGTAAAGTAATTATATCAAATTTAAAAATTCTCAAATGTAATCCATTGAGCAGCATAAGACAGATCAAGCTCTCTTGCAAGTCACATTGATCAAAGCAAATCTGATTTATGCACATCATTCATTGCTCCATTTTCAGGTGGAACCACCTTAAGTTCTATCTATTAAGGAAATACATCCAACAGCTACCCTTTCCTACATGCTAGATCAATGATTAATAGGAATGCTACAAGACAACCACAACTCGAGGCTATAAAGTCTATAACAGGAAAACAATGGAATTGGAGGACAAAACGTATTTGAGCAGAAAAGATCAAGATAAAAAGCATGTAGTCAGCTAATAAATAGTGGAACTAAATTTGGAGACAAGCAAGAAGAGGCAAACCTGCAGATATTACCATCCACGACTCCATATCTTCCATGAAATAAGCCTGATACCTCTGTTAGTCAAAAGGCAATAAAAGAAAAATGGTAATTCCACAAAAACAAATTAGAATTCCTAGCTTCCATAATCTACTTCATTGAAGTGACTGATTTCGTTTACCAGTTCCCATGGAGAAGTTGCCATCTGGTAAATGGAGTACAGTTGAAACACAGCATAGCTGAAAAGAAATCCGGCGAACACTCTCTATCAAAGAAAAAAAAATATCAATAATAATCAAAATAAGAAAAAGGGAACCCATAATTGAATAAAATTGAATTAAGATAGCTACGGCTAATAAGAACTATGAAATATGAATACCCTCCAAAAAAGGGATTGCTCTGCTTGCGTCCTTTCAAGCGATCGGACCAACTCCTCTTGTTCTGTGCGTTCAAATGAAAAAGAAAATCAGAAATGGTAAGTAATTAAACCCCGTTTGGTCGCTGAGAAAATAATTTTTCGGCGTCCTTAGAGAAACCTTCGGTATCCAAGGGACGAGAATCATCGAGAGAGGGATCATCACGAGTTGGGAGAGATAACTTCTCTTCATGAGATTTTCGCCAATTTCTCGCTAGCTTCTTCATTTCCTTCCTTGGTCACTTTGGTGCGTTTCTGGGAAAAAAATTAAAAAGGGATTTGGGATTTTTTTTTCCTGTTTTCCTCTTTTTATTTCTCTATTCAAAGACCAAATGTTATAAAAGTCTTTCTGAATCGATTTGTTTATCCATTTGGAAAATATTAAAAATGAAAAACATAATAATCATTTGCCTTTATTTTTGTCAAATTACACTAATTTTAATTGATAATCATATACTGTATTTTTCAATTCAACTATTTTGATATTCTGGACCGTGAAGGTACATATGGCTCCAAGGCGCAAGCACTCATCAAGTACGATTAAAGCAAACCCTGAATTATTTGTTTATTTTTTTAGCTTTAAAATAAAAAATGTTATGCAAAAGCCTTACCTACTACTGCTACTGATTTTTGCAGAGAGATTGTTCTATCCAGCTACAACAAATTCACCCTAAAACCTTTTAAGTTGAAATAAAAAAATTTCCGCAATTCCTAGCTTCTGAATTTGAAAGAAAAAAAGAGCTCGCGATCTGAAATGGCCAGGTTCGATAGGACTAAATCATGGTAATTGGCAAACGTCTCACCACTCCAATACTGCTGAATGGAATAGATCAGCAACCAGTGCATCAATTAACCTGTAGCAATTTGCAATGCACGCACACAGGGAGAGAGAATACTCTTCATTGAAGATTACACAATCAATTACTGAGCAGACAGAAAGAACCAAACAAAAGTGACTCACATTCACCGCTATGATAAGCAACTTAACCAAAATGCATTTACAAATAAACAATGAGCTCAGCGTGTAAAGGAGCATAATTTTTAAATTATATCCGAGATCCAAGTAGCCAAATAAATTAGAGACGAAATTTAGATAGAAAACACTGTTCAGTTGAATTTTAAAGGCAAAATACTAACATCAACACTCTATTAGTAAACAGAATATCAAAGATCTGCTCTCCCTGGGTATCTAGGGAAGGGGATGACATCTCTTATATTGTCAATGCCAGTGGCGAATAGTATCATCCGTTCAAAGCCTAAGCCAAATCCACAATGCTTTACTGTCCCAAACCGCCGCAAGTCAAGGTACCACTCATATGGCTCAAGAGGTAGTCCCATCTCAACAATCCTGCAATGAAGGAGAGCATAACCAAATAAAAATGCACTCTTCAGCAGCAAATTCAGTTTATATGAAAAAAAAGAAAAGAAAAAGCAGCAATTATTCTTAAACTAATGTGAAACATTCCATAATATTTCATACCTTTGCTGAATGACCTCCAAGCGCTCTTCTCTTTGGCTTCCGCCAATCAACTCCCCTACCTGAAACATAAGACCAATGCCATTTTGAATAATATGCAAGAAGGTAGAAAAACAAAAACTACCGAGTCAAACATAAAAATCAAGAAAAGACTAAAGGTGCAGATATACCTTGGGTACAAGGACATCCATTGCAGCTACTGTCTTTGAATCATCATTGAGCCTCATATAAAATGCTTTTATCCCTTTTGGATAGTTGTACACAATGACAGGCTTCTGAAATAAAACCTCTGTCAAGTATCTAGGAGGACATACAAACCAACAGATCAGGATAAATCAAGCAGATATAATTCAAGAACTGAGAGAGAGAGAGAGAGAGAGAGACCTCTCATGCTCTGATGCCAGATCTATTCCCCATTCCACCTTATTCTCAAACTGCTTACCACCTTGTACAGCTTTCTCTAACAGTTGCACTGCTTCTGTGTATGAAATACGCTCAAATGCGGTAGACGCTACCATTCTTAGTCGGTCAATGCAACTTTTATCATAAAGTTTAGCCATAAGTTCCATATCATCAAAACATTTATCAAGCAGCCACTGACACATATATTTCACATATGCCTCTGCACAGTTCATGTCATCCTGCAAAGGTAATCCTCTCAGAGCTTGAAACACACAATATCACCTGCACATATGACAAACTATAGATTTAAACAGACCTGAAGATCAGCAAAAGCTATTTCAGGCTCCACCATCCAGAACTCGGCCAAATGCCTGGAAGTGTGAGAGTTTTCAGCTCGAAAAGTTGGTCCAAATGTATAAACGTTGCTAACAGCACAGGCATAAGTTTCAACTTGTAGTTGGCCAGAGACTGTCAAAAATGCTTGTCGGGAAAAGAAATCTAGTGAATAATCAACCTTTCCATCTTTTTTGGGAATGCCAGGTTTAAGTTTAGATCTTTCCACCAGCCTTGAGACATTCTCCTTTGCTGTTGTCAGTTCAGCCACTGAAGCAGCTATCTCCTCCTTACTTGCTTTAGCAGATTTCAGTTGAGCCACAGCCTCTCCTCTCTCCTTAACAACAAGCTTAGCTGCTTCAATTTCAGCTTCTGATGGAGGAGGATTCTGAATCAGCTCCTTCTCTATCTTTTCAATTTCACTTATCAAGGTGGTAACTTGAAACATTTCACCGGCACCCTCACAGTCACTAGTTGTGATAATTGGAGTATGAACATATAGAAAACCATGCTCTTGAAAGAATGAGTGGGTGGCAAAAGCAAGTGCATTGCGAATCCGGGCAACAGCAGAAATCTGGAACACCATAACATTAAACTGTAATGCTATTGCATAAAGGATTTCTACAAGTCAAACTACAACTGAGAGTTTAGCACACTGACAACAATTGACATTTAGAGGGAAAGACTGAGAGAGATCAATCAAAGCCAAAATCTTTGACACTTGCATAGAAACAAATAAACCAATGTCAAAACTTTCATTTTCCATTAATAGATCAATATGGCAGATCCACGTGTATTTTCTTAATACAACAAAAACTAAGCCTTGGATATGAATCCTCTGTTTCGAATAACTGTTATGGTCAAATTAATATCAATGCAAAGCAAAGTATAACTCAGAAAAAATTTTGAAATGATTTTTCTTAATATGAATTCAAAATAATCTCTACTGTAGAATCGCTCGCCCTCAACAGTTATCCAATTAAAACAAACTTTAATATACAAAAAGAAATCTATAATCTAAATGGAAAATATGAGACAATTTACCGTGTTTGTTCTGGGTCGAAAATGGATACGATCCCTCAAGAACTCAAGCGTAAGCTTCGTCTTAGGAATCGGGTACTTAGCCGGGTCAACGGGTCCAACATGGAGCACTTTTTCAACTCGGAGCTCAATCTTCTGTTTGGTTCCTTCAGGTGGCTCTTTGAGGACGCCCTCAACGGAGACGCATGCGCCAGTGTGAACCAGCGGGCTCAGATCCGCCACTTCCTTCTCCACAATAACCTGGAGATTGGCAGAACACGAGCCGTCGTTCAACTCCAAAAAGGCGAAGGATCCTTTGCCCTGCTCTCTTCCGGTCTTCACCCAGCCGCCAATTCGCACGCGTTGCCCACAGAGGCCAGTTCCTCCGTCGGGCCGATTGACAATGGATCGGATAGGGACGCGGTCCGAGAAGGGGTGCTTGAGAGCTGTGGCGTCTTGCTGGTCTTCCATTGGTGGTGTGAGAGTCTAAACTAGGAGAGATAGGAAGAGAGTCTCTGTGGCTATCAGATTAAGCGCTAATGAAGAATTTTGCTAAAACCCTAAAACAGCTGTTTTTTATGTGTGGATGCCGAAAAGACCATAGTAGTGCTAGGAATATGGCAAAAATTTAATATTTTGGTCAGAATGCGCCCTTTAATACCGCTTGAATGGTCCGTATATTGGGGGTTTATATTGACTTTCGAACACGTTACTGTTTTGGAAGGTCATTAAAATGATGAAGATTCTAACGCATGGAATCTTCACCTTCATGACTTGCAGGCCTGGACTGTGCATCTTTATTTCATTCCTTGTTTTTTCAGTGAATTATTATTTAGTCCTCAATAATCATATCAAATATATAATTTCGAAGCCTCTATTTCTAGAATTTAGTTGTAAAGTCTCTTGGATTTATTTTTATTACATGATTTAATATTTCTGTTAAATTCAAGGTCGGAATCCGAAAATAAATTTTGGGAGTGTCCAATAAAATATTTTAAATTTTTTAACGGACAAAATAATAATTTACTCTACAATTTTTTAAAAATTCAAAATTCAACTTTTTTTTCTTCTCAAAAAAAAAATTTAAAATTCAACTTGTTTGAAACTTTATTTAATAATAATAATAATAAATTTATTTAAAATATTAATTATAGTTAAATTTAATTTAGTCATTTTAAATATTGTGAACATTAATTCGTTATAAAAACTAAAATCATTTAACTCATGTTGAAACTTAGTGATATATCAAACCATTTCAAATAGAAACCTGAAAGTAAAGAATGTCTTGAACTGCTTTCATATATATTTATAAAGATATAAATTTTATGCACAATATTATTAACAATTGCTTGGCAATTGACAACAAAAGTTCCTGAGAAAAAGTCTTAGCTGGGCTGAGATATTCTGAAGTACTGATTGGGCAACCCAGCAGAACTGGCTCAAACTTTATAAGGTTCTCTTCAGTTCCACCACGAGTCCTCAAATGGGCCAATTACCCAACCCATTATGAAAACACGGAACGGGCTCTACGAATTTAACCCAAAAAAAAGCCTTATTGTCATTTTGATATCCAAGTCGGCCCGCGACAATACGACCTGCCTATATTAAACTGCCAGAACCCTAACCCTAATTTCTTCATTCGTTGCTCTTTATCTTTCTCACCGCTTGTATCAAGCTTCAGAGCAACAGCTCCCCCACTCAGCAGAAAAAGCTCAAGAAGCCGCCATGGGTAAGGCTCGAGTGTCTCACTTCCCAGTTCATCTTTTTGGAATACGGCCTTAGTGTCGCTGAAGCTCACAATCATCGTTTTAATGGTGGATTTGATTTGCAGGTAAGGTTCATGGATCTTTGGCTCGTGCTGGTAAGGTTAGAGGCCAAACTCCGAAAGTGGCAAAGCAGGACAAGAAGAAGAAGCCACGTGGCCGCGCCCACAAGAGGATGCAATACAACCGACGTTTCGTCACCGCAGGTAATCTCTTCGCTTCATCTAGATTTTATCACTTTCAGATCTTAAAGTTGTTCCCGTTAAGATATCCACTAACTATGAAGGGAGTCGTTTTATGCTTTTTTTTTCCGTTAAAACATTTTGTATTTAGTGGTGAACAATAACATATCTATGGTTGGTTTGCATAGCGAAAGACACTGTTTTATTTAATTGGGGAACCATCTAACAGAAATCAAGGGCAAGCATGATTCCCAATTTGCATAAAATTATTGTCATGATTTTCTGTTTGATCATAAGGTTTTTGAAAATTCAGAGATGTATTTTCTAAGTTTTGCCGAGCTATTACGTTAAGAGATGGAATTTTGTTATTTTAGAAATCGTGATACTGCTTTAAATTAGGTTCTAAGAATCTGTTGGTTTTTATCTCTATTGCAGTTGTGGGTTTCGGCAAGAAGAGAGGACCCAACTCATCTGAGAAGTAAGGTGTGACAGGATAACAAGTTTTTAATAGTTATGTAGGTGAAGTCTTATATTGGTTGTTTTGGATTATGTCTCTTGTTTTTCTGGGTACTGGCATACTGTTGAATTTTTGATATTTAGACTCAGACAATGTTGAGCATATTATCCTTTTTTGTTTTTGTTAATTAGAATTATGTGATTTTGTTACCCAAATTTCGTTATATTGCATATCTTTATTGTCATGGTTCTCAATATTGCTGTGGTTTCAGCTATTTTGATTATCTGTTGACCTTCCATTATGACAAACCTAGTTGGTTTCACGGTTATGGAATGATAGTTTGTGCAACTTTTTTATAAGATACTGATTTATACTCCGGTCTCCACCACCACAAGCTCGCAGTCATGAGTGGAAATGCGCCAAATGATTTAGATTTACCAAACGAATGTTTGATTTGTATGGGAGTGAATTAAAAATTTGAATCATTGAAGTTAAATTTGCTTTTGTTATGATTATGGAGTTGTGAAAGGAAAATATGTAATTAGGGATCTAGATACAATGTGGTTGTAGTCGGCGCTTGAGTCATCCTTTTCATGGAGGTAATGAAAACCATGCAAACACATACGCTCCTTTCAATTTTGAGGATGATAACTTGTTTGGCTTAAATAGAGGAGAAAGCGAAATGAATTAGAATAGGGCTAATTCTCTCGTGAAAAGGATTTGTTTGAATTAGTTTATCGGTTTCGTTGCTGTAGGAAGATTCTTGCCTAGTATACTCAATCTAACACCATATGGTTCTTGAATTTAGGCTATTGTAATAATATTTTATGGTTATTGGGAATGTTAATCTAACACCATGTAGCTCGGTCAATTCTTGCTAGAACGGCCTTTACGCCTTTTATTTATCTTGCAATTGGAATCATTGTATGATTAACTACAAATTCTTTTTTTTTATTTTAAATATTTGAAATCGATACTGAATTGTTGAAACGATCGTCCGTTTGACCCTGTTAAACATTTTGAATTTTATGTCATCGTTTCATTTTAAAAAAATAAACGAATCTAACCACACGGCCTGCATATCAATAGATTTCCACTTCAATAGGTCTTGCTTCGACGATGGAATTTCTCGATTCCCGTTCACTTTCCTTTTTCCAAAATACGACCGAGATGAACGACAGGCCGTCAGAGGGCGAAATGAACGACTGGCCCTTATCTCTAATAAAATAGTGGATTGATGGTGATGTCTAAGTAACTTGAAAAGGCCCTTTCTTTCCTTTGTCCAGGGGAAAACAAAGTTTAACGACGTGAACCAGTGAATCATAAATCCTGAAGGCTAACACTGATTTTTCTTCTTTGTTTGACATGGGTCTCGTTTGGAGGAGAATTTTAAATTTTAAGCAATTGCCAAAAAGACAATGTTCATCAGCTGGCTAATTGTGTTGTGTCATATTAGGAAGGATTGGAGCGTGAGAAATAAACCTAAACATCAAAGAACATAACAATATAAACAAGCAAAATCCATCGCAGACAACAGAGTAATTCAGCATCTAATCGAAGAAATTTTTAATAAATCCCTAGATTAAACCTAAAAAATGGAATCTTGACATGAGGCTGAACGATGCCAATTATTTATATATAGAGAAAGTGAGAGGATCTCTTTCTGCAATATTAAGGCAATCCATCAATCCTTCGTCACCTACACTCAATATAATGTATTATTAGCGTGACATCAATATAGCTTACTCGCTATATGAATATTGAAAAGAAAGGGAAGCAAAAAATTTGAGTTGTAATTACCATGCGCCTTGAGTTATTTTTGCAGTAGTGAATGACAGCTTTAATCTTCTCATCATCTTCAGCATTCACTCCAGAATAAAATTGTGGCGAGGATCTAACTGAGTGCACGCTTTTGCTCCTTGAATTCCCATAATAGATTTCCTTGCTGTTTTGTGAATTTATAGGACTCAAACAGGTAAAGTAACGGGTTAAAAACTTCCAAATCTTGCTGCTGGATGGTTGTTTTGTTGATGGCACCATTGCTAATGTGGAGATGGATGGTTCAGAAGGAATCTTTAAACTTGGACTTGAATTCAACCGTGGCTTTGAGTTTGAGTGTTGGAGAGTAGAGGAAACTGGATTTGATTTGGTGTCTTTTAGGGTATTCAGAACCCAGCTATCACTGTGGGCATCATATTTCAGCAGTGTCTTCGCCATTGTTATAAGCTGGGTTTAAGATTTAATCCAAGTTTTTTGTTATTATTGTTCAATTGATTTTATAGTGTTTTTATAAGCATTATGTTATTGTTAAATGTTCATAGTCTATACTGAATTAAAGGCTGTGATTTAGGCTTCGTTTGTTTCCATAAAATAACTTACTGAAAATGGAAAATATTTTTCAAATGACTTATTTTTTATTGTTTGTTTGTAATATTGAAAATTAGATAAAATATTAAAGTTTTTATCTCATAAGACCATAAAAAATATTAATAATAAAAGAAATTTTATAATTTAAAATTTTTATTGTTAAATATGAAGAAAATGCAAAAAAAAATATATATATAGATTATGAAAACCGCCGGTGGCCAGTGGTGGTGGTCTGTGGTAAATGGTGACTGGTGGTAGTGATTATGATGATTAATAAATTAGAAAATATGTATTTTTAAGGTTTGTCAATTTTATTCTCTCGAAAATGGAAAGTTATTTTGCTTAAAAAATAACTTAATTTTCCATTGACTTATTTTCCTGAGCGTCTCAAATAATGAAAAATTATGTAAAATATTTTCCTGTAAGTTATTTTACGAAAACAAATGTAACCTTTAGTTGCTTCCATTTGTAGTACTTAAAGAAAAGGATTAGTGTCTATGGATCTACAATTAAATGATTCTCATTAAGTGGTTAACGCAGACTGGATTTCCTAGTTTAAGCTGTCAATTTTGAAGGTAAGTAAAGCAAGCAAATCAATTAATTGAATTGATTTTTTTTTATTCTTTTTTGTGCAAATGTCCTGCAGAAAAGAACTGCATTAACTTCACTAGATCGCGGGCGACTTACTTTATTTAACTAGTTCAATGGTTTGAATTTCCCTCTTTCAACTTTAATTAATTAAATCAGTTAATTACGCCAGAAAAGTTGCGTGCTGTGATTTTCATGCCAAATTGTCTTAATTCTGGATGAAAATTATGAAATCCACAGAGAAACTAGTATTATCATTAACCATGCAGAATAAGTTTATAAATGAGGATAGGATTGGGGCTCATGAAGGGAAACACCACAAAAAAAGGTCCCCCAAAATCGAATCGAAGTACCCGTTTTTCGTATTTATGTTACTTATTTTTCAGCTTTGATTAATCAGTAGAGTGATCGAACAAGAAAATCTTTCTAGGTATTGAAGGTAGAGACAGAACTCCTCATACTTTGAGATGGAAACCAAAGTGACAAATAGCCCAATGCTAATATAGACACAAAATATGATAATGCACAGTCAATGTGAGCTCTGCAGGCATAAAAATATCCGAATCAAAATTCAAATTTACAGGTCTAGTTGTTTCTGATATGCAGTCAACAATTTGATAATGCTTTATGGCATTATTAACCTTTATCTATTGATTGCAATTACCTATAACTCATCGTGGATGTTTCCCTCAGATGGCTTGGATTCTGGTTGATATTCCAGTAAGTACCTTGTAGCTAATGATGCATATAATGCTGCGCCATATGGAAGCACATCTTCATTGACTGTGAAATATGGTGAATGACCATTTCGAATTGGTCCTTGAGATTCATTTTTCATCCCAACAAAGAAGAAGTATCCAGGAATCGCTTCTGCAAAAAAGGAGAAGTCTTCTGCTCCCATCACTGGTTGCATTTCGATAATGTTCTGTGCACCCAGCATGTCCGTTGCAACATTTATGAAATGCTTGTGCAAATCTTGGTTATTTACAGTTGCTGGGTAAAAGGGCTTCTCGTCTGAATTAAACATGACAGTTGCATTGCACCTTTGAACACTAGCTTGTCTTGTAATTACCTGTCATTTTGAGTTGTGAGAGAGTTAATATCCAGGACCGACATCCTTATCCATACAACAAGCTTGCAAATTCAAACAAGCAAATGAAATAAACAGTAGGATATGACATAGCAAATATACCTCTTCGATTCGTTGTTTGAGTTGAATAAAGCTTTCTTTAGAAAATGCCCTGAATGTGCCACCAATAGTAACAGAATCGGGAATAACATTAAATGCTTCACCTCCTTGGAATTTTGCAATTGTTACTACCTGCATAAATCTTCTTTATGTTAGAAATGCTTTTTGAACATTCAAGAGTAAGTATGAGCCATCACATTAGAAGAGATTGCACAAACATACAACAGGACAAAAAATTTCATAGCTCATCAATTTTTTATTCATAAAGGGGTGACTAAACACATCGCATGAAAGAGAGTATCCATTTCACCCAATTTCTACATAAAATAGCAAAGATTAATTGTGCGGAGATTATTTCCCTTATACTTAATAAAATATGGCATCAAATCCAGGCATCAAATATAAATGTTTGAGGAGAGATGACTCAGAGCCAACTGCCAGACCATGAAAGAGATTAACTTGCCCAGTGACATTGATTCATTTTACTTAGAAAGGTTCCACATAAGAGAAGGGAAAGTAGGAGTGGTAAAAGTCTATATGTCCTGAAACTGGCAATTAATTAGCACCACATGCACAAATGCATCTGTATTGGCGCATGTGTGTCTTTGAGAGCGAAAGAGTACCTGTGAATCCAGTGGATCAGCTTCACGCGAAACAAGATGTTGCAAACTAACAATCACATTGGAAGCTGCTATAATAGGATCTATTGAGTGCTGGGGAATGGCAGCATGTCCCCCCTTTCCACTTATAACTGCCTCAAAGAAACCACTCCCAGCCAAAAGGGGACCAGCTCTTGAGCCAACTGTACCAATAGGATGCAAAAAAGAAACATGCAACCCAAAGATGGCATCAATATTCTCGAGCACTCCAGAATCCAACATTCTCTTGGCTCCCCCATGTCCTTCCTCAGCTGGTTGGAAAACAAGAACAACCGTTCCCTATCAAAACAACCAAAATAATCATAATTTTATTTGAAACCTAAAATTGCCATCTTTCATTATTGCCAATTAACTAACAGTACAGGAAACTAAATGATAAGGAAGAATAAACTTTTGCTCCACAGCGCTGAATTCCATCAATCATGAACAAAGAAGGTGTACAGCGAACTAGTAATATAGAGGAAGCTAGTCAGAGACGGTCGTTGGTACAATACACAATAGCATGGGAAAATGGAAACAAGAAAATGACAAGCATTTTTTCAGAAGACTATATTCTTACACTTCTTTTCAAGTCTTCTATACAAGACAGTTAGTATTCTTATGCCATAAGATGATTACTTTTATCAGACTTCATGTTGGATTTCTGACCACATTATCCATAGGGTTCTGCTGCCTCTTCCTTTTGGCTCAGATTTTCAAAGGAGGAAAGGTAACAAGAAATCCACAATATGTGATTGCTAATCCTATTCTAGATTTGCAGAACATAAGAACCTATTGATCCAGTCCAACGTAATGTCCCTTTCATGAACTAGAGTAAACGCATATATGGAAATCCATTCAGGGTTTTTGTGATATAATTAACTTAACTAGGGCTTTCGAATCTTACCTCTAATCTCCATTTCTAATCAATCATTGGATTCTCAATTATAAGGCAAAGAGAGAACAATACTCACCAATGAAATCCAAAATAAACAAAGGTAAATCATTCCACAAAATGCGGCAATGAAACCATAGAACTCCATAGAGCTATAAAATGGATATGTTAATCAACAAAAAATATGCAAAGAGATTAAACCTTTAACTCGTTGCGATGATCTTGAAGAATCTTAGCAGCACCAAGAAGCATTGCCACATGGGCATCGTGTCCACAAGCATGCATTTTACCAGGAACTTTACTCTTGTGCTCCCATTCCACAGCCTCCTATAATGACAACGACCGAATAAACTAACTTGTTATTCATCAAATCACAATCCTCTTGCAACTAAAAAAAAAAAAAAACAACAGAAAACTCAAAGGAAGCACAAGTAACTCGATTTATTAAAGAAACTAAGTCCAATATAATTAGAGAAAAGAAAAGTCAAGTAAAGAAACAAAACCTCCAGGGCTAGAGCATCCATATCAGCCCTAATAGCAACAAAAGGGGGTTCACCAGTCCCAACATAGCCAACAACACCAGTTACAGCAACTGGGTATTTATAGTAGATACCTAAATGATCAAGCTCAGCTCTAATAAGCTTACTGGTCTCGAATTCCTCAAAAGCAAGTTCTGGGTTCTCGTGGATTCTTCTCCTGATATTGACCATGTAATTTACAAGATCTTGTTTCCTTGCAAGGTCAAAGAAATTGACAGGGATTTGAGCAAGTTCTTCTGAGCTTAGATAGAGTATATTTGAAGAGATTAGCTTTGGAATAAAGGAATAGAAAACTAGAATCAAAGACACCCATTTGAAGAAGAGACCCATTACTTTGCACAGACTCAAGAAAGCAATAAGATCAACAGAGAGAAATTGTGTTCTTGTTAAAATGAACAATATCGGAGTAAGGAAAGCAAAGGACAAGAAGAGAAGCACCGAATACCAATCTTATAAGAGAAAAATCCAAATAAGTTATGTCAGCACTCATCAAGAAGAAGAAGGAATTAATTACTGTGTACACGCGTGGATTTATAAAGCAGCATCGATTTTTACTATCATGCTTGGTTCTGTAGACGAATAGTTCCTCGTCTGTATACATTAACGGTACTTCCATTTTGCCAATCCGTCATTGAGTTACAGCATATAGGCTGAACGGAACACCACAGGTCCGCAGGTCCACATGAAGGAGAACAATAAGGTGCGAGTATAAGCGACGTCGTTTGGAAGACCAATAGTAGTACTAATTATGATAAGTAGATTTAGCGATAAAATGTGGGACCCACAGCAAAAACTGACGAAGTGCGTGCCACGTGGAAATAGAGTGACTTCAACGCCGTGAAGAAAAGGCAAGGTTGCTTCCTCTCCGTCTCTGATTACAACACGCTTAAGAAAAGCCTAAACAAAATCCTCTACCCTTCTTCTCTCTATCAATCTCTGGTCTCATCGAAAACCCTAATCACTCAATTCAATCTCTTCCTCGATATCCTTATCGCCAAATTCAATTCAAAGGTGTGTGCATATGGTCATAATTTTTTTTTTTAATTTGTTATTGAGGAAATGAGTCTACAGTCGTTCCATATTCGATTCATCATTTTCATTTAGATCGGTTTCGATTTTTCGATTTAGGGTTTTAATTGATCTGATATTGTTGATTATGTTTGTGATCTAGAAGATCGAGGCAGCGTTGAATTTGTGGATAGGAATCAACCATGTTTAACCGGCTCTTTGGTAAACCTAAGCAGGAAACCAATGCTCTAACCACGTTAGACAAATTAAATGAGGTACAATAAACATTGGATTGTTCTTTTTTTTCAAACTTTAATTATTTTATTTATGTCTATCATATCTTGTGATTTTTTTTTCTTTTTGATTCCTGTTGTTCAGTTAATACATTAGGAAGGTTTCGATTTCGTTGATCATGTTGATTCTTTATCTGAGGCTTTCTTGATCCTTGAATAAAATTTGTAGCTTGTGTTAACAGTTTTAGCTTTCCTTTCATCAAAATTGAAATTTTCTTTATCTATATATGTTTTTGTTGGGATGGATAACTTTGGCCCTTTTAATGAGTATGATTTATGTTCTGTGACATTTTAGTTGAACTAAGCTTTAATTCTTTGTGTTGAATAGACGCTTGAAATGCTAGAGAAAAAGGAAAAAGTACTTATAAAAAAGGCTGCAGCAGAAGTTGAAAAGGCCAGGGAGTTCACACGAGCAAGAAACAAAAGAGGTATGCACTGTGCATTTGCAACTGCTATTCTCTGGGGGAATTCAATATTTTACTTGAATTTGTCCTCATGAGATTTTGTGTAATCATTTGCAGAATTTATTGATTAATATAATTGTCTTGCAGCGGCTATTCAATGTTTGAAGAGAAAGAGGCTATATGAACAACAAATAGAACAGCTTGGAAATTTCCAACTGCGTATTCATGATCAGGTTAGATTGCATTTCTAGAATTTTGGTTTCAACTGTGCTAATGATTTGATTTTGATTTTTTCTAAATTGATAAAAGTTAAACTCTAGTACCATGATTCTCAATGTTACAGATGATAATGTTAGAAGGTGCAAAAGCCACTACAGAAACTGTGGACGCATTGAGAACTGGAGCAGCTGCAATGAAGGCAATGCAAAAGGCGACGTATGTAGCAATTTATTTCATTTCACATCTCACTAGAATCTTAATGTTCAGGATTCATTTGTCATATCCCTGTGCTTAAATCATAAAATGGCCTTTCCCCTCTGCAATATTTGCATGTTATATTTCATTCAAGTTTTGCTTGTTGAATAAATGATTGAATCAATATGTATGGAATGGTTGATCTTTTTGCAGAAACATCGATGATGTGGACAAGACCATGGATGAGATCAATGAGCAGACGGAGAACATGAAACAGATACAAGAAGCACTGGCTACTCCTATTGGTGCGGCAGCTGATTTTGATGAGGTCGGTGATTTTGTGGAACATTTAAAACTTCTCCAGATTGGAACATTGTTCCAGAACAACAATTTTATTTGTTATAAACATAGATTCAATTTTATTTGTAATAAACATACATTTGGGGAACCATCTAAATAATGTTGACTTTTCAGGATGAACTTGAGGCAGAACTCGAAGAGTTGGAAGGTGCTGAATTGGAAGAACAGCTCCTTCAGCCTGCAACCACAGCTCCAGCAGCTCCAGTGCAAGTTCCAGCAGGCAGGCAACCAGCTCGCCCTGTTCCTCAAAAGCGCACAGCTGAGGAAGATGAACTTGCTGCCTTACAGGCTGAGATGGCACTTTGAGCAGGTTAAACATTTATTTTTTCTTGTAGAACTTAATAATTCAGCATTTTTTTTTTTGTTTATTAATTAATGCTATAAAAAGCTAGCTACTAATTCGCGAGCTATTGCCAAAGAGAGTTTGATCGGTGTGCTTGTGCTGAGCGATGGATTCACTTAACCTAATTCTTAATTATTTTTTTTTCAAGTTTGTCTTACAGAAAGTCTAAAACACAACTTAATGCAGTTGCATGCTTGTGTTATGTGCATCTGGATTTGATTTTCTTGGTTGGATGATTGCAGGTATTGATCCCTAGAATGCGAAGAGCTTATTTAGAGATTTGTATTTTTGAGTTCCCGGAACTCCTTTGGCGCATCATATGTTGCATTGAATGGTCTGAACAGACAATGTATATAAAGATTGCGTGAAACTAAACAAACCGTTCCCTTTCTAAAATTATGTAATCTGCATTTTGGAGCCTTGGATCCAGTTTATATCATCTTCTATGAACAAATAGTTTTTCTGTTATCGTGCATTGTTACCAATTTGAACTTTCACATCAAGTCGCCTACTTGTCCAAAAATTGTCTTCGAAGCACGTATATTTATAAATATGACAAATAAAGGTATAACATTATCTTGGCATTGATATTCGAGTAACTATTACCCATAATCCACAAATATTTATGCCAATGGATGCATATAGCCTTTTTTAATTAGTTTGATATTGAGGGTTTTTTTTCTTTTTCTTTTTGAAGGGTGTTCGATATTGAGGTTTAATTGTTGTATTACGACTGATATTTACTTTCTGCTGTTGGTTGGGTTGGGGTGTTTCTAATTATATATCTAGGGAACTGATATTGATGAAGTTCGTGATGTAGTTTCCAACCAATTTTTTGTTATATATTCTGTCAGTGTATCCTATAGTCTATTATCGTTGGCGACAATTGTGGGGAATGATATTGACGGGAATGGGATATACAAGCAATGTTGAAGGAAAACAAATTGAGCAAATAGAAAAGGAAAAATGTAGTGATAACCAATAACTAGATTGAAATAAATGGTTCAGCCAAGCTGAACACCATCCTGAAATTACATCTATAATCTTATCTCCGACCTTCAAACAGCTCAGTAAGCAATAGATGAACCAAAATAACAATACCGTAATAATGTATTTTGTCAGGTAAAATACAAGTTCAAAATTTTTTTTTCCAACGTTCGGAAGCAAAATTAGTAAATAACAATGGAGCTACGCCATATCGGTAAATACACATCAGAACCAAGTCATGAAAATCGATAATGACTAAGGAGTGAGCAACTTATAATTAAAATGTTGTAATCTAATTAGAAACAGCAGGAATTAAACAACCATGGTTTGATACCGAGGCATTATATTTCATCAACTCTCAGTAAGAAAAGTAATACTTTTAGTAGGTAGGAAAAACAAAATTGCATATACAGCTGGTTGTTCACTTGTGCAATATACCTAACAGTATATATATTAGAAGAATACAAGCCAAATTGTATTACCTAAGGGTTGCCTTCGAGCATCTGATCACCAACCGAGCTAAGTGGAGCAACTGCTAAAGGCTCCAAGTAATCAAAATCATCAGTTATTCCGATCTGCATATACATTCAAAAAGCAAGATCTCAGTGCTATCGCTGCAGTTACAAGAAGTTCACACATCTCTATGTGTACACGTGTCTTAGGAGAGAGACGTGTTTTAATCAAATTCCGGTCTAATAAAGCACTAACAAATGTTCACATTTGATTTGAAAATTATACGCACATATTATCAGTGTGCTCAATGCTCATACACCAACGTAATGTATTAACACAATTTATAGAGCTAAAATAGAAGTGGGTTATTGAATTAGATGCATGAATTGTAACTCCAAACAAGTAGCGATTATTTGGAGAAAAGTAAATTCCTAAATTACTAGTGTTTGACTGTGATTTGTGAGAAATATATATGGAAGGCCCAATGGGCTCATAGCACCTTGATGGTGAGATGGAGTGAACAAAAGGAGTGGATTGGTGTAGGGATCAACTTTGTGCTTCACAACTTACTAATACGAGCAATGTGCAGGGCAGAAGGAATAATGTACCTCCTTATACATGTTCTCAAGCTGCTCTTTAGCCTCAGGGAAGTTGTTTGAACACCATTGTCGCAACGTGAAGATGTTATCTGTGCGGTTTTTGCCGTGTAAGATTCTATAAAAATGCCAGCAGAGTTGCAGAATAAAGAGAAGCAAGCCATGTGTAGAAGTAAAACCTGTCCATCTGTTTGCTGCCGCATGGGAGACTTCAATAGCTTTCTCTGCAAAAATGAAATTGAACCATCATATCCATGCTTAGTAATATATTCAAGGGGTTAATATATCCATATAGTCTTCTCATAAAAAATATACAGTTCAAGCACCATAATGAAATAAAAAGAATTTTCTTAACTCATTGCTTCAAAGGCAGCAGGATCATTATCCGCATATTGTCCCATCTCCTCCTGATCAATTACTATTGTTAGAAACTTGAATAATTTGTTCATAATACTTGATGCATAATCAAGGCTCAGAATCAACCTTCAGTTCATTATGCTTTAGTTCAATGGCTTTTAGCTCAGCTAGTGCCTCCTCTCGTTCATCCTGGCAGAGGTCTTAGAGTAAGAAATAAGTAGCCTAAACTACTGATAGTAACACAGAACAACAACGCATAATGAGAATTAGAATTTCATATGCTTACAGATTCCTCACGTCCCTTTTTTAGCCCACCACACTGATCAACAAGTTCTGCATACCGCTTCTTACTACTTTGCACGTCAGATTCGAGTCTCCGGTATACATTCCTTAACTGAAACAAACAGTATAGACAAAGACTAAAACTTTATGACATTCTGCAAAGCACACTCTCTTTTCCTCACCTGATTTCCAGCACAACTAGGAAGACTCCAGAAATATACCTGAAATTTTAAAATTACGATAATAATGCGTGTCAAAGTGCATACAGATGCAAGCAAAAATGTTATATCTTCTGCATCATAAAATTACAGATTGAAATGACTTTTCCATGCAACTGCCAATTGGAAAATGGTTACTCACGGAAGTTCCTATCTTGTCTTTTGAAACAAGGTCATCATCAACTAAACTCTGGACAACATCTTTCACAGACTGGCTAATTACACCTTTTTTGGGGCCCAATTTCTCAAGCTCCTTAAGCTGAAATTATTAACCAACTATATGATTAAACAGTTTCGAAACTGTAATAACACTTTTATAACGTAAGAAGGAAGAAGAAAATTCAACTTTAAGTTTCATAATAAGAAAAATGCCATAGGAGTAACTCTTCACAATAATTAAAAGTGAATTTACTATACCAAACCTGATAAAGAAAAAAAAAAAAGGTGAATACACTTGATTAGAAAAAAATCACAGAATCTCTTTTCTCCATCCACAAAATCATTATTCATTTTTCTTTTAACATTCTACATTCACAACAGAGCATAAACAACTAAATTCTGTTGTCTAACAGCGTTTAATCAGATGATGATTCTATTAACAGTAAACTGAATTTCCATCCACAAACAACAGCGGGCAAATTATAATCTATCTCAGAGCAATATCAAAAAGAAGTGCTTCATTTTTTATGCTTCACCTTACATAACAAAGGCATGAAAGAAGTGTTGCAGCATGTAAAAGCTATTTCATCCAGGGAATACCAAAAGTTTGCAATCTCAAGTTGCTGATTACCATCATTAACAAGAAAGTTATGCAACCTAAGAATATAGAAAGTCAAGAGGCAGTGGGTCACATACAAGTGATACAGATTCCTTTATTTTCCACCATATGCGCTTTGCCCATGAACACCATTTTTGGTTGTGATGGGAGACATTAATTTCTATTAAAACCTCAAATCTAAGAACATGGTGGTGTAAATAAAGGGTATTTTCTCATGATAATAAAATTTTGAACTCTGTAAAGCCATAAATGAAGTTCACTCTAAAAGAATGCAGTAGCCAAATTCCTTTACAACAGCGACAACCTATTGATTTGAGAAAGGGGATTATACAAATTAAATAGCCCGCTAGGAAAACCGCTTATATTTTCTTGCAGATAAAAACAATCCATACAAAAATAAATAAAATAAGATTAGAAAAAAAAAAATCAGAAACCCTTCAAGAGTTCCAAAAAAGGAAAAAAAAAAATACAATACACTTACAAGGAAGAAATCCTGTGACTCATAAAATATCTGAAGAATCTTTTCACGTTTCTCGTCCAATGAAAGACCTCGTTTCTTAGACTGCATGACAATTAAATTAAAAATTAGATTTTATATGCATATGATCCTAAAACTCATTGGAATGATAGCTATCCAAGAAGACGGAATAGGAAATCAGTGCAAAACAAATAAGCAGCTACTATAATTATATATTGCAGAGAAACAGGTAATAATGGTAACTTTGACATGCTGAAATAAAAATGTTTTCATAGAAGAACACCAGGAACAATAATATGTTGTCTATGAATTACTAGCTACAGCAGTAAAAATCATTCGACAACAAATATAAGTTTCTATTTGATATTCATTTCTTTAAGGAAAACAAAAGGACTTCTGATAAGAACCATTGCCTCTGTGTTATAACACTCAATAGAAAGAAAAAGACGAAGAAATAGCCTTCACTAAGCAGCATAAATAATTAGGGAACATATGCTCATACAGTCACTCCCAATTTAACCCATAGTTGCCAATTTATTACAATTAAACCCTAATTTGAAACTCCAACATGGCAAGACATTTCTTCGAGCAAGTTAAGCTCATGAGAAATAGCAATGGTAGACTTCACTCCAAGGCTAAAATGGAGCAACAAACGCACTACTCAAGAAAAAAAAACTATATTATGTTTTTTGGCTGCTGATAAATGAAGAAAAATAAACATAGAAAATATGTTCAATTCATCGTTTGTATTCCCTGTGTCAAACTGAATGACTGACCCTAATAAATTCAGCTAAGAAAGAAACCTAAGAAGATCACAGACTTGAAATAATAAATTTTCTTCTCTTTAATTTTCCTGCGGTTTCTCACTCACCAAACAGAAAATTAATGCAGAGAGATGGGAACCATAGATAGAATCTAAATGTTAGGGCTCATGAGTCACAGGTCAGATCGCAATATAATTGAATTGAGTATCCAAACAAGAATTTTCAGATATATCATCAAATGTACATGAAACACCCTAAAATTTCAATTTGAATTAAACAAAAAGGAACTGCTATAAAGCATTTGAAAATATATATAGCAAAAGCAATCGTGATTGAGCTGCATAAAAACGAAAATCATAAAATAGTAGAGAGATTTGATTACCATCTTGAATGATATTATGCTTTTCCAGTTGTTGTAGAAAAAGAAGAGCAAGCCCTGGAACAAATCTGAAAAGTGTAGAGGAAGCCTGCAGATAAGAACGCTGAAATTTGGCGGGAAAAATAATTTCCCTCCATGCCAAATTACTCGATTGTCCTTGCCCAAGCGGTTAATTCCTAAACGAGTCCCCCTTTAATCTTTATAATTAGGAGGATTAATAACTCCTTTTATTATTATTATTATTATTATTATTATAATCTATATATTTATCTAAAGCGGATTGAATCCTTTGAATATTTCTTTTATATACATTTGCAATTTGTATAACACTATGTTATTATAGTATTTAATAATTAATTTTCATATGTCAATATACAATTATTTTATTTTCAACATTTTTTGTGTGAAATCACAGTCAATTGTTTGAATGCATACATTTGGAAAATTTTAACACGGAGCTTTCAGTTCAATATTATCGGCATGGAAATTGGAAAATGTGAAATGAAGAAATGTAGTTTTTTTTCCCCCGGCAACTTAATCAATTTTTTTAACAAAAAATTTATTTTTCATTATTTAATAAATTATGAATTCCTACCCATAAAAGCTGATAACAACACCACATAGTAAATTATTTGGTTTTTTAATAATTTTATAATATATAATATTTACTCTTCATATTATTCAATGCTTAAATAAGTTTTTAGTTTTAAATTTTTTCAAACATCATTTATATTTCCTCCATTCCACTTTAATAAAAGTCATATAATCAGAATTAGATATTACCAGTCATATGATTCCACTTATAGAGTATGGATATGTAAGAAATATATGAATTAATAAAATTGTCATAATTTTTCATAAAAGTCCTATGTTAATTATATCTATAATAATAATTAAAAAAAAAAAACAATTCCATCACTATAAATTGTACCACTTCCTATTTAATTTCTTGTATATATATCATGTCCCTTAAATCTCTCCATTTATATATTTATATATATAAAAGAATGTCTCTTATGGTCAATGATCTAGAAATTTTTATCTCGAAACATTAGCTTTTAATTAAAACATTTGAAATTGTGTTGAATACCAATCAATTAATTAATATATTGTGGTTCAAACCGACCATTCTGTAAACTGCAATCAACATCATGAACTAAAGAATCTTTTTAACAGTCGAATACCTAAATTCAACTTTACATAAATAGACAATTATATATGGAGGATAGATTAGAAAACAATTATTCTAAATGTCATATATATGATATCTCAATATTCAATTCTACATTGATGGATAAAATGTTATCATTCTGCTTCTATGTTCTATAATTTTTTTCTTATTTTTTTATATATCCCAAATAGATATCTTGTTTATTTTTTAAGAGTAAATAATATTTTTAAATTTAATATTTTATATTATTTAATATGTTTATTTATTAATCAATATGATATTCAAGCTAATGTATTATCTGTTTAATATAAACAAAATTAAAATATCAATCTTTAAATATTTTCTGGAAAAAATAAATTTATAATTTAATTTTATTAACTAAATTTTTTAATTTACTCAATCTCGAAAAGATAGTTCATCTTTCATTTTTTATTTGTCTCAAAATATAATTCACTTTCATTTTTTACATTATAGTTAGTTCTTAAATTGTCTATTATATATTTATTAAATTTCTCTTATATATTTTTAAATTAAAAATATTAATTTATTAATTATTATTTTAATATATAATTAAACTCATATATTTATTAGACGACATTAACTATAAAATTAATATTAATAAAATTATTAATTAATTAAAAATATTAATTTTTAATTATTATTTTAATATAATAATTACTCATATATTATTTAAGACGACATAATATAAAAATTATATTAATAAAATTATTTTTTTCACCATATTTCTTTTTCATCAAGGAAGAGTACGAGCATATATTAAAAAAGTTAAAAGGATGCCGCCGCCCCGAAAAATGGTCAATTGATTCGCATTTATTTATGCGACCATGCATGCATAGTCCACGACTTCTTCAAAATCTGTTTTGCAATTATTATTATTTGATGTCTTTTAACAAATTTTCCTGACTCCTGTTTTAATCAGGGATCGAAAAATACCAAAGCGCGTGAACCCTAAAATTAAAAGTATGAGCTGACTGTGCTGAATTTGAACTCCACTCGATAATAATATAATTGAGTTTAAAATTAAAATCAAATTCAGCTCGTATGGAATTTTTAATTTAAAAAATATAATTTATTCATCGAACTTTGAGTTTCAATCGCGTTTAAGATTAGTTTGTTAAACTTACATTCAATGAATTTATACGATTTTTTTTGAACAACTTATAAGTAATTTGAATCATTTAATATTTATTTGTCTTATAAAAATAATTATATTTTTCTTTTTTATTTATTCCAAATCTCTTTTTTTTTTTTTAAAGTAACCTTTGTAGTTTTTTATTCTACTTCTATTCAATGTATCTTTAAATAAATATATAATATTAATATTCTATTGACCAAAATATATATACTAATTAAAATTTGAATTTTTTTTTAAAGTGGATATTCTATAATACCGGAAAAACTGTGAGGATATATATTAAGAAAAATCAAGCAAAAAACGTTGTTTAACAATATTAACCTTATTATATTCTTGATTGTAAAAAGTCAAATTATATTTATTTTAATGGGGACAAAAGAAATAATAATATGTAGGATATTTTTCTTAGAAAAAAATAGCGGTTTGAACATGAAGATAAAGAAACATTCACTGGATGTAAACTTCTTAAAAATTGACATAAATATATTTTATATTTCTGTAATCAAATTGATGAAATGGGTTTAGTTTGATTCATAATATGATTTTACATGAGAAATCGTATTTTAAAAATGACACCTAGTTAATTTTCATATGTCTAATTCATCAGAAAATACTCTTAACGAAGAATAAAAAAACTAAAACACGTTTTCAGAACATAGTTCATTTTGAAAAATCAGACTCCTAAACTTGTCAGAAAAAACACAAACGGGACTGATGAATGGAAGGTTATTGTTAGACATGAGACATTTTCTTCCTCTTCGAATTGGATTATTAGCCCATGCAACTTTCATGACCTTTGACTAGTCAGAAATGACAATCCAAAACGAACGTTTTGATGACTTCATTAATTATCCTCTCCTTCGTGAACACACTTCACTTCAAAAGCATATATTATACTTAAAACAAACAAACTTTCAAACGAAAACCACACTCACATGACCAAATTTACCAAAACCATCCTGAAAAACAATACCTCACCCACATGCATGACTTCTATATAGTATTACACAATTATCCCATACTAATATACTTTAATTTAACACTTCTAATATATATATTAATTGTTATTTATTAAGTATTCACTTAGAGAAATATTTGACCAATTAGAGTTTAATTGGAGGTGTTAGCTAGCTAAGTAACTAATAATCTACTAGTAAAATATTAAATACTGATATTACCTAAATATGTTGAAATTTCACTGCAATTAGCTAGATTTTTATGAAAAATTACCAAAGACGTTAACCTGCTCATAATAATAAGATGACTGATCAAGCAATTCAATGTCTGGTAGAAAAATGCCATCCTCATCCAGTAGTAGGCTGCTACCATCACCGACGGCTGCGCTTCTGAGGTTGTTGTTCATTAGAGTTTCTCGGGAAGATGGAGAAGAAAGACTTGAAACGGTACTGGTCGTAATGTAATTATTGTCACAGCCATATGGGCTAAAATTTGGAAGTTCCATAAAAGTTGATGACAAAGGAATTAATTGGTTTTTTTGTTCAAGATTCAACTCTTGTGGAATATCACAGTAATAGTTTTGCTCGAAACCCATATCCGTTAAGGGCGGCAACAAGCTACTGGAATTTTCAGGATTTATAGTATAGGTTGACTGATCAGCTTCTGGAATGGAGATCAAAGATTTTTCCATGATATTGTTAGTATTGTTGCTTTTTTTGCTTCCCCTGCTGGAATTAATATTAGTATTCTTGCCTGCCACTGCCAACAGCTTTTTCTTTAATCTGGTGTTCCAGTAATTTTTCACATCGTTGTCTGTTCTTCCTGGAAGCTGAGAAGCCATGAAAGACCACCTATAATATAAATAAAATAAAAGAAAATCTTAATTTTTACGAGTAATTTAATACATACTGTATATATATAATAGTGAAAATGGATTAATTTACAGAAAGAGACTTGCCTACTTCCCATGCTGTTATAGAGCGACAAAATGATTTTATCTTCTTCTTCAGTAAAACCTCCATGCTTGATATCTGGTCTCAAATAATTCAACCATCTCAAACGACAACTCTTGCCACATCGTTTAAGCCCTAAACATTTATAATATAAAACAAGTTATGCAGGTAAATAATATTTGATCGAGCCTATACAAAAATTATAAAAAAAGCTTTCAAATTCACAATCTCTCAGTAAACCTAAAGAAAAGCTTTCTCCTATGATATAATTAATGGAGAGGAATTAGCATTTAAGATATGAAGTAGGGCAGAGATATATAGACCTGCTTTGCGAGGCAAAGAAATCCAATTGCCAGAAGTGCCATGTTTTTGAAGATAGTTAATGAGAGTGGCATCTTCTTCAGGAGACCAAGGCCCTCGTTTAACGTTAGCTTTGTCACAACATGGAGCTCTTCCCATGTCTAAAACTCTCTACTGCTAATTAAAGAAAGATAGAGGCGATATGATATACAGAGAGAATACTTAATTAATTGTATTATAATGAACCAAAAGCTATGGCTTTACATTCATGCCATTGTGGTCGTTTTTAAAGGATGGATAAAACGACTTTAGGAAGATTATTGACTTCGTCTGACCAACTTTATCTTTTAAGAAAAGAAAGCTTATGGTAGTACTAGTAATGGTGAGTGTTGTACTTTCCTTGTATAGCAACTAGAAAGGGAGAGGTTTCATTTTATTCAAATACTTTTCGAAATGAAAGGGAAGGGAGAAAGAAAATGTTATACAGTTGTATAATTTCTTCTAAAATTAAATAACAAATTAGAATTGGCTCGAGATCTTCCTAGTTCTAGATTCGGCGAACTCAAACTAGTTCCAATCGCTTCTTTTCTTGGGCTTGGGTTGTAAAGTCTTAGTTATATATAATATATTACAAATATATTTTTCAAAAAAGAAAAAAAGATAGAGAGAGAAAAGAGAGGGTTGAGTCAATGCTCGTGTTTGAGGAAGCACGGAAAATCTCATGTCATTGGTGACAGTATTGTAGCCCCAGAAGTGGCAATCCTTTCCTGCAAACGCTTAAGACTAAACAACTCACAAATGTGAACATATTTATAAACTTTACCGCATCAGTTTACAGTTCTGTTAACGCGTTTTCTAATTGACCATTTGCGTTTCGGCAATAGAAAGAAAATCAGTTGTCCATTTGCTTTGGTCACTCTTTAAGTATTTTCCAGGAACCAACAACGCGTTCTCTCTACCTTTGCTTTCATTGATTTTTTTATACTCGTTTGGAAATTCTACAGTAACTGTAAACAATCAAATTTATATTGAAATATATAAAACATAATCTCCATGTTATTCAATTCATAGGTAATCTGTTCATAGTGGAAAATTTGTTATACTGAAAGATTTGTTCCTTGTAGAGGAAGCTACACACTTTTCTATCCAACAAGAAGAAAAACAATTTAAAAAGGATAACCATTTACTTTAAAATAATTAAGTAAATGCGACAGTATAAAATAGTATAAAGTAATCCAACGTATGTACGTAGGATAAGGCAAAAGACTTACCTACATTCATCATATGGCCTCACCTATGTACCAAATCAATTACAAACAGTATTTTAGATTAAATGAGAATATTTATAATCATACATTAGAAAAAAAGGGATAAAACAGTAAAATTAAAAAAAATAAAACTTTTTTTTATCGGCTTGATATATGAGTGGTGTCATTCGTCAAATGTAGAACACATTTCCTACAAGACAATCCATTTTATTTAAGGGAAGAAATATTTACTTTAAAATAATTATGCTTCGCAACAATATGGTCTAACAAAAGACAGATTAATGCTTTGTATTGTGCTATTTTTACGTAATAATGGCAAAATATGAATAATTTAATTCAAAGGCTACCACAATTAATTTTTATGTAACAACATACAATAATTTGATATTTGGGCTTTTCTTATTGAACTTGACTGGGCAGGGAGTAAATAAAGTAAGGCATAACTGGGTCACATAAGCATTAGCCCATTGTGTGGATAGCCCATATTTTTAAATGATTGTTTTCATCTTCTGCAAAAGCCGAAAATGAAATATAGGTGTTACAGGAACTTAAAAGGACTATTATAACCACAGACAAAAATTTAGTTTTTTTGTTTTCGAAAGGCACAGGTAAAAGTTTAGTTAAAATAAATAATTTCTATATCATACACTAGCAATATACCCGTGTTATGCACGGTTAAAAAAAATAAAGTAAAATTTTAAAACTATATCATACACCTAGCAATATACCGTGTTATGCACGGTTAAAAAAAAATAAAGTAAAAATTTTTAACAATAATATATATATATATATAATATATATATATAATATGAAATTTTCCTTTTATTATGCTATTAAAAAATATTATTAAGATATATCAGTAGTAAAAGAATATAGCTGTGATTTTTAATTATTAGGTAAAAATTAATAGATAAACAAATATTCAGAGTATAAATTAAAAATGTTAAAATTTATAGAGATAAATAAAAAAAAAAGTAAAATAAAAGGTGGTAAAATCGATTAATTTGATATATTTTATAATTAATGTAAAAAATAATAAATTCGCTATAAAATTCATGAATAAAAAATTTATTTTATAACTAAAAGTTGTATAAATCATCAATTCATCATGTTATTAATTCTCTAAAACTATAATTAATCAATTATATTTAACATAAAACATAATTAATTTAATAAAAAATAATTTTTTTATATAAAATAATAACTTCTCGTATCATTAAATTCATAAATTATGTGTCATTAAAATTATAATAAATTATTCTTAATATATTATTAATTTCTAACACTATATCAATCAATTACATTTAAAATGGTTTTTTTATTCCCCCCAAAAAATTCAATAACAATCATAAATTAATTTTATTTTGTAAATAAATATAAAAATAAACAGTTTAAGACATTAACAATTTTCATAAATTAGACACTTACATGGCAAGACCACGAAAAAATCTGCCTACTTTTATATAATATATTATATATATATATATATATATATATATATATTGAAAATTACCGTCAATTTTCATTGACCCGCGGTTAGTTAAAAATTCGTGGGGTATTTTTTTTTTTTTGTTTTCTCTAATCACCCGGAGATTTATTTTTTTTTTTTTTGTTTCTCCTAATCACCGGAGATTTATTCACAACATGACATTCGATGGTATGAAAAATGAATTAATAAATTTATTATACATGTGATGCAAACTGAATATTAGGAACTTTTAAAAAATATTTTTTACATAATTTATTTTTTGAAAATAAATGGAGTCTGAGCATGGTACAGCACCATAAAGAAATTTATACACAGAATGAGTAATTATATAAATATCATTAAAGAGACGTGTTATTAATTGCTTGAATTTATAAATTCTGATTTAATTAGAAAGTTTGTATATTAACCATTGGTTTCAATTAATAGTCCTTGCATAAATAATAGAATGCAAATTATATCGAACTCATTTCCCTCATTTCAGCATCAAAGCCATGTACAACTTGTCGATTCTGCCATATCATGTGACATTTTTTTTTTTCCTATTTATTGTTGTTGTTCTTATTTATTGTTTCAAAAACTATAATAAAGCCAAAAGCTGTTGGATTAATGCCCAACCGTCCATCTTATTTCATGGGATAAGATAGAAATGTCCTTAGCCAAAATGATGATAATAATTATTAATAATGCCTACAATAATGATAAAGTAGGCGGTAATGAAAGTATGAAACCATTAACTCAGTGATAGCGACATAAAAGTAAAAATTATTAACTAATTTATCTAAAAATATTAATTAACTATCAAAGGATTAGATACTAACAGTTAAAAATATTTAAATGTTACTACTTGATTTATAATTTTTGAAATGCTAATTATTAAATTTTAAAAAGCCACTTTAAGAATTAAATTGTTAAAAAATCCTAATTAATATGTAATGGCCCAAAGCCAAATTTGATTTTCAACCACTAATGTAAGTGGGCCCTACAATAAATCACATTTATATTTTGATAACGCTACAGTTAATCGTTGACAAAATGTATTTTTCCCCTTTATTTTAAGCCAAATCTAAAAAAAATGTAATTACTATTAAACTAATTGATACACAGATTGAACATTATTATTTTTAACCAAGATCAAGATTTCCACGGACATGATTGAATCTTGGAATTGGATGGACCTTGTGATAGGCCTGGCATGGGATAACTAGCTAAGTTTCTCTTCAAATCTTTTATGATAGAAAAAAAGTAAGATTTAGTCAAAGAAGGATGAGATTTAATGTGATAATTAGCAACATATCTTGTCAAAGAAGTGACTCCATCACTTTGTCTAGTAGCTTGTATGCTGTTCAAAAGCTCCAGAGTAAATGATGGCTCTCGTATCTCTTTTGGTGGCTCCAACAAAATAAAAGAAAAAAAATAAAATAAAACTTCCACTACTTTATTTATATTTATATGTCAGAGGAAAAAACTTGCTTTATGATCGATCCACGAATTAAATTAATTATAATATAGGTTTTTTCATAAATTTTTTTTCTCTGCAATAAATGATTATAAATATTTTTATTTTTTAAAAAAATATTTTTTATTAATTTAGTTTAGAAATAAATCTACATGTAAAATTTAAATAAGTTATTCTCGAATTTTATATTATCTTCTTAGCAATGAAATAAATAAAAGGACGAATATATTTAATTTTATAAAATGAAAAAAAGTATTAAAACTCTATTTCGTTTATATCGGGGCACTAGACGTACTCAAAATTGATAATAATATGAGAATATCATCTAAAATTTTGCAATTTTAGCATTTCATATTACAAAAGTTTTTAAATTCAAATAAAACAAAAGACGATCCACTGAAATTGGAAAAAGGTTGCTTAATTTTGAGACGGTTCCTAGGAATATTTTCATAAAAAAAATTATACGAGCAGAAGGAATTAGACAAAGCACATGTTGTGCACCAACTTTAGCAGTTTGTTGGTTGAAAGGGTAACGTCGCTTTAAAGGGCGGGTTGGCGGGGCTATGCATACCCTTCATAGTTTCAATAATGCACTCACAGTGTTTGTTTTTTTGTCCCAATGCAAAGGCGAGAAATAGGATCATCTTTCAGAAATTACAAGTTCTGGGACCATTTCTTTTATCTTAAACAGATAAATAGTTTCAAGACAAAGACACATAGCGCCCTTCCAACACAACACTGGAAATTGACTGCTGTTAATGCGACGTGCTCTATAGTCTCCTGCCTTTCATAAAAATATACCACAATACCGTTTGACCATACAAGTGTACAGCGAATCCCGCTAAGAGTTTGGGAAGGAGATGCTATATTTTTATAGTTTTCATAAATTTTGTACTTTATTTTATTTTTTATTTAAAAAAGATTATTGATCATGACTCATATGTTTGCTGTATTTTTTTTTTTATAATAGCTGAGTGAATTTTATTTTTTAAAGTTGAAATGTAGAACTTTACGTAAATGTCAAAAAAGTATGTATTAATACCTGAATGTATTGAATAATTTTTCAAGCAAATAAAAACGATGTTGAATTAATTATGCGTAAATTTCCTTTAACCCAATGAATTGAACAAAGAAAGTCTATAGCTGACAATTTGCTGATTTTGAATGGATTAATTTCCAAACTGAATACCGGCCAAGTCCAAGAATACTTTGGAAAGGGATTTTTTTTCTTTTTTTCTTTTTTAAATTTAAAGGGAAGAAATGTTTAGTCAAATGATATTTTGACATTTAGTTCCCGTCCTAATTCTACATTTCACGATTGAAATCTTTTTTTTTTTTTTTTGAATGGAAAATTTAATTAATTTGAATTTTTTTGTGCATAAATTAAGGATTTTTTAATTAACTGTCGAAAAAGGATCATTTTTATTGGAATTTATTATTATTATTTTTATTTTTATTTTGCCTTTGATAAAAGCTATAGCAACTACCCGCACTAAAAATAATAATTTAAGTAAATGGATGTCAGTAATTTTCATTTCTCATCAGCGTCTAAATCAATAAACAAGTTCATGTATCTGTCAATATTACGTCTGAACTTTTCTCCACCTCACGATGCTCGTCGAGCTCGCATCATAACAAATTGAACGGTGCTGCACAGGGGATGGATATCATCAAAAGGGACATCAAACATATCTTATCAGAGCCCAATCAGAGGCCTTTTGTTAAAGTCCATAATGTTGCGTGCTGGTGGGGGTTAAATTAGGAAGAAAGAAAGTTGAAAATCCAACCATTCCACCATTGTTTTCTTTGTCAGAGATTTTTCTATTCCTCACCTTTACTTGTGAATTTCGCCATAAATTATTACATTATTAAAAAGAAACATTAATAGCCAACTGTATCAATGAATGTGTTTCCTTCAAAAAAAAAAAAAAAAACTGTATTTTCAGAAACATTAATAGCCAACTGTATCAAATGAATGTGTTTCCTTCCAAAAAAAGAAAAAAAAAACTGTGTTTTTTAGATCAACTGTTATCGTACGATTACGATTACGGTAGAATATAATTAACTTCTTAATTAACTATTTAAATTTCTTTTATTTAAAAAGAAACTATGAATGTTTCTCTAAAAAATATCTAGAAGTTTTCTAATATATTTTCCTCATCATCTAATATTTCATTTTCTAACGACCGAGTTTTTTCATGTCAACATCTGACACCATATTTCACATGAACACATTCGAATACCACCAAAAAAAAAAAAAAAAAACGAAATTAGAACCGTCGGTTCCGACTAGAACTGGAACCACCGGTTCACGTTTCCAAAATTGATGGAACCGAAACTGAAACCGGTTTGGACCGATTTCGGTTCTAGTTCGAAATGATTTCGTTTCCCACATGTTCCGGTTCGAATTCTCCCCTATTTGGAACCGACGGTTCTAATTCCAAGCTGGATTTGGCCACCCCTAATTAGACTAAGTATTAATTTGAAAGATTCAATTGTGAAACCGTAAATATAGATTAAGGACATTATAGTTATTTATTTAATATAAAAAGATTAAAATATTAATTTAAATATAATTTCAAAATTAAATTATATTTTACTTGTTACTGATATTAAGAGGATTTTTAGGTGAGTTTAAAACTCAAATTATAGCTTCGTCCTTAGTGGAGTATTCTTAATCCAACTAACATCTATTTAGAAACAAGAGATTTGAATTTAAAGCAGAGAAAGAAAAAATAGTTTGTTTAAGGCTAAAAATAGTTTTTCATTTACTTTATTCTGATTAAAAAAATTGCACGGATGGTCCATTGAGGCAATTTAAACTTATTGTAAAAGACACAAAAAAATTAAGTGTGCAAGATAGGAATACACTGAAACAGTTAAAAGTACAAAAAAATTTCCAAAAGATTCACAGACTAATTTGTACAATTGAATGAAAAAAATAATAAAAAAAAGAATAACAACGTCAAAAAATGGATGTGAGACTTAGCAAGTTTTGGAAATTTATTCCATTAGCAATCTAGTAATATATAACATAAATTCCCCAACAAAATTGTCATATCTAAGCAAGAGAATGATGGATATAATGATTTCCATAAGTATTAGTATTACATTTTCATGCATTAAAGAATATTTTGAAAATTATTTTTAGATATTCCTTTAAGAAAAAAAAAAAAAAAAAGGAAAAAAAAAAAAAAGGATGCAAGCTAAAAACCAAAATTCAGTTGAGGTGGTAGATGAGTTTAGCTAAACTAGCAAAGACAAAATAATTCCCATAACATGAATTGTTACATTATGAGGTAAAACTAGTGAATTACCATCTCTTTGTTTTTTTTTTTTTTTTCCAACAATACCCTCCGTAGTCGCCTCAGGCCCGCAATTTAAAAGGATGCCAGGCGTAGAAGTAACTAGAATAAGGAAGAAATACTAAAAAATGAAAGAAAATATAAAAATCTAAATAATGCCAAACAAGATGACAAGAGCTCACAAACAAAGTAATTTGTCGTTTATCTCCCACAGGACCGAAAAAACAAAAATTGAAATATAAAATAGTAACGTCCCGATATGCTTTTCGCAGTTCGATCTCATATATAAAATTTAAAAATTAAATCACATTTTTAAAAATTATACCAATCTGTTCGTAGTTCAATTTATTTTTCTAAATTATTTAATAGATTTAACTGATTTACTAAAATTAATAATTTAACATTAAAATTATCTAAAACCTAGAGTGGAAGGAACTCGGATAATTTAAAAAAAAAAAAAAAAAAAAAACCAATACATTTCTTCAATTTTTGTTTTCGCAACCCCATCAAATACTATATACAAGCACTATGGATGGGAAAAAAAAAAAAAAAAGAACATTATAAATTAAAATTCAATTGAAACCATGAAGTAACCAGACTCTCTCAGAATGACAATTGAAATTTCAACTAATTAGTTTTTTCTTTTTTATTTCAGGCAGGAATAACCAGTTTTCTGATGAGACGAGAGGAACACTATTTTTATGAGTTCACTTTCGTGTTTATCTGTCCCTTTAATAACAGACATGTAAGTGTTGACTAATGAGTCGCAGTTAATAACACTCTAACCCTAATACAAGGCATTTCAGACTTTTCTTTTGGTTGGCAGAGATAAAAATTACAAAAAAAAAAAAAAAAAAAAAAAAAAAAAGAAAGAAGAGGAGAGGAAGAGGAAGAAGAAGAATCAGAGGAGGAAGAGGCAGGGAAGAAGAAGAAGGAAGAAGAAGAGACAGTTAATATAAAAAAAAAAAAAAAAAAGAAGAAGAGGAAGAGGAAGAGGAAGAAGAAGAAGCAGAGGAGGAAGAGGCAGAGGAAGAAGAAGAAGAAGAAGAAGAGACAATGTAATATGAATATACAATGCATTAATATGAATTAGCACAGAGGATTTTACAATAAGATCAGGAAGTTCCATACTCGGAATTTAATACTAATTAATTAAAACATAAATCAAACATTAACTATACAAAACCATTTCCAATTCTGTCTTCAACTTCAATTGCTTTCTCAATTTCTCAACCTACTCATAGAATATTCAGAAAAAAAAAAAAAAAAGAAAGAAAGATTCTTGACTTCTCACGCATAATTTAAACGCTGCGATTATCCTTCTTTTTTTTCCCCCTTCAAATATATACATTCATAGAATCACCAATTTCTCGAGTCCAGAAGCCAAATTCCCATCCTCCCTCTCTCGTTTCCTTTAAACACTATTCACAGCAAGAGATGGAACCAAAAAAGCCACCAAAATAAATGCTCTGCCAACGAAACAATTAACAATTCCAGGAGTTCCTTAGCTCCCTTTACTTCAATAGCTCCGAAACCCAACCAACATCCGGAGCATTTGCAGACTGGACCGGATCCGGGTCCACCCGACCCAAAGAGTTCTCCTTACTTAGTTTCTCAAACATCTTTACACGCAAATCCCTTCCTGATTCCACTCTCTCCATTGGAGGCTCTTCCTCACATACTCTTTCCCATACATCCCTGTAACAGAGTCCGGAACGGGTCGGAGCAGAAGTTGGAGTGGTTGGCAGGCTACAGAACCCGGATCGGATATTGGATCCTCTTGGAGACCCGTATCCAGATCCACCAACCTGCACATTCCAAGAAGCAGGCAACGACTTCACCTTACCGAGCTGCAAGTTCCTTAAGGAAGCCATCATTTCATTGATGGAATTGGACCCAACAGACCGACTTAAGCACTGTGTCATCGGAGACATCGGAGGCGAGTCTGCCGGAGGAGTGGCAGGAGGCGAAATGGAGCCAGGGCTAGACAAAAAGGGAAGACTTTTAGCACACGACGCCTCAATAGCCTGTCTGAAAGGCGATCCATCGTAGGACTCAACCGAGTTGACACTCCTGGGGCTCTGCTGAGGAAGAACCCTAAGTTGCTCCGGAGTGTGAGCGAAAAAGCAGACTCTCCTCCTGCAGTTAGTGCCATCCTTGCACGGCTGAGTTCGATAACGCCCAGGATGAAGCCAACATTCAAAAACACCATGAGCGAACTCACACGCGTCACCTTTCTTACAATTTCCCTTTCGAAAATCAGGACAAGCAGTACCAGAATAGTGATACTTTCTCGGGTCTCTTCTTCTCGCCTTCTCTCCAGGGTGAGCATAAGGGCACTCAGTCCAGTCATGTGACCTGCCACGTGCGCACCGCCTCACCTTAAACTCGAACATGCGAAAATGATCGCAAGAAAAAGCGTCTACCGGCGAGTCTGGCTCCAGACCCGATACTTCGGAATCAGAGTCAAAATCCGGTTCGTTAGATGGCAGGTAACGCTGCAACGCTGCCAGCGCTTCTTGTAGATAGTACGGATTGTAGTCAGAGGCGGTAGCAGCATTGCCGGAGTGAGGGCTCAACTGCGATGAGAGATAACCTTCAGGATTTGCATCTTCGATTAGGGCCCACGGAGGAACATGGACCGTGGTATTAGGACGGTGTCGTTCATCGAGCATCATCTTTTTTTTGTTTGGGAAGATATGGTGGCTTCGAGATTTTGTATGCAGAAGCACCGGCATAGTTTGCTTCTATATAAACTGCTTTTAGGAGTGGGTCTGTTAACTCTTTTCGGGTTAAAGTCTAACCCTGGTTTGGTCAAATCCATAGGAGCTATATTACCACTGCGGTTAAAATGTTGGAAACTTTTGATGAGTTACTGCGGTTTCGGGATAGAGTATTAGAAAGCGGAATAAGAGAGTTACACGTGTTCTGGAATCGGATTGTTTGCCACGTGGCGGATGGTTGATGAAGTCGAGAGAACAACGCTGTGAAAATATACAAATATTTATTAAATAAAATCTAGGCCCCTATAGTTCCAAAGGCGGTGGAGGAGGGTGAGATACGCAAAGATAAAGATGAAATTAATAATCAGTCTTTGCCTTTTCTTTTTGGCATCTTGCATTTAAGTCCCTAAAACTTTGTTATAATTCTAAAGCACTGTGTAAAGTTTCTAAAAATTACATATCTTCCGTTCATTTTGGAATCTATTCCTAGCTGCCCGTTTTCAGAATGGAACATAATTCGCAACAAAACATCCATTTTATTATCCATCGATTGGAAAATAAACGAATTGGTAATTACAGGATTTTTTTTTCCGTCATTTTCTCGCAATAACGCCTTTTCACTAACTATTTACTTAAAAATCAAGCGTCAATATTTATAGATTATGGAAATTATAAAAATAAAAAAATACTATTAAGCAAGACAAAATTTAAATAACAAAGAATTTTTTTTTATTATACAAATTCAGTAATAATATAAATCAATTATTTGAATCGTTTTGAATACTATTAATATATTTGAGTTGGTTTTGAAAATAGTTCTCATTTAAAAAGAAAAAAAGAATGAAAATAATATAAATAATGGTAATTCTTTCTAAATAATGAAAATCTACTTTTATTTTTAGCTAAATAACATAAAATATTATACTTTTATTTAATGCTCAACCAACCATTGCAAAGAATTTACATTAAGAAAATGCTTACAAACAAGGGATCAAATTTTAAAATCGAAGAAGTAAAAGTAAAAATAGAGATAAAATAATAATTAAAAAAAAAAAAAAAAAAATAATAATTAAAAAAAAAAAAAAAAAAAAAGAGAATTGAGTTAGAAAGGAGCAACTGGTAACAAGGGTAGCTCCCAACATTAATAAATGATTAAGTTAGGTAAAAAAAGAAAAAAGTTATAAATTTTTTACTCTTAGACGTAATTTGGAATGGTGAGCTTATCTTGGTAGTGTTGGAATTTCCAAATTTTTTACCAAATACAATTAAAGTGATATGGATGCATGTCCAGACTGACATACCAGTTTTCATTGTGTCCTATCGCAGAGACCACGAGAACTCGTCCTGTTTCTTTCTTTTTTTTTTTTTTTTTTTTTTTTTTTTTTTTTTTTTTTTTTTTTTTTTTATGAAACTTAAAAAAAAAATTATTTCAACGGATTAAGACAAAAGAGAAAATAAGGCTTTAACTTAATATTAACAAGCTTGATCTTCCAAAATTTCCCCAAAAGATTGGACCTTGCGCAGTAGCGGACCGAGCCCAATTAATTAAGAGATTAAAAAATAATTTTATTTAATTATAAATGATAGAATAATAATATAATATTTTTTTTTCCAAAAATTTTTACATTAAAATTTTTTCTTTTATTTTGAGGGGAGCCGCGGCCCTCTTAGCAGTGTGTTTCCGTCCTTAACCTTGAGAAATGAACGAATAGTAACACTAACGAAGCAACTAAAACAGCAAAAATTTAGGATAAGACAGAAAAATATGTAGAAGATAATTAAGAAAAATAATAAGGAAATATATTTTTTTAATGCCATTATAGCAAAAAAAATTTTTAATAATTTGGTCTTTAAAATACTTTAATTTTTTTTAATTTTACATTCTAAAATGGTGTATGTTTTAATTCTGCTGCTAACTTTTCAATAAATATTTCCCCATAACCTTCCAGGTAGGCATGGCCGGTTCAATGAACCGCCGGTTTCGGTTCATTGAACCGCTGATTCGAGATGTTTAAAATTTTGAACCGGAATCGGCCCTTGAACCTCCGGTTCCGGTCCGATTTCGGTTCCGGCACGGTTCAGCAAGATTCCGACGAACCGACGGTTCAAATTACGGTTCCAATTCGGTTCCGGCATTACGCAAATTTTTAAAAAAATAATAAGATTTTGATTTCGAATTCATGAATAAATAAAATTTTAAAATGTTTAAATTTTATAACAATAATTTTTATAAAAATTTTAAAACAAAAAACTTCTTATTAATTTAGGAGATATTGCTTCTTGTGGGTGCAAAAATCACAATCAATGGATCATTTTGAAATCAATTTCTTCACGCTTTGAGCAACATCGTTTCTCTTGGGAGGCTTTGTGAATTGTGTGCCATAATTTTACAATTAGAATTATGGAAAAAAAAAATGAATAAAAGGATATGAAATTTAATGGAATTTAGAATTTGGATGTATGAAAATAAAGGCCAATATTAAGAGAGAAGAGGGAGAGATAGAATTTAATTGGTTGTGAAAAAAAAATTAATCAACTCCATCATATTTATACAATTTTTCATTTATGTAGTTTCCAATTGTTCCCTATACAAATTGTCCCTTATAACAGAAAAAAAACAATTATATTTTTGGATAATTTAGTAAATTATAATAAATAAATAAATAATTAATTAATTAAATTATAATAAATAATTATATCCGTTTGAAGTTTTAACATTGTGTAAATTGTTAATTGTATAGTTAAAAAAAATATGTGTTTGTAAACAAAGTTCAACGGTTAAGTGAAAATGAAATGATGAGCTTTCAAAAAAAAAAAGTGAAATGACGATGCTTCCTTTTTTTTTTTAAACCAAAATGAACCAAAATGATGATGTTTTTTTTTCACTATTTTTGATTATTGCAATAAATAATTTTGTTTGTGAATCCGGTTCGAACCGGACCGAAACCGCCAGTTAACCGCCGATTCCGGGCCAATTCAGGTTCATTTTTTAACATTCACATGAACCTTAACCGGCCCTTGAACCGCCGATTCCGATTCAAAATTTTGAACCGCTGATTTTGATCCGGTTTCAGTTCATCTACAGTACGGTTCGGTTCCGGTTAGAACCGAACCGGTGGCCATGCCTACTCCCAGGTATCTTTGCTATTAGTATCTTAATTAACAGTAAAATAACACTTTTTGGCAGAATGATGAAATAATTTAATAAATCTAAAAAAAGAATTATATATATATATATATATTCTCTTTTCTTTCCTTTGCAACCCAAACACAGATGTTAGAAGAATTGGAATGAAAAGACCATAAAGATGTCAAATATTGCTGGCAAGACATGACGGTCACTCCAAAACTTTATAGAACTACTCGAAATAACTTATTCGTGGGATGGATTAGATCAAAATTTAAACACACATTCACACATGGAAAGAGACCACTATAAAATTTTCTTGAATTTCAGGTACAGTTCTAGCTCAGGTGAGGGCCTAAAGCCTTATATGTGAGTAAAATATTTTCTTTGAAGGTTGGTGGAGATAATAAAACTCGTAAAAGAAAAATTGCAAGAGAGGTGCATAAAATCTGTCCTCATTCATTTATACTTCTTTCATCTGTAGGTTTTATACCCAAAAAACACCGGTGTCCTTTCTTGAGTTGAACCAAAAATCCGTGTCACCCAACACCACTCAATTTGTCTCACACCTCGCTCTCTTTCTCTTTTACTGTCTCGCTATCTTTAATTCTATTCGTTCGCCACTTTGGACTCACCATCCTCATCCATCGTTCTTATCCACTTTGTGAGGCCACCATTACTTGATTTGGAAGCAAATTTACAGTTAACCGTTACTATTTTTAGTATCAAAATTGACTAATCACTATTGTTTTCTTGCGCCCAACTTTTCTCGGCCCAATCTTTTACTAAAAGGATTAGATGTTAATTATTTCTGCTTTTAGAATTTTCTTAAAACAAAAAATTTTAGGCTTAGCTTAACTATTACTTATTACATGTTTTACAATTAATTATCTTCTAAAAATAAAAATTAAGATTATGTTAACTAGCACAAGCAAGGAGAGAAAATAACACTATATAGAGATAAGAAAGGAAAACGCAAGGGATAGGAATTCCTTCAAGGGGAATTGACCTTGTCAACAAGGCAACAATCAACCTTTTTTACATAAATTTATATTGATTTAGCAATAAAGAAAAATTATTACTTTTTATTACAAAACCTAAAATATTATTCTACTTTATTTAATTTGTTATAGTTAAAATAATAAAAAAAAAATTCGTTTATTCTTCGTAGGATTTTAGGAATATCGGCATAATCGATTGGCTGTGTGGGACAATTGCGCAGTGACTGAGACATGCAGTATTCGGTAGAACATTAATTGACATCATAAAGTCTGTGATTTGTATGTATCCTATTATCTATAGATGTGCAAGCAAGAATTTCTACCTTCTAAGCAATGTTAGATTTTTAGATAATAATATCATTTTCCACTTTCAAGCAATAAGCCAATTGTAACCCCATCTATGACGATGCTCCCCTCGCACAATCAAACCCATTTTTGCGGTTACCGGCCTCTTTTTAACACACCAACAATCTGCTTCTCTTTTCCAAACTTTTCTCACTCATATATAAATTTTCCTTTCATAGATAGAAAATAAAAAATAATAGAGTAGAAAGATTTTCATTAGCCACCCATTCTTTTCTAATTCTTCTATCTATTTGGTTTATAGTTATGGATGCTATCCAACACGGCAGAGGGAAGTGTCATGTCTCTATTCAGCGGCAGAGTCCGGAATTAAAGTGAGGGGCTGCAAAAATTTCAAGAGTTGAGAGGGGTGAAATTGAAAATTTTACTATTTTAAGGATAAAATTAAAAAATTTTAAAATTTTTGCTTCATTTTCCATATAAAACGAGATTTGCTTCATTTTCCAAAACCATATAATCTGTATTAGGCTTGACATTAATTACATAAATAAATGAAAGAATTTTGGTAATTGGAATGTGA